CTCTATTATCTTCTGAGACAAGTGGGTGCCATCTACTTAATTGATACTTCCCAAAACAATACAGGAACTGAACCGCAGCAGTCTTTGAAACAATCCATCCAAATAATCTGAACAACAACAACAACAAAAAGTATATTAGGGGAAAGTGTGCATAGACACATATATAATTTGTGGAAAACAACACATGCAAAATTGGAGAAAATCCATTGCAAAAATGTGTATTGGGCAAAATGCGATGCCCAGGAGAAAAACACACTAAAACACAGACAAAATTTCGTGAGTAAACTGTTGCAGAAAGGTGGAGAAGATGACTTTAATGGAAAAACGAGAAAGTGAAAGAAACCTAGGCTTTGGCTACCCTATGACCTATGTGATGTAGAGTTCACTGTTATACAGCTATTCCAACTACAGGTGGCAGTGTGTCCAGCTGAGGCATTCAGTCATGCTGTTGCTGCTCTAGACCAGGACTACAACTCCCACCATCCCCATCTAACAGGACCAGTGGTCAGGGATGATGGGAGCTGTAGTCCCAAAACATCTGGAGGGCCGAGTTTGCCTATGCCTGCTCTAGATCGACCATTCTTGTTTGCAATAAAGCTGTTCCTCTGTGAAGCATCCAACTTCGCCTGGCCTGCTCTCTGAAATAACACAGCACCATACCACAAGGCAGGTGTGTGTTTATGTGCCTGGCATAAAAATAAAAATAATAAAAATAAAAAGGAGGAATCCACAAGTAGATGGCCTCCAAAGGCTAGTGCTGATGGCAACATGTATTTGCCTCCAGAATCTATTTGTGCACACAGAAGGCTCTTCTTGTAGCAAGTCACTGTCTCCGATGTTTCTGTATTTCATGCAGCAATTGTTTGTACAAGAATGGTGCATCATTGTCTTATTTCCGCATGAGTGGAGTTCCAAGTTGTCTTTGCTGGTTTGAGAACAGCTTCTTCCGTATTGATTCCATTGTTTCAGAAAGCCACCTTGATTTAAAAGGTAGAGAATCTAAATGTTATTGCCAACTTACTGGGTGGGTCCCCCTGCCCCCCTTTGGAAGTTGAGTAGCTGCTTCAGCAGCGGCAACCCTCCATCATAGAGATGATATCTGGACAAGCTGGTACAGGGCCAGGGGTGTGATTTTAATAGACCAAGAAAAGTTGACTCTCCTGCATTCAAAATGCAGAAGCCTGTGGGATTCAAAACACACAAGCTTATTCCTGCTGGGCAAAAACAGCAATGTTGTTTTTGTAGACACCTTCTGGAAATATAAAATTTCCAAAAGGTAAAATCTAAGATTTCCATGTTGGCTATCTCCGAGCCTGTGTGAATGACATTTATATAATGCCACATGATGAGAGACAGCATAATGAGTTGGTTTTTGGAGCTGTGCAAGTGTACTAGATGACTTATGGTGGATCAGGTGATTGATCCAACTAACTGTCAGGGAGCCAGCCACCAATAAATCACACGGAGTAAGTGAAATTAACTCTTTATTAGAAGAAACAAGGCCTGCTCAGGAGTGCCAGGCCTAATGAGCACAGAAACTATTCTTGGTAGGCCTCTCCCCATGAGGCAGTTGTGGAGGGAGACTGAAGGTCCCCGCCTTCCCACAGCTGCCTAATCTCCTCACCACCACCCCAGGTCATTCCCAAGCAATCTGAGACTAGGCCAACAAGCCTGTCTCTGCTCCTCCCTCTTCATATCTCTTCTGGTTCTGGGAGCCCAGGTGGGAAGGGAGCTTCTTGCAGTAGAAGAAGGAAACATCCTTCTTCACCAGCATGACTCATCTCTGCCTCATGGCAGAGCTTGAGCTTCTGATTCTGGACTTCTCTCTGCCATAGACTCTCCTTGCTCACTAACTCCTGTTCATTTTCAGACACCTCCTCCTCCCAGTCTTCTCCCTCTGACCACTCATCCCACCACAACTCCCTGGGCTCTGAGCCACCTTCCCTTGGGGGTTCTCCAGCTGGTGCCTCCCATCATTTCTCTGTGTCCAGCCAGTCCACGAAACTAGCCCAGTTTTGCTTTTGAAACTGCTCTGGGAAACCTTGGTTCCTCCAGTAGACCAGTAACGATGGACAAGTTTCCTGAAAGGCAGCCCTCCCACCAGGACCAACCTTATTTTCAATCTGTTGATGAAGAGGAGTGTTGGGTATATTTCCGAGCAAAGTATCACATGGGTCAGCCCTAGTTGAAGCAAGGGTTACTGATGGCGAAATGCCTGCGTTGGAGAGCGATGAGGAGACTGATGAGATTCATTGAGACCCAACACAGGAATCTCGTCATCGGTCCCCTCCCCTCTGGTTGTGATCCTTTTTGGAATCGGCTCTAGGCTTCTCTTCCTGGATGCAAGCAAATCCCCTTCAGTGTTCGCCCTAGAAAATTCCCCACAATCCTTGACACAGCCACACGGATTCCTTGGCAGACAAATCCATTTGGGAAAGCATTTCACGAAGGTAGACATTTCGAAAAGCGATAGAGTCTCAAGTAGGAAGGGTCTTTTCCTGTCCCAGATACATGAGATGATTTAATTGGAGATGCCTGGGATTTAACATGAGACTTCCTAAATGCCAAACATGTGCTCTGTCACTCCAAATGCTTGGCCCTTCTCCAAACACCGGCTGGGAATGAATACATATTTTGACTGGATCCCCCCCTGCCCCCCCAAAAAAAAACTGAAAGAGGAAGGTTGGCAACAGAACAAGCCCATTTCTGAGAGGCAGGGCTGAATCTCAGGGTGGAAGTGACTCATGCAAGTCCGTTGTGGCACAGCTGGCATGATGTCAGAGAGTCCTAGGGCGTCACCACCACCCTCTCCCATCGTTCTTTGGGCTTCTCAGTTTCCTGTAGCGAGGTGATAGAGAAAAGATTGGTTGGATTGCTAGTATCTAGGTAGAGCAGGGGTAGGCAACCTAAGGCCTGTGGGCCGGATGCGGCTCAATCGCCTTCTCAATCCGGCCCACGGACGGTTCGAGAATCAGTGTGTTTTTACATGAGTAGAATGTGTCCCTTTATTTAAAATGCATCTCTGCATTATTTGTGGGGCCTGCCTGGTGTTTTTACATGAGTAGAATGTGTGCTTTTATTTAAAATGCATCTCTGGGTTATTTGTGGGGCATAGGAATTCGTTCATTTCCCCCCAAAAAATATTGTCCAGCCCACCACGTGGTCTGAGGGATGGTGGACTGGCCCATGGCTGAACAAGGTAGCTGACCCCTGAGGTAGAGCATGTTCCGGGTTCAATGCCTGGCATCTCCAGGTGCGGCCTGGAGAGCCACTGGCAATCAGTGCAGACAATATTGAGCTAGGTGGGCCAGTGGCCTGACTCAGTACTTGGTAGCTTCCTGTGTAGAGTTCAGGAGACACAAAGGCCCCTTGCTTGTCAAGAGCGGGGGACAATTGTTTTGTGGGCCGAATGTTGCCTAATAAAAATGTTTTCTTCCTATTTGGCACGTGCAGAATTCTTGAAATCGACTTGCACGGGAGGGAGGCAGCTGCGTGTATTCCAGGCCTTTCTACCCCTGCCTCTGTAACTCTATGATGATCTCACTGTCTCCTCTCCTCTCCATCCCTCGCTCTTCAGAAAACCGATATGCCCAAAGAGGCAGGACAGCCTGCCAGAGGTGAAACGAGAAGACTTAGCAAGCGGCTGGCTTTTGTTCAAGATTCATGCTGATGGGGCCCTTGGCCAGCTGCCTCCATCTTGCGCAGCTTTCCCTCTCTGTGTGTGTTTATCAGCCGAGTCCTACAAGAAAGGTGGGGCAGGCCGGGAGGGGGAAACAAACAGGCCGAGTGCTCTTGGCCAGCTTGCCAAGAAAACGAAGGAGCAGCTGGAAACAGCATTTATCTTATCAGCACGTCATTCCCAAATGGAAGGGTCATTAAAATGAATGATTCCAGTGTGAAGGCCCACAGAATCTTCCTTATGAGTTGGCACCGAAGGCAGGGCGGAGAGTCGTAAATCTAACTATTTTCCGCAGCAGCCTCGCTACAAGCTGAAGCAACAGGCATCCATTTGCTCAATCATAACAACCACAACCGTCACCACCACCACAGCGAACACAAAGCTCAACAACCAGGTCAGGATTTATTTAGCCAGATTTGGGGAGCAGGGCGATGGGGGAGAAAGGGAGACTAGCTTGTTCTGCAGTAGGCATTGCCAGTAAAGATTATGGGGTTATAATTTTTGATCAACTGAGTCCTGGCACAAAAAGGACGCTCTAAGCAATGGACTTGGGCCTAATGGACTGTAGTGATCTGTAAACATTGATTAGAATAAGGATGGGGAACCTTTTTGGTGGCCCAGCCGGCCAGAATCAATCCCCACCCCAACAGGCCAACTTTGTCTGGTGAATGGGACAACCCACTTGTCCCTCACCTAACATCATTAGGACATCAAATAATTGCCAGGCAGCTTGTGCTCCCCCAATACATGCACAAAGTTGTTGTGTAGCATTTTCCAACTGCCTAACAGCCACCTTGTGCTTGGTATCCCTCAGGCCTTCCTCGTAGTCCCTTCAGGGATGCAAACCATCAGTGTAGCTCCTCTGTATGCTTTAGTTGAGAGAAGTGCAGTGAGGAACTCCAACCAGCAGATGGCAGCAGAGAGGTGGCCACAGAGTTGCAGGAGGGAACCCCCAACAGGTGGCAGGAGATGATGGTTTCTGGGGAAGATAGTAGGAATTGCAAAGCCAGGTATAGGGTAGCTCTAAGCTTCCCCTCCTAGGTGGCTTTCAGCAATAGTGATTTCAGCCAGTAGTGTTTCAGCCTGTGAAGCTAACTGAATCTTTCTACAGGAGACCCTTTGTTCTTCTGTCCCTCACAGAGAGAAAAAGACTCCTTTTCCCTGACCAGATAAGTGATTCCTCCTCTTCAGCTTTATATTTGGGGCTTCCTGAATGTAGGCTCCCCACCTCAGGGCAATGATAGGAGATTTCCATTTCTCTGGAAGCGGCCACTCGTAGTACTGAGTTTAGTTTTTGTTTTTGCATGAGAAAGAGAGAACAGGAGACTTGCAATATCTTTGTGACATTTCCTTTATTTACAAATATACAAGCAGCGCATAAGTGGAAGCAAACGGGCACTCCAACTGCAGGTAGAATATCTTTCGAAGAGCAACTGGAGCAGTTCTCCAAAATGGCATTCCTAGATTTCAGCTCACTCCACGTAAAAATCCTCAGAGCTCCCCGGAACCTTTCAGATGTAACACAAAATCATGGCTTGCTGTTACACGATGTAACAGCCCTGAGTAATTTTAAGTTTGCACACTCTCTTCTCCTTCTCTCGCTTACCTATGTACAGCTATGCTTTTGATCTTTGCTGTGGCAAAACCCCTCCTCTGAAAGTGTAGTTTACATTGGGAGGAAATCCCCCATTGGTGCTAACATGGGGAAGTTTTCTCCAAATATTAGCTTTAGAGGACAGCAGCAGGGAATGAAAAAATTAAACTCCCCCTCTGTGTCTGCTGGAATCCCAGTAATTTCTCCCTGCCCACCAACCAAGACTTGAAATCCTGCATTTTAAATGCAAAGTCACATTTAACATCACACCTAGTATGGATCTAATTGCTTCTCTTACACACCCACCACCACATACCTGCTTTTCAGGGTAGTGGTCTAAGACCACCACCACCTCTCTAGGTGAATTGTCTAGGAAATACCCACAGCCATCAAAACAGGAATGGAGAGCCTGCTGCCCTCCAGATGTTGTTGAACTACAAATCCCATCAACCCCAGCCATCATGGCCGAATGGTCAAGGATGTTGGGAGTTGTAGTCTAGCAATAGCTAGAGGGCTGCAGGTTGTCTCCACCTCTTCATTTAACAAGCATTAGGATTCTTTTGCTTAAAATACCTGACTGTCATTGGGTGTCTTTATGCAAAACCATAGCAGTAGACCAATTCACAGTCATTGAGACCAGGTAAACCAGGTTACCTTATCATTGCTAAAGGAGGCTTTTCTTTATGTCAGTTCTCCCCCCACCCCCACTGCAAAGCCCAATTTAGCTTGCTAAGAAGTGTAACAAGTATACGGACAGTTCCTCGTTGTGCTGGATGTTCCTGGTGTGGAAACGATCCACACCCGTCACGATTGATTTCGATTTGTGTGTTGATTATTTCACCGTTTATAAATAGCTTTCCCGAGAAATGCTCAGACAAGGCAATGTACGACAATCAAAACATTTTTTTAAAAAGAAGTTTCAATAAACAATGAAGAACAGTAATATTCACAGCAATTTTTAAAACATTGCGACCAATATATTAGCAGATAATCACAGCACTAATTGCACGCGGAAGCCTGGTAGAGAGGCAGGGCAAGAAGAGTCACCATGCAGAAGTATAAAGTCACATGTAGACTTTAGCCCTTAGTTGAAACCCATAAGAGAGGGATCATAATGAATGTACAGGGTTGACACCAACTAGATGTCAGAAAGAGGAAGATGGCTGCCTCTCTCCCAAGCCACATCTCCCTGTTTGCTGGGGTGGGAGGGTAAAGAGGACTCTGATGATGGGGATCTAGATCTTTCTCTCCAAAGCAAGGGCACTCAACATGGTGCCCTCTGAGTGTTAGGGCCCAACTCCCAACTCCCACCATCCCCAGCCATTGGCCATGTTGGCTGAGGAGATGGGAGCTGATGTCAAACAACTTCTGGAAGGCCATGTGTTGGCTACCTCTGCTCTAGAGGCCAAAAGCAGAAGTGGGCCTACCTGGGGGGCAAACACTCTCAAAAGACCCATCCAAGTACTTAAGGTTAAAGCTTATACTGCTCCCCCCCCCCCCGCACGCAGGTTGGCAAGTCAAATGGAATGTAGTTTCCAGAGAATCTGTGAAGAAGGAACCGTAGTGGCTAATTCTTACCCAATTAAACACCAGAGAGATGTGGATGGGCTAGATCATGTCAGGCTTAGATTAATGTAGTTGTGAGGGGGTAGGGGCAGGTGTAACTGCCGTTATCATTCCCCTTAAGGAACAAAAAAAAAGAGCGCATTGTGGTAACATCCCCATTTGTGATCCATCTGTTCATCAAACAGCGCTATGGCAGTTCATCAAGGAAAGCCTCAGCATCCTGTTGTCTTCAGTCAAGTCACTCTTGCACCCCATCTGCAGGTTGGTGGCAATCCAAGTCTCCCTTCAGCTCCAGGCTTCCTGGCAACTTCACCCCGGTTTTCCTATCTACACACCAACATTTCCCTCGTTGCCCATCCAACGCTGGGTGACACTGAAAGGGCAGAGGAATAAAATTAGAATTGACAGTTCTTTATTAGGATTTAAAAGTACCTGATCCACCTGTGTCCACCTAGAGCCGCAGGGAGGAATATATTCTCAAGCAACATTTCTCCAAAGAAAATAGTGACATCCTATTCCATAATAATAATAATAATAATTGTTTATCCTCTGCCCATCTGACTGGGTTGCCCCAGCCACTTTGGGTGGCTTCCAACATAATAAAACATTAAACATTTTTTTAAAATTCCGTATACAGGGATGCCTTCGGATGTCTTCTAAAGGTTGTATAGTTACTTATCTCCTTGGCTCAGAGGTTGCATACCTCCATACCCTCCAACATTTCTCCAATGAAAATAGGAACGTCCTAAGGAAAAGCGAGGGTGGCGCTGTGGGTTAAACCACAGAGCCTAGGACTTGCCGATCAGAAGGTCGGCGGTTCGAATCCCTGCGATGGGGTGAGCTCCCATTGTTCGGTCCCAGCTCCTGCCCACCTAGCAGTTTGAAAGCATGTCAAAGTGCAAGTAGATAAAGGTAAATGGAGTTTCCATGCGCTGCTCTGGTTCGCCAGAAGCGGCTTAGTCATGCTGGCCACATGACCCGAAAGCTGTACGCCAGCTCCCTCGGCCAATAAAGTAAGATGAGCGCCACAACCCCAGAGTCGGTCACGACTGAACCTAATGGTCAGGGGTCCCTTTACCTTTACGGAAAAGCGGGGCATTCCAAGATCAAATCAGAAACTGGGATGGCTTCTGTAAATCCAGGACTGTCCCTGCAAAATAGGGACACTTGTAGGGTCTGGCATTCTCCATGGCAGTCCCTAAGTTGTGGAATTCTCTCCCCACAGAGGTGCATCTGATGCCTTCACTAAACAGCTTTCAGCAATTGCTGAAGATGCACTTCTGTACTTTTGGCTTTGCAAGACTTGTTATGTTTTTAAGCAGGAGTTGCATACTTGGGCTCACTTAACACAGCCTGGTTATGTCTTAACTAGTAAATACATAGCATATGCTCATGATTTATACACTAAATGATGCTGGTGAATCAAAGGGCAGACAACACAAAACTGAGGTCCACCCATCTTTCAGCCAATGCTCCAGTATTACCTGTTTGGGGTGGAAGTTCCCATTGTGGTCACAGTTGGGAATGGGGATTATGTACAGGTCCTCGTGGGTTCTGGTTTGGGAAGCTGCTAATCTCTCCAGCGCTCTGTGAAGTTCACTCTGACATGAGCCTTGGACCTGTTGGCAAAACAGTAGGAGGCAACGGAGTCAGAATGTGGACGGCAAGAAGTGGAGAAGGCATGGAAGCCCCAAGCAGAAGCACCACTGTGCTTGCAGCCTCCTTGTTGGAAAGGATGGAAATATCTCCAGGGCTGAACTGTATTCCCCTTTTTTCCAGCATAGGACAATATATAGCTGCTATGCAGCAAAAATGCCCTGCTCTATCTTTGCAGCTCTATCTTAAACATAAGCTGGAGTTATGAATCAAATGAATCAAATGAAGGTGATTGCTTTGTGAGAGTGGCCTTGATTTGGAGAAAAGGCTGATGGGGATCTACACAAGCAGTGACCCACATAGCTGAACACAGCCTACCAGGCGTGTATGGTCACATATCAGTGGCTTGATAAACCCGTTTTGCTGCCTTACCTGGAATTGTAACCATGCACTGTAAACATGGTTGGTGGGCTGTGTTCTGCTTGGTATGTCACATAAGCTGTGCTGCACATATGTAAACCAAATCACGGCGCTGTGTTGCAAAAGGCTGGAAAGCTAAGGCCTCCCAATGACATTTTTTTAATCATCCACGTTCTCTCTTGCACAGCCTTTCTCGGACCTCTGCTACTGAATTGTTCAATGGGATATGGTGATGAAAACTTGAGATTCATAGGCCTGCTTGTAGAACTACTTCCTCTTTGTGGTACAAATATGCACAAGTGACATACTCATTCTGATTTAAGTTACAATTTTCCGGGTTGACCTGCTGCCTCTTGGCCTGCACATCCTATTTTAGCAACAACTGTAAGAAAAACACTGGGGCCTAATTTGAATAGTAGAGTGCTTGGTATCTGGTGGGAGGGGCTTGTGTGTTCTGCTCCGGAATTGGCCCCTCCCTTCAGTGTGTGTTCCGTTAAGAATGTCAGTTAAGAGGGACTAACTGCCTCTTCTTGTTTCTTGCCTCACACTTGCCTCATGATGCTGTATTTAGTTTCTCTCAGACATTATGTTATTTTGTTACAGTTTTCTCTCAGTTTATTATTAAAGCTTGTTTACGTTTACGTGAGCCACTTATTTTTTTCAAAGAAAAAGAAACTGCTGAAGAATGGTGGAATATCTTAAACTTGGGTGAATGAGGGGATATTCCTAGTTTGCCAGGAGGATTGATTTTGGAAATCATCCCACCTCCACAACAACTTGTACATTTCTACAGAACCATGCTCCTCACTATTAACATTAACATCTGATTTAGAAAATTCCATGGCTTCATTCAAAACACACTGGAGTTTTCTTGGATTATTATTTAGATAGATAGATAGATAGATAGATAGATAGATAGATAGATAGATAGATTTAAAAAACACGCCCTACTTGCCATACGTTCGGGTTTCCCCCAGACATTTTGCCAATTCAGCAAAAATCCGCCTGGACGCCATTTTGCTGCCCGATTCCCGGATGTGTCCGGGAAAACCCAGATGTTTGGCAGCCCTAGTTGAAGCAAGTTGGATGATGCCTTTATTAAAGCCATTGAGAGGCAGAAATGTTGCTTTACTTAGCTCTGCTGTGAAATAAGGAACATGTGGCCCTTCGGATGCATTTGGACTACAATTCCCAACCTCCTTGACCACTGGCTATGCTGTCAGGAGCCAATGGTAGTTGGGGTGCTTCCATTTCTGGGTGGAATTCAATCATATACTGGCAAATTCAGGTTGCGCAGTTGAAGTTGATTCAGAGCTCTTGCACAACAAACCCTGCACCCACCCCCAAATAGGGACTTTTTGCAATAAGGAAAGAGATGGGGAAGTGCACTGGGTAGTGTAGGACAACACTTGCTTGTGGCAACACTATATAACCTCCCCTCAAGCAAATCAGAAAAATGCTCAGTAAAGAGCCATTGCCATTTCACCTCCCCACAAACTCTGGCCATAATCCTGATCTGAAAGCACACTGAAGTGCTCACAAAATCAGGACAAAATGTTCATTAAATGGCTCATTTGGAAGCAACCTTGGAGTCCAACATCTGGAGGGCCAAAGGTTTAAAGGAACAGCAAAGTTGGGCGACAGAAGTGGAGGTACCTAATCTGCTGAGATGGTGGCTTTTCGTTCCCCCACCCCTGAAGAGAAACCAGGACACCTCACCACTGGCCGGGTGTCCTCCCGGATGGGCAGGTTCCCACTGGTCCTCATTTTGACAACAGTGTTTATCCGCTCACGGTTCCTTGCTTGCTGCTTCTGACGGCATTTTCTGTCTTGGATGCTGCAGGGGCTGAAGTTGATGGTGGGCGGGAGGTCAACCTCCTCGGGATCTAAATAGGAATGAAGTCACAGCGGCATGAAAATAATTGCCAGAGGGGATTTGTTTTAGGGGCTGGAGCTTGCAAAGAGCAGTCTCAACACATTTTTGAGGACACGCACACCCCAACAGTTAGCCGCCGTGTCCGTTGCTTTACAGGGAATGTCAGTGTGGGGGCTTCCTGAGTTTCCAAAAGAATCTCCTCTTTCCCTGCAGTTCCCACTGTGAGGAAGCCAGGCACATTGACTACGCAGCTCATGCTGACCATTGTCAGATGTGTGGACCAGTTGGTCCTGCATGTTTGAAACAAGGCGATATGCTCAAGCAGATTGGTGCAGTTCCTAAGAAGAAATATATCTCAGGTTCAAGGCCTGTGACCGAGAAACCTTGCCCTGTTCACCTCCCATTGCAAATCTGTCTGGGGTGCAAAGCAAATTATCCCTGCATGTTCCTAGCACTGAAAGCAGGTTCCATAGCTAATCCCCGGCTGAGGTTTTGCTCAAAAGCAAGCTCCTGGAGTGGTGAGGCAGAGGCATTCTGCACATGCTCAGAGGCTAATACTTCACATATTCCAGCGATGGCAATCAAAAGAGGAGCTGGGCCTGTGTCTTGGCAGAAATCAAGTCTTAGAGAGGATGTGTGGCTAGCAAACTGGGCCACGAAAAGTATTTTTTTGCCAACCCTGCTCTAAGTTGGCCCACATACAAGCCTTTCATGGATTGCCTCAGCCTCCCTCCCCTCCATCCTTTCTCTCTTCTAAAGCCTGCCCAGTTGGCTTCCTCTGAGTTTCCAAAGTATGGCTGTTCTCCCTTTAATCCCTCTTTTCCAAATGGGCCGCATCCAAGTTTCCATTCATTTATGTGCAACTTTGGATCAATTTCTCGTCAGCTAACAAACACTGGAGATGCGGCTTTGCTTGCCTGTAGAGCAAGGGGACAGGGTTTTTCCTGTAAGTAAGATCTCTGCTGTTCCCTTCAAAAAAAAAACCGTAGGAGGCAAACTTCACAAGAGGCTGAAGAAATAGGATAGAAGTCTATTTTACAAAAACTCCTGCTTTCAGTTATTACACCTAACCTGTTTTGAGTGTCAACTCTTCGTCAGATTCAGTAGTCTCCTTATGAGGTGTTCCTCTGTAGAGAACTCACATTGACCATGTTAATACATCATGCTAAACTGCGGTTTAGTCATGCTAAACTATGGTTTGGCACAGGACAAGGGACCTTTCGCCTTTCAAGTGTTGCTGAACTACATTTCCCATCAGCCCCAGCCAGCATGACCATGGGGGTTATAGTGCAACAGCAACTGGAGGGCCAAATGTTTCCAACCCCTGGTATATCATGGCATGCAGAAGCAAGACATTTAGCTCTTCATCTGAACCCTCTTTTGGGTGCCCCTTCTGAGGGAGGCCTGAAGGATGGTGGCAAGGGGGGAGGGCGTTTGCAGTTGTAGGTCTTTGTCTGTGGAATTCTCTCCCCAGTTAGGTCCACCAGGTGCCATCATTAACTTATTTTTGGTGCCAAGTTTTAAAAAAAACCAACAACTCCCTCCTCCCAGGCATTTGATATATAATGGTGATTTTGCTATATGAATACAGTATTTGTTTTTGCTGCTGTTTTATTGGCTCCCTTCTCTGGATTACTGCATGTTTTCTATGGTAATAGATGGTTCTTTTTTTCTAATGTTATTATTATTATTTATTACCAACCTAAAGTCTCAAGTCAGGTCATAACCATTTACAATACATTAAAAACATTTTAAAACAAATCACCATCACAACAATAGAGTAGATCTTACAACTATACTTCTCAGGTGCCAAACGCCAGAGTAAATAAAGCTGGGCAATATCTGGTTTTCAACATTGCGATATATCACCCGCTAAACATCACAATACAGTGGTACCTCCGCTCCTGAATGGGATCTGTTCTGGAGCTCCGGACGGATCCTGAGGAATTTGCAACCGGAGGTGCCGCTTCTGCGCATGTGCGCCGAAACCCGGAAAAATATTTCTGGGTTTGCCACGTACATATCCCAAAGGATACGTAACCGGAAGTGAACGTAAGTAGAGGTACCACTTTATACCAATATATCACAATGTTTGAAATAAGGATGGACCTATGTAGAGGCATTGGCTGGCTTCACGGTTTTCCCCACATTGTGCTTTTTGCATAGCACATGCACACACACACACATCATGAATCATAATATATTGCCAGGTCAAAAATTATGAAACCAATACCATGATATGGACTTCAAACCAGTTTTGGTCGATATATCGTCCAGCCCTACTCTTCCGCATTCTCCAAAAACTGTATAGTGAAGCTGCCAGTTGCACCTCTGTGGAGAGGGAGTTCCACAGTTTAGGGGCTGCCACAGAAATGACCTCTCCCAAGCAACATCGCCCCCCAGCATCTGGGGGCGTCAGACCCCCCAAGTGGGCCCCCTCTCCTTTCTTAACACACAAGAGGCTCTGTAGGGAAGGAGGTGGTCTTTCAGACATCTGGAGCTTACCTTCAAATTTTGTAAGTCACTTAATGTCTCTTTATGCAGCAAGCAACTAATAAATGTAATACTAATGTGTTCTGTTCCTGCTTTACAGCCGAGGGAAAGATCTTATGAGCTTTCTCTTCCACTTTTTTTGTGTCATTGGGACCCAGAATTGCAGTTACCATAAACGGTGGTTAAATTCAACCAGTCAGCCTCAGAAACCACGGTTTGAAGTTGGCTTGTTTGAAACTAACAGTAGTTAATAGAAACTGGAGTTTGTCATTCCAAGTGACATAACTTATCCAAATCAAAAGCTCCTGAGCTCCTTCCTTTTGTTGCACAAGCAGAGGAGAGAGGATGAGGACGAGCCCAAGGCTTGCTGTGGCTCGTTCCTGCTTGTACACCTCCACAAAGACGCAGCTGCTATGCCCTTCCTTGTTCCCCCTCAACCTTATAACCTCCAAAGCCATTTAGTTGGGATGCATTGTATGATCCCAGTCTCCCACTGAAGACAGCCAGAGAAGGCCTGTTCAGAATCGCTATCCATCATCTATAGGGGCAAGTTTGATGAGACATTCATCCTTTTTTCTAATATATGCTGAGCTTTCAAATTCTTAAAATTCTGCTGTTCAGGAGCCAGACTGCGTATGCATAACCAGCAGAAAATGCAGCGAGGTTGTTTCCTCCTGCCGTGTTTCAAATCGCATTTGCACGTGACTGTGGACATCAGTGTAGCTGAATGTGTTTCCAAGCCACCTGCTGTCTGTCCAGACCAGCGGGTGGTGATGGGGCTTGAATGTCTTTGCATGGCTTTTTGTTTTCAAATCGGATTAAAGCTGGTTTGAGAGGGAACGCATCAATACACAGTATTTCTCAAGAAACTACAGGATAGATGTGGATTGTGGCCAACTTCGCAAACCAGCAATAGGAGTGCACTGAAGGCAGAGTAAACGGGAGTGTGTACACAGCCTTTATGTTGCACTAGGGAGGATAGTCATTTGTATTTGCTAAATTAGCAGATACATGTTTTTTAGGCACTAGGCAAAGGAGTAAGTTGAAGTGTGTGTTTTCATGAGGGAATGGGTCGCATGTGTGAGTGCTTAATGAGACACGCCAACTCAGCCACCAAAGCCTCACGAAAGTTAATTTTCTCTGCACTTTGCTCTCTTCTGTTGTGAGGGGCTATTATTTTGCCTCATGTTAAACAGGTATATCTAATATAACCTGAGAGAGACAGACTGGGATTAAGGGTATGAGGAGCCTAAGGCAAATAGGAATGAAGAAGCTAAGTTACACTACTTCATACATTCCCTCTTCTACAAAACTATCGAAGTAAATTATCATTGCAAATTTGGTTACCCTTGCTCTGGGCCCTGGAGGTGCTACTTGGGTCACATTACCCCCACACCAATTGAAGCACATAGCCTTTGGGGGGGGGACCACACATCCTCACGTTCTGAGTGAAATGGTTGAGGAAGTGCCATTAGCTAGACAAAATCAGCACCTGAGGAGCCAGTGAGCAGAAGAAGAAGAAGAAGAAGAAGAAGAAGAAGAAGAAGAAGAAGAAGAAGAAAAGTAGTTTGGATTTGATATCCCGCTTTATCACTACCCCAAGGAGTCTCAAAGCGGCTAACATTCTCCTTTCCCTTCCTCCCCCACAACAAACACGCTGTGAGGTGAGTGAGGCTGAGAGACTTCAGAGAAGTGTGACTAGCCCAAGGTCACCCAGCAGCTGCATGTGGAGGGGCGGGGAAGCGAACCTGGTTCACCAGATTACGAGTCCACTGCTCTTAACCACTACACCACACTGGAAAGGAGATTGTTGCCTTTCATTTTCCACAAGTGCTGGGTGAGAAGCAGCACCTTGCAAGCCCAAGCTGGCCTGGAGAGGGGATGAAAGGGGCCAGAGTAATGTGGGCATTGAAAGTGGCTTATGGGTTGTAAGTTGGCCATCTCAAATATGTGCCACCAGGCTCCAATAATCAGCAGTAGCTGCAGGTTTACTTTGGCTCCTCCTGTTGCTGTTACCTGTGCTGCCATTATCTTCCCTCCTCCCCCTCGTCAATGGCATGTCCAGCTCAGTCTTCCTGACTGTAGATCTACCCAAAAATGGTGCACTTTTGAAATGTCTGCATGCTCAGTATCTGCTTTCTCTTACTCTCCTTGGGGCAGCCCAGCCCATTTCGCCACCTGAGGCAAAACAGGAATTGCTGCCTCCTGGCACACTCCGCCCCAGCTCTCACCAAATCCAGCAGGAATTGGGGCACTTCTCAAAGTGTTGCTGCTGGCTTGGCTTCTCAGCTTCTCAGCTCTGCCTTTCCTCCAGCCCATAGTGAGACCAGCATTAATTGTTATCAACCCTAAGCAAAACATGGGGGTAGGTGAGTCAGCTCTGTATTAGGAATCTGTTTACCTACCACCTGCAGGGAGGGTTAAAAAATAAATAAAGGATTTCCTTGCAACAGCAAGGGTACCTAGGATTATCAGCAGATAGTCGTGACAATCCCAGGCAATTTGGGACAGAGAGCAGGACTCTGCAAAGCACTGTGCACGTTGATGGTGCTGGAAATAATGGTGATGGCGACAGCAGAACCTTGAACATCTTAGCTTTTGTTGAAAAATAAGCTTCTAGCCCATATGACTACGAGAGAAAAACAGTTGCAGATAGGAAGTGGGTATGGGGGAGCAGGACTTTCAGTGGACATAGAATAGATTGTCACTCAACTGCATAGCTTCTGGATACTGGCTTCTCTACTAGCAGCACACCTACTGACAATCTTCAGACCACCCCCTTCCTCCGTTTCGCCCCAGTCTCCAAAATCTTTGAAAGCCTGGCTCTGGGAACCAAAATAAATGGTACAAAGTAAGAAAACATAAGCCACATGCAGAGTTTATTCTGCAGGATCTAAGCCTCTTTAGTGTAGCGCTTGACTTCCATTAGTGCCAAATGTTAGGGATCCTAAAACTGTCTGTTAGGTGATAAAGCCCAAGCTGTGTCTCTCTGGAAAGGCTCAGGTTTTCCTAAGGTGCTCTGACTTTACAGCAAGGAAGCGTGTATTGATAATGCCTCTGGCTAAGATTACATGTAAACACTGTCTGTTTACGCAGAGCTCATCTTTGGTTTTCTGTTTAAATGCTTGTGACTGGGTGCAAGACAAGCAGGAAGGAAAGTAGGGAAGCAGCAAACCTATTTTAAAGTGGGGGGGGGGGAGTGTATGGAAGTGGGCCATAATACCATACATCAAAAACCTGATATCAGCAGTACAGTTTAACAAACAATACACTCGTTCTCAGACTGAAATAATAACTAAAATAAGTCATCCGGAAGAAAAAGAAATGTATTTTGAGCCAGTGACTGATGAAGGGCATTAATAATAAGGTTTCCGTTAAGTGAGAAGAAATAAATCTGAATCTGTCAGGAGTGCATGTATATTGCCTTCTTGGGCTGCCAGAAAAGTGGGAAATGCAACCCACAGCTCATAAAAAGGAATCAGATTCCTCCCTGTCCCCTCATTCTTCAAACCTGGCAAGTTAACCAGCATAATTATTATATCCCGTAATCCATCTACCGGTTCGGGGTAGAGGAAGTAACCACTTCCCTTACAAGCTAAATCCACTTTGACTGCCAACAAAATACTGAAAAATAGAGCTTTATGTGGAAGCAGTGGGCTCTCAGATGGCAACAAATGAAACAGAATGATGTTAGGATATTTCTCTGTTGGCCTACGTAGAATAAAGCCGTGTGTTTGTAAAATCTGTTCCCAATAAGTCTGTTTCAGTGGGTGCTCTCACCAAAAACAGTGAAAAATCTCCAACAGCCCACACATTTTCCAACTACCGGTGATATAATGAAGTTGAATTAGATGCAGCTTGAAAAGTCTTGCATACCAGCAACTAATAATATTACATTCTAGGCTCCTGTTGCTATTTTATTAGTGGGATTCAAGCGGATACAGGCAAATTCAAGTTATGAAATTAAAGTGGATTTTGCACTTTTGCACAACAAACCCACTTCTTATTGAAAACAAAAACAAAAAAACCACAGACTTTCTGCAATAAGGAAAGCGATGAAAAAATGCACAGGAAATTATAGGATGGCAATTTCTTGACATGACATTGTACAACAGAACTTTCCAAGCTTTTCATGTTGGTGACACACTTTTTAGACATGTATCATTTAGCAATTCAGTTTTACTAGCAAACCAGAGGTTAAACTAACCCCTTTCCAACCCTGGGAGGATCACGGGGAGTGTTCACATGGCACACCTACAGACTGCAAGCTGACACACGTAACATGTCGCGACACACAGTTTGGAAAGCTCTGCTGCACAACCTCCCTGTAAACAAAACAAAACAGAGAGGATACAGAGAAAAGTTTGGAGGGAAGGCGAGCTGGATCTGGAACTTGCCTTAATATTGACAGATGTCTTCTGATGAAATTTAAGTACGCCAAAGTCAGGGAAAAGAACGGGAAGTAGTCCAGGAAATTGTTATTGTTTATGTGCAAAATATGGTAGATATTGGTACATTAGCAGGCTTTGATTAAACCTTTGCAATTAGTAGAGATGGGGATAAAATTAGAAGAAAAAAATAATAGTTAAGCATAGATGTGGAATGCATGCACGTGCGGTGAAACCCGGTAAAATACTTCCGGGTATGCCACCCGCGCATCCCAATGTTTACGTAAACAGAGGGTTATGTAAATGAACAAAAGTACAAAGATTCACAAAATGTTTAGGGCTATGCGTACCCCTGCGTACCCCTCCCAGAAAAAAAGCCCTGAACTTTGATCATGTCACCTCTTCCTCACCTTTTCCCTAAACTAAAAAGTCTCAAACACGACAGCTTTTCCTCATACAGGGAATTGCTCCACCCCCTGAATCATTTGGGTTGCCTTTTTCCGAATCTCCAGTAATATTTTTGAGGTGAGCTGACCCAAACTGTACATAGTATTCAAAATGCAATTGAACCATTGATTTGTATAACAGCATGATATTGGCAGTTTTATTTTCAACTCCTTTCCTAATGATCCCTAGTATGGAATTTGACTTCTCTGCAGCTGCTGCATACCGGATCAATGTCTTCACTGAGCTATCTACTATGACCTCAAGGTCTCGAACATAGATGTGAAATTAAATATATTTTTTGCTATGACATGCATAACTTCACACTTATTACACTGAATTGCATTTGTCATTTTACCACCCACTCTCTGGGTTTGGAAAGGTCTTTTTGGAGTGCCTCACAATTTCTCTTTGTTTCAGTAACCCTGAACAATTTATTATCATCAGCAAACTTGGCCACCATGCTGCTCATTCCTAACTCTAGATTGTTTATGAACAAGTTAAAAGGCACAGTTTCCAATACTGATCCTTGGGGGACTCCACTTTCTACTTCTCTTCATTTGGAGAACTGTCCATTTATTCCTATACTTTACTTCCTGCAACTTAGCCAATTCCTGATCCACAAGAGGACCTCTCATCTTATTCCCTGACTACTAAGCATCCAATATCAACCCATTCACCTCTGTCTATATGCTTGATATTCTCAAAGAACTTTAATAAGTTTGTGAAACAGGACTTGCCCTTTCAGAAACCATGCTAGCTGTGCTTCAGCAAGGCTTGTTCTTCTGTATGCTTGTTTATTTTATATTTCCACCAGTTTTCCTGGGACAGATGTTAAACTAACTCTTCTGTAATCTCCAGGATTCCCCCCTGGATCCCTTTTTTAAAAAATTGGGTTATATTGGCTATTTTTCAGTGCTCAGGGATGGAGGCTGATCTGAGGGACAAGTTACATATTTTGTTAGAAGACCATCAGTTTCACATTGCAGTTCTTTTAGAACGCTCAGGTGGATGCCATCCAGACCTGGTGATTTGCCAGTTTTAAATTTTGTCTATTAGGCCTTGAACTTCATCTCTTGTCACTACTGTCTGCCTTAATTCCTCTGACTTGCCTCCTACAAAGATGAGGAGTATTCAAGGTTCTCCTAACAACTTCCAGCAGCCTTAAAGAACTACAGTTTCCAGGATTCTTTGGAGGACACCGTGACTGTACAAAGTGGTATGACGCTGCTTTAAATGTATAGTGCAGATGAAGCCTATGAAGAGGTGGAGTTTTGACATTTTAGGAGGCCAGGCTCTGGCACCATGCCTCTTCACCTCCTCACCTGGATGAACCTTCATTTCCCTCCACACCAAAGGTGGGAAACCTTTTTCAAAACAAAAAGGTTTCTAGGCATCCTTTCTGGGGCAAAGTGCCAATGGTAGCCAGATGCAAAATAAGGCAAAGCAATGAAGGTGAATTTTACTGTTGTATAGTAGGCTGCTTTCTGCAGGCACTTGAACCTCCCTCTCTGTCATCCAACCGGGCAAGCAAGAAGCATTATCTGAATTCAAGGACACATTTCAGGCCAGCAAAAACACTCAAGGAGGGTGGGAAGCAGGACCAGTGAGGGATGATAGCCTAGGGAAAGGCACCGTAGCTGGTGAGGATCCCAAGGGCCAGATTGAGAAGCCTGGCCACATTTAACCCTCTGAGCTCTATCCTTGGCCATTTTAGCACAATAGTCTGTATCTCTGTTTGTTTAATTTAATTGGCACAAAACCATCTATCTTAAATTAAATCACCATCATCATCTGCACTATTTCAACTAAGGATGAAAAAGCAGCCAAAGAGTTAAGATTCCCAGCAGAAGCTGAAGAGTTAACAACACAGGCGAGAGGCTTTCATAAACATTATTGTTGGCTCAGTGCCCCCCCCACCTCCCGCTTTTGGCGGGTGAGTCCATATGTGCTCGCGGTGGTGTCCATATGTGTTTGCAGTGGTGTCCTTCCCTCCCTGCCTGATTTCTTCCTGCCCGCTGACCCAGGGCTATGGCTACCCCCACTGTCTCTCCAGATACACCCACATTTTAGCACCCTGCAATGTTTTTTAAAAGGCAGCTTTTAGGGAGCTGAGGTCGTGGTGGGGGGAATGAAGCGAGGCACCCGCTGAGTGGGTCTCGGCACCGTTTGAAGAGCGCAGCAGTCTGGTGCCATGCGCCCGCCGCCCCCCGCCCCCGATACCGCTGGTACCAGACCATGGAATAGGTGTTCATTGAGGTGGACATGCCTCAGGGGACCCACGCAAGGAGTGTCGAGGATGAAGCAACATGTACACTAGAGGACCAGGAACTGATACAAATCACCTTGACAAAAAAGACAACAAGTTCTTTGCTTGAGAATGAGTATGCTGCTGATCCTTGGGTCCAGAACCAGAGGAAGCTGATTCTAGAAAGGTTCCAACAAGAGAACCCTGGATTTGACTTCATTGGGGTATAAATTTCTGGAAGCTGCAGCAAAGGAGGGCCATATTTCTCTAGTCTTGGAAGACAGCTGTCTGTTTTTCAAATGTAATCCCTTGAACTCAAGCAAAAATGTTGTAGAATTGGCCAAAAAACTCACCTGTGAGAACTAGGCTTAAGAATAGTTCACTGCTTATTCTAGACAGCTTTTAGATCACTGAACGATAATAAAAAATGGGGGAAAAGGCAGCTTTTAATTGGCACTCATGCAATGTGGTGAAATTGCTCAAATTTAAGAGCAAAATTAAAAATGCTAAATATAGGAAGTGGTAAAAGAAGCAACATCCTAAAACAACTTGAGGAATGCATCAATTGCACTTAGCGGCGGCTGCTTTGGACGCTTTGGGAGAAGTGGAGGCGTGGAGGGAGAGGAAACATCTTGTTAAAGCTGATTTAAGCTTAACCAGGCAGCAGGATCAGCCCAAGACATGCTGCTGCCTGGGACTAAGGACAGGGTGGCGCCCCACAAACCCACACCCCAAATTTCACGCACAGAAGCCAGCTGGAGCAGCAGTTGAACCTCACTTCAACACTGCCAGCAGGACAACAACAGGCCTGAGGGCAACAGACTAAGCTTACGGGGCACACACATAACCTTGTCTTCCAAGGCATCATTGCTCTTCCCTATCCCAAACGTTCCTTGACTGAGGCAGCTGCGTCACTCTGCCCAATGATGGGGTCGGCCCTGTCAACCAGTCCCTTTATTCTCATAGCCAAAAGGTACAAACACCTTTCCCAACAGGCTGTAGGTCAAGGGTGCTCAGCAGCTACCCCAGAAAAAGCTTGGTAACCATTGTAAAGTCATCACCCACTTCCCTCCCCTACTTCTATTTATGTGCCTCTTAAACCATAGCAATCAGAAGGCACTGTGCCAGGGAAACAGCTGCTTGAAGTTTAAAGGAGGCTGCGGTCTCCCACCAAGGCCCTGAAGCAGAACCCTGTTGAGGGGAGATTGGCATGCGGTGCTTGCAGGCTGCCTGGGGGCATAGAAGGCTTACATCCCTGCAGTGCCACAGATTTCCTTGTGTGGATTTGGGCAGATCAGCTTAGCCTATCTGTCCCTACCTTTCCTCTTTTTTTATTGGGTTGATTTAATTCAGATTAATTCAGAAACTGTTAAGGAACCCTGATGTCCTTTGGAAACGTTTGTCATATGAGCAGGAGCAGTGGAGAAGTTTTTCTAAAAGACACCTTGCCTGAAATTTATGAGTTTTCCTTTACAGTGGTACCTGGGATTAAGTATTTAATTCGTTCTGGAGGTCCGTACTTAACCTGAAACTGTTCTTAACCTGAAGCACCACTTTAGATAATGGGGCCTCCTGCTGCTGCAGCGCCGCCGGAGCACCATTTCTGTTCTCATCCTGAAGCAAAGTTCTTAATCTGAAGCACTATTTCTGGGTTAGTGGAGTCTGTAACCTGAAGCATATGTAACCTGAAGCGTATGTAACCCAAGGTACCACTGTATTTTGTTATTTGTTCTTCACATTTATAGCCCACTTTTTCCTCTGGGGAGCTCAAGGTGGTGTACTCTTATCATTTATGCCCACTTACCGTATTTTTTGCACCATAACACTCACTTTTTTCCTCCTAAAAAGTAAGGGGAAATGTCTGTGCGTGTTATGGAGGGAATGCTTATGGGTGGCATGCCTACGGATTTTCCTCCTCTAAAAACTATGTGCATGTTATGGTCGGGTGCGTGTTATAGAGCGAAAAATACGGTATTCACTTTGATCTGCAGAACAGGCACTATTACAGGTGCCACAGAGTGCCTGTTGCATAGTCGTGGCCAGGTGGGGATCTGAACCTAGACTGTCCTAGTCCAACAGTCTAACCACTACACCACACTGTCTCTCTCCGAGTTGAGTGGATTCCAGAGCACAGTGCTAGTCATACAGAGGATAGATCTCTCAAGCGCTGTCTGGTGTAAAAGAACCCTAAGAAGAGAGAGCAGAGCTCTTGAAGTTGCCCATCAACAGTTGGCACCTAAATAGAACTTGGTCACAGTTCCCCCTCCTCCAGCTATGTGTTGCATTTCTGTTTAAATTAGTTATTTTTCAATTTGCATTTATACATATGAATCACTGCATGCAAATTTCATGTAAATTGGTATACTCTTTTGACTTCTTTTTTTGGTGACGCATTTCCTCCTCTTCTGCTGCTGATGTGTATGTGGCCACCGTATGGGGCAATATTGTGACCTACTATTGCCTGATCAAGACTTTACTGAGATGCATGTACGCCTGTCCTCTCCAAAACAGCCTGTGTCCTGCACTAAGCCATTAGGTGGCTTAGTATGATGACCTATTGCATGACTCTGCAGAATCAATGTGGAAATCAATGTGGAAAATGTTTCCCGAAGGCAGAATGTTTGAAAACCACTGGTTTGATTATTCATCCTGAACGATTAAGTAATGCAATGTAACTGGAAAGTGGCCAGAGTTAACAGCAGTCTGTTTGTTTTTTAAGCGTTTGCGGGTATTTAAAGAAATAACAGACCTGCCTGTCCACAGTAAATTTGTGGAAAGCATTACAAATAAGGCTAGAATTGTTAAACAAACAGGAAAAAAGCCATAAAAACAGAGGAGAACCTCCTTATATGGAAGCAGTATAGTTCCAATTACCAGGTGCTGGGGGGGGGACAGGAGCAGGACTCCTTGGAAAGGGAACACAAAGCAGCAAATTTCAATGGCTCACCCCCCCCCCCAAAAAGCAGGGGCATGGCATTATCTGTGTGAACATCAGGGCAATTGATGGGCCCTCCTTACTCTGTCAAGGGAATGAAGTGATAATGGGGCTTTCAGGTCTGTTGTGGCCGGTTACCATAGATGAATTGGGATGGGAATGAATGGATGAATCTTTATTTGTGTCAGCCATTGGCCATAGCAATAAAACAACAATACGATATACAAAGAATAGAAATACCAATAAAAGGTCAATAATGAAATGGGAGAATGAGGAGGATAATCAAGCAAAGGCAAAATACTTCTTTCCTTTTACAGGGATCCTACTTCGCACTAGTCGTTTAAAATAGTAGCACTTCTTTTCTTTTTTCTTTTTTGAGGTTGAATTCTTTTTCTTTTTTTTCCCCCTAATATTTTTATTAAGGATTTTCTTGTTTTACAGAAGTAAGTGTAATGCCTCGTAATTTTTTTCCATGTAACATTTTTACAAATCCATTTCATTTGTTGAGGCATTAGGGGGAGAAGAAAAAAAAGAAAGAAAGAAAGAAAGGAAAAAGAAAGGGGGAGTGGGGGGAGGGGGGAGGGAAGATGGATGGGGGTGGGGTCGGTTGGCAATGTTTCTATTATGCTTAATGTATGTAGAGTTTGGTGTCAGCGTTACTTGTGTTCCTTTGGTGGTGAGATATCACCCCAGAATTGGCCCTACTAAACATCTTCCAAGACAACAATGCCCATTTACACCACAAAGAACTCATAACCCACCTACTTTCAGCAGCCAGAAACACCATAACCAGACACTGGAGAGACCTGTCAGGAGTAAGCATGGACCAATGGTACCAAATAGTATGGGAAACAGCCCTACTAGAAAAATTAACTAATAAACTGAAACTGACACGGGGACAAACAGAAGAAGACGCCTTCACCCCGGTATGGCTCCCCTTTATCACATACACAGCCCAACAAGACAATGACAATAATCCACCAACAGCATACAAATCAATATGGCTAACCTGATCCAAAACACCCACCCACCTCACTCACACACGAAAACAAAGATCACCACAGCCAATCACACCCTAGGCCAGCAGCACTTCTTTGCAAGACAGTTTGCACTTCTAATTAAAAGCTAAAGCTTGCAATTCAGCTGGCTGGAAACCTTTTGTCAAAGCTTGAAGTATCTTGCAGGCCAAATTTATGCAGTCAGAAGTAAACACAACAGAGTTCAGTGCAGCTTACTCCCAGGAAACTGTTCACTCAGCATGGCAGTAATGCTAATCCTAATAAATTTGATTTTATGCAATGTAAAGGTATAAGTAAGGTAAAGGTAAAGTAAAAGGGACCCCTGACTGTTAGGTCCAGTCGTGGACGACTCTGGGGTTGTGGCGCTCATCTCGCTTTACTGGTGAAGGAAGCCAGCGTACAGCTTCTGGGTCACGTAGCCAGCATGACTAATCCGCTTCTGGCGAACCAGAGCAGCACACGGAAACGCCGTTTACCTTCCCGCCGGAGCAGTACCCATCTATCTGCTTGCACTTTTGACACGCTTTCGAACTGCTAGGTTGGCAGAAGCTGAGACTGAGCAACGGGAGCTCACCTTGTCGCGGGGATTCGAACCACCAACCTTCTGATCGGCAGGCCCTAGACTCATTGATTTAGACCACAGCGCCACCCGCGTCCCGCAACCCGCATTATGCAATGTACTGCTACTTTTTGGTGAGTATATGCATGTGAGTGTACACACACACCCCAATACACACACAGGCAGAAAGACAGGTGTATCTTGACCAACTCTGCTGCCTGCATTTTTTTACTGTCCTTGGGCACTGTCTCTGTGAGCTCTTATGTGTTTCCCGTTGTCAGATCGGTAGCTTCACTCCCCTTATACGACGTTTCTTCACCAACCATATTTTCAGAGAGCCAGGGTAGGATGTTTCCACATTCAGTAGCCAGTTTATAGATCATAGAATCATAAAGCTGGAAGGGACTACAAGGATCATCTAGTACAACCCACTGCAATGCAGAAATATTCCACCCAATGTGGGGCTCAGACACACGGCCCTGAGATTAAGTGTCCCATGCTCTACCAACTGAGCTATCCCTCCTGTGTGCCCTGGTCTCCTGGATGGCCAGGCTGCCTGGCCATTGAGGAGATCCAGCATTGCACCACACTGAACAGGTAAGCGTCAAGGAACCCCATGCTTAGTCCTGGCAAGTTGCAAACTGTAGCTTGTTTGACAACATGAAAGGGGAGCTGGGTGGGAGGGGGAAAGGCCAAAAGCGAATTTCAGCCGCGTAGAGTCTTGGCAATAAGCTTTCTGGGTTAAATGTGATTCCAGCGGTGGAATAACCAGATGTTGGCAGACGGGGAGGCGAGTGTCAAGAGAGCACATCTGCTTAGTTTGACATTTCTTGAAAGGGGAAGCAAGCCCAGGATGCTGTGAAGCCAGGGCATTTAAAGCTTCATATTTTGGTAGAGTAAACATTATTTCTCCCCAATGTGCATGTGTGTGCGTGTGTGTTCTCCTTCGCTCTTCTTGCTGAACTTATCTGCAGCTGCAAGGTCAAGATGTCATGCCGCGAAGCGCACGCTCCCACGCCCGCTGCCGTCTGCATCGAATTATCGATCTCTGCGAACGAAAAGCGTTCCGTGGCGCTTTTGCTTTGAGGATGAGCAACCCTGGCAGACTGAAACAAAACTGTCTGCCAGAAGAACCCCAGGCCTCTTGCCAGCTCTTTTGAATGAAACTGAACAGGGACCCCTCTGTGGAAGCCTTTGAACGTTACAGGACATGTTTTAGCACTGTCAGAGTGAGGTAGGCTAGCTCCGCAGAGGGTAGGCCTGAAATATTGCTTCTACAAGCCGTTGGAAGAAAAACACAGCTGACGACCCTCGATTATCCAGGGACGGGTATCCCATTTTATCCTGAAGATTTCAGTGTGGAGCAAATGGAAACTGAGAAGAAAAGGCGAGAAAGAAAGATATACCAAGAACAGGGCTGTCCACACAGGATACTGAAGGCAACTGAGCACTGGTTGTGCCTTGAATTTATGTTTCTTCTTATCAAATAGAAACCTTGGAAGAACACAGAAGAGGCTAACTTTGGGAAAGACTGATCGTTGCCTTCTACTAAGCCAGCAAAAACTAAGTGTGGGATTCCATTCTGGGTTAAACACAATTCCAGAAGTGGGATGTAACCAGTTTATTGGTTAGGTGGGAAGTAAGCTTGGTGTCTTTCCCTGGGCACACAATCTGGCTCGGCCTAGCCTTTCCCAACCTGCTGCCCTCCAGATGTTTTGGCTGACAAGGGCTATACCACAGTGGCAGAGCATCAGCTTTGCATGCAGAATGATCCCTGGCATCTCTGGGTGGGGCTGGGAAACCCTGGAGAGCTGCTGCCTGTCAGTGTAAACAATACTGAGCTAGATGGAACACTATAACTGTTAAGTTGTGGGTGAACATATCAGACGACACAGCGATTCTTCAAACAGCTCTTGTTTATTCACAGGCCAGAACAGAACTGAACTGAAGGGTTCAGCCAGCCTGCTTATATAGAGCTCCACTACAATGCAACAGTAACCACTTTCTGTAACTATCCAATCACTGAACGTCACTTTCAATCCCTTATTTGCATATGTGGACCTGAGTGAAAACTATCTACAGTATCCCCCTGCTGGCCCAGGGTGAAAACTTCAGTACGTAACAACAACCCACTATGGCCATCAGGTTGGAGAAGGCCAATCTAGCCTGAAACTGTCTACACAATCTCTCTCTCTCAGGTTAAAGACATTCTCAACTCTACTACCTCAGGCCCGGTTTTTACAGACATGAAGCAACAAGGGGAAATCCTGATTTAATGTTTAAAAAGTATGGTTTGGCATTTGAGGACAACAATGTCATGTGGACCCTGAAACAGAAAACACTTGTGGGCATGAGCAACACAAGATTTCCTATCTGGAAACAACCCTAGTCTTGCTTGAAGCTGTGGCTTTTCTTAGAGAAGTAGTCATTGCTGAAGAGATAATGTGAGGTGAAACTGAAATGATGGCCATGTCTGTTGTAAATTAATTTCCCTGTTCTGAGATGCACTGAAAGATGTACAGGACTGCCCTGCTGCAGCCCGCTTCCCCTCAGGGTTAAAGTCTGGTACCAGTAGCTGGTAAAATTTCTTTTGCTGTTTCCTTTCTCAGCCTGCCCTCCCCCTTCTGTTCATTGTTTCCCATGGAAAGGAATCTTCAAAAGAAGGGCTGCCCTCCAGAATACCAGCCAAGAGGCCTGTCAAGGCCTACGCTTGCAAATGTCAAATGATCTAAAGGTCCCTCCCTCCTTCTGAAACATGAAAGCTCCCTCAGTATTTTGCGGCATTTTTTGTTGGTTCTAAAAAAGGCTGTTTCCTAGCTGTGGATTTTGGAGTTTTTTGGACCAGCACGGCTGCCTTTCCTTTTTACATCCTTCTGCCTAGACACACCTGGGAATTATAGTTCCGAAAGCCAGGCTAAGGGTTTCTCAATAACTCCTCTGCTTCATGTGTATACGACTATTACCAGGGGCCTTTCAAGGAAGCCACAGTGTCCCCGCCAACATTTCTCCAATGAAAATAGGGGCGTTCTGAGGAAAAGCAGGATATTCCAGGATCAAATCAGAAACTGGGACAGCTTCTGTAAATCTCGGGCTGTCCCTGAAAAATAGGGATACTTGGAGGGTCGGCCTTAGCAGCTGAAACAACTCCAGGCCTGGTTAAATCCATGTGGTGGCTTTTGACATGCTGGAGGACAGAAGTTAGCCTTAGAAGTTAGCCTGAGTTTAACTTGTTGCTGATCTTCTTTTACACTACAAAACTTGTCAGGCTGCAGAAATAGTGGGTAGGTTAAAAAGAGTGGCTACATACCTTGTGGGATTGTGGGATAAGCTTCAAATGCATCCCCCAAACCCCAGCCTGACCAAACTGCGTAACATGCAGAAATGTTTGCGTTTCTGGTGCCCATTACGGAAACTGCTTGGGGCAGAGGAAGTGGTCTTGGCCTGTTCTGCAAAAATTGAAGTTTCTCCCTTTCTCTCTCGATCTCAAAGAGTGTTGAATTTAAATGGGAGCAAATAAAAACATTTTGAATGGAGCCAGATACAAACAGAACCTTTTTAAAATAAGGTCACTGGAACGTGGAAAGGAGGAGGAGAGAGGGAGGGAGGGAGGAACTGGCCACAATTGGGAAAGGAAATTTGATCACAGATGCAGATCTGGAAGCAAAAGCTGGCCCTAATTTCCTAGACTGCACCATGAAAAAGGCCCGATTCCCAATTTGTCAGTGTTCCTCATGCGGCAAAAGTCAGCAGTCTCACATCCCAATTCATTAAGCAAGGTTATTTGGATTCAAGAGCAGAAATAACAATTTTCTGGCTTGGCGTCACAGAACCATTCTGCCTAGGTGGGATGTAGGTATGAGCTTAAAAAGAACTACTCACTAGTGTGTGTGTGTGTGTGTGTCCCTTATTTTAATCCTCATAGACCAAAAGTATAAAGTCTAGTGGTTTCAGAAAAATCTCCCGGATATGGAGTCACCAAGTTACATAGGACAATTTTTAAAAGGCCAAAATACTTCATATTTATAACAGGGCCTTTTCCCTTCATATAAATACATATTGCGTGAATGTGGCTGACACCAAATCATGCCATATGTCTGTCAAGCCCAGTACTCTGCACTCCAGTTATCAGTGGCTCGCCATATTTTTAACTGCTGTAACAGAATATACTGCTTTGCCATTTATTGTCTGAATAATTAGTGTTGCCGCCTTTCCTCCCCTCACACAGCTCTTTTGCCTTTAACAGATGGAAAATGTAAATTCACCAAATGAAATTTCTCCCGGCATGCAGATGCACTTGAGGGGGCAAAGCTGCACCAGCTAATGGTTTGCTTCTCATTACAGGCACAGAAGCCCTTGTCAGCAACAAAACAAAGTTGGCAATGCTATGAATGAGGCCTCTTTGGAATCTGCAAATTTGCGTGCTTCTTTACCAGCAAAGACAGGAGGAGGTCCACATGAAGATGCTGCCTTTAGCATGGTTTTTCCATGCTGAGTTTCAGAAACTCAAGATTCTGCTTTCTAATAAAATACCAAAGTCATGCCCTCCAACATTTCTCCAATGAAAATTGGGACGTCCTAAGGAAAAATGGGACATTCCGGGATCAAATCAGAAACTGGGACGGCTTCTCTAAATCACGGACGTCCCTGGAAAATAGGGACACATGGAGGGTCTGCAAAGTGTGGTTCCCAAGCAGGAAGCTATCTACACTCTGCTAATTAATCTCCAGAATGTGGCAGTGTAGAGATGACCAACTTTTCAGCAAAAGGAATCGTGTATTTTAGAAGGAGGGAATTGGCAAAAACGTATTTTCAAACCCTGGCAGCATTGAGACATGTCAAACTGGCACCGCATGAAAGTCTCTCAACAACTATCAGACGTGCAACATCTCAAATGGTGAGCCATTCCTGTCGGAGACATACTACTGGTAAGTGGCTCAGTTGTCTTTGCACATTCCAAAAGGTGCACACGTGGCCCTTTTGCAGTGTCAGCAGAAAATCTGAGCGTCATACTCAAGTTTCTTCTGTAACAATGCAAAAAATCCCATGGCCAACCTCAGATGACATTTATGGCTACATTTATACAGCCACCCCACCCAGAATCATCTCCCTAAACAACCGCTGCTTGAGTGGTAGACTCCTTGCTAGTAGACTGTCCATCTGGTTTGGATGGCTAAGCACCACCAGCACACCTGCCCTTCATTAGTTATCTAGTAGTTTGTTGTTGTTTTTAAAGCCTTATTATTATTATTATCATCATCATCATCATCATCATCATCAATAATAATAATAATTCATCACATTTTGGCCTGGGCAGATTTGGCTAATATTCACTGGGAAAACAGAAAGGCCTCAGCCTTTGATTATGAAAGTGGAGGCAGAGTAGAGAGAAAGTCAATCCAGAACAAGTCGGCAGCTGTTTCATCAAAGCCAGCAAGGGAGACCATGCCTGATTGAGGGGGAAGGACAAAGGGAAATTAAAACATATTTGGGGAGGTAGAGAGACAGTATTTGTGAAAAAGAACAGAACCAAATTGGTAATGCAGGTTTCCACACCATGAAAAAGGCAAAATTCAGTGCCTTCTACTACATCAAGGGTGGAAACCTGCAGCCCTCTAAATGTTGCTGGACTACAGTTCCCATCATCCCATGTCATTGACCATAATGGTTGGAGCTGAGGTAAGCGTGAGTTTTATCATCTGGAAGGCCGCTGGTTCCTCAGCCCTGCATTAAAGAAGCAACCCTAATACCTGATAATACTTACAATGGTTAATAACCACCACAAGAGGGGGACACAGTTAGCTGTAGACTCTGTTGCCTGGCAACTAAAATGAATGGAGCACTGCATCCTGGGGCTTCCTTTTCTTATTTTTTTTTACTTAGCAAACCATAAGATGAGGAGAGAAGCATTGTAGCTTTTCTGTTGCCTAGCAACCAAATTCCCAGGTATGAGGCGGAGATTGTGTTTTGTCCCATCCGTCAATTTTCAAATGTCTTCTTCGTCACCATCACCAATACTCATTTAAAGGCGTGTTTTTAATCTTAATTGGTTCCCTTTGCTTACTGCCAAAGAAAGTGACACAAAGTACTTTTCCCTTTACATCAGACTCGGGTCAGCAACAGGTAGACAAAGAACCTTCTTCCCAAAACACGGGCCTTTAAAAAAAAATTCCTAGAAAAACAACCCTCTTGCCAACTTCTGCCTTTAAACCACCTTTGCTCCTTCCCTCCCCCAGCACCCTCCTCCTTTCCTATCTCTGCCTCCTTCCTCACCACCACTGCCAAGGGCATCGATTACCCTTTGTCACCCTACAAAGGACAGAGCCAAAAATAACAATTTCAGGAGATTCTGTTCCTGGTAGTGAGGAGACACACGAGGCAAAAATGTTTACTCTCTGGGCTACACATTAACCCAGCAGTGTCTGCTGGGTAGAAAATACAAGTAAGAAATCAGCAGTTTGGTCCAGGAGAATTCCACCCATTCATGTAAAGTTCAGGCATGGCGTTCTAGATCAGCATACTGTCTTGTGTGGCAGCCGGACATCCTAGGGATGTTCATCGCAGGAAATGTCTGCAAATCTCTCTTGTTGTTAGACTTTAGAATACAATCTTCTGGCTCTCAAAGGTAGAAGCCACCAATAGACCTATCCCCTCACATATGTATGTATCTATCAAGGAAGGAAGGAAGGAAGGAAGGAAGGAAGGAAGGAAGGAAGGAGGGAGAGAGAGAAAAATTATGGTAGCTGCCAACCCTGATACAATGATTTCTCCACAGAAATCTTTAGTAGAAGGCAAAAGATTTATGCGATCTAAAGAGAAACCAGGGTACCTTGGTTTCTCCTCAGATCATTACCATGATTTGAAAATAAAACTGACATTATATCAATCTATGGTGCAACCACATTTAGAATACTGTGTACAGTACTGCTCACCTCACCTCAAAATGTTTTTTTTAATAAAAATAATAATATTATCCAGTTTGCATATCTTAATTAGACCTTACATCTTAAGCACGTTACATTACTCAGTTTAGAGGACAAACTGGAAGGGAAGCAAGCACATAACTTTATTTATTTAGAAAGTTTTATCATACCCTTCATCTTTCCTGAGCCTAGGGCAGATTGCAGATCATACACGCACAAATAAATATTAATTATTGTTCTATGTTATTATTTTTATTGATTTGTTATTATTTTAAATAATAAGATAATATTAATGCAACACTTAGCGCAAAAGGAATAGGTAAAACTGGCAGTCAAATCAGTTAAAATGAACAAAATCAAGGTTTGCTCTTAGCTCTCGTCATTTGTTTGGCAAGAAATCACAAGTAATGATTTGCACACAATGCTAAGACAACACTGGCTTGTTTTCAGCTTAGGGAAATGAGACGCATGGCAGGTGCACATGCATGAGCACAGTTGCTCGTTCATGGTAAGCCACTTTGACTTACCACAATGTGCAGTCGAGGTCACTTCTCAATCCCAACAAGCGATGGGAAAGTTTTTCCTGTCCGCTGATGGAGGAAGCCTTTCCGCAGCCTTCATTCTCAAAAAGTGTGGTCCTATGATGCCTCAGCTGTTTCCTGGATGCCTTGTCTTCCCAGTTTCCACTGGAGGCAGGGAAGCCAGTTTCCTGCTGCGATTTCCAGGGTTGCATCCTTTGGGATGCCATGATTCGAACCAAACAAAACCTTCATGATAACTCAAGTCTGAGAAGCAGCTGGGCTTCTGCTCTCTTTGAGCCAAACATCAGGAAGATATGTGCCCACACACTATCCAGCATGGGGAAAACAGTGCCATCAAGAAAAGTCATGGGGGAAAGAACCAACAGAGGCCTTCACAATGCCTGCATCATAAGAAGAAAAAAATCCCCTATTCCTAGCCAGGACTTCTGCATCTTTAAAGATGCAGTGATTTCAGGTGCAAGGCCAAATTATTTGAGCAAGATGGCATCTTTGACAAGGCAAACCTGTGCCAAACTGACCCTATATTTGTGACTTGCACAAAATGTGTTAGCTAAGCAAATGTCCGTGCATTTCTTATCCTACCATCTGGTGTGGAGCTTGGCATGGTTCTGAAGCCCCATGCCTAGACTAGCAGAAATCGCATCCAGAAACTGCCCCCGTTTCTGTGATGCCACCAGGCATTGCCCAAATACGTTCAAGACTCTGAGCAACTAGAAACAGTTTTGCAAAACCGAAAATCAATTCTCGGGATGCTAACTTCTGCACTCACCTGTATGTTTTCAACTCCCTGGATCCTTAATCCATGACGACTTTTTGAAAGCCCTTGATCACACATTTCCACACTCAAGGGTACTTAATGGCAGCCATTTAAGTTATATATTTTTTCTCAAAGGAAGAAGTTGATTTATTGCGTTGAATGATTGGGGTTGTGTAGAAGACTTGCAGCCCTCTGGCCAGTTGCCAGTAAAGATTCAGAGGCAAACAGCACATTTCTTTTCGTGTGGTGTAATGTGTGTTAGTAAGTAAGAGGGGCAGAATCTAGCGCAAAATGGTCATGAGGTCCCCCCCTCCATCACGCATCCTCAGTTCACCGGGACACACATTAAAAGCCATCAGTGGAAGCAAAAAGGAGACAACATAAATCATCAGGAGGTCACACTAATACTCCAATACAAAACTTATTAACTCAGAAGTAATTCCAATTTCAGTAGGGTTCATAAGCTTGTACATTGGTGAACATTAATTTAATTTTTTCATTTAAAAATCCCAGTTGCAGTCTCTAGGTCTGCTGTCAATGCAATGTTAGGTTTCCCCCTGTCTAGAGAACAATACCAGGAAGCATTCTTGGTCAGTCTTAAATAACTGCATGCCTTTAAGAAGATGTTTTTCCCTGATGGAAATGAAGTGATGGGAAATGTCACCTCTTGAACTCTGCTTGTCATCCTGCTCTTGAAAGATGCAGAAGTCCTGGCTAAGAATGAGGGATTTTTTATTTTATTAAAACAATTCAGATGCCTTAAGTAAATGAGCCAGTCAACATATTTCTGAATGGTGCGGCAAGTGAAGATACATAAGGGAAACATGGAAGGTAAAAGACAGAAGAGGAGGGTTAAATATGTATTTAAAATCATGGGAAGATCCACTGATGTCCAAGATCCCATCTTTTTCTTCCATTTTCAGTTAACTACGACATTAGAGAGGCACATTCCCTAGTCAGTTCTACTGTTGAAATGTCCCGTGGTGGTTAGGCCACTTCTGGGTCCAGCCCTCTGGTTTAAATATTTTAAGATCATTAGATGCCCTGAAGAGTTTGAAGCTCTTCAGTATTTCAATCTAGAAGCAAAGGTACCACAAAAGTACGCTGAAGTGAGAGAAAGGCTCTCAAGTTGCAATGGAGGAGAACATTGCTGGAATCCCAGCATGCGCCTGAAATAGTATGACCTCAATGATGCCCAAGGCAAACCTACCTAATTCACACTTTGTGAAACAATGTGTGAACCAAAACACAGGAATCCTTCAAAATTCACCCTTCTCTGAATTTTGCAGTGCAGTTCTCCAACCAAACATTGCTTATAGAAATGTTTGTATCAGGCGAAAGTGCGGATAAAATGCATACATAGAAAATGTGTTACATGGGGTAAAGTCCTTGCAAAAATGTGTACCTTATTAAAAACTGCATACAAAAACCTGTTTATTAGGTGAAGTTCACACTAATATGTTGACAAATTTTCATGATTGTTTTATAAATCAAAAATTGCTGCAGAAATGTGGATAACTGAATTCAACATTGGAAAAATGAGAGAGAGAGAGGGAACCAAAATTGACAGATCTATCCATCCCTACATTCCACACGGGACTGGCCCTACTGTTAGGCAGAGTGGGGCAGCTGCCTTGGGTAGCAGATACGGAGGGAAGGGCAATGAGATGTTGAAGTAGAGCTCTCTATGTTATACAGAGCCCCCTAAGTGAGCCTCCTTTCCTCAGGTGTGCTATCCCATCACCAGTGTTGAACTAAGAATCAGTTAGTGCTCCAAGCTACTTCTCTACATGGAATGGGAGGTGCCATTTTGTCCACCTCAGGCAGCAAGATGTCTTGAGCCAGCCCTGACTTCACCTCTGTAGGCTCATATTAATCCAGGACCCTGATGCAGACATTAAAGTTCTTTAATTAATTACATCCAATGAAACTAAATGTTGGGAGATTCAGGACAAGCGACACCTTCTACACTGTTTAGGTCTGTGTCCATATATATATATAAATAATATAATATATAATATATACTTTCTGCAGGTTCAGGCTGTTGCTAGAAGCATACCAACAGGACCAGCCCTCCCATAAAGCAGAGTGAAGCAGCCACCTTGGTTGGCTGATGCTGCAGAGCAGAGTGGCGGTGGCAAGGCTTTGGAGAAGAGAGGTGCGTGCCGTGTGGCCTGCCCTTTGTCCCCTGACGTAGCCTATCGCCCTCAAGTGGATAGAAGATGTTGTGATGTTGCCAGTGCTGGAATTCAGATTCAAGTGGCTGGCATCTGTACAAGAAATAGGGAGGGTTGGCGGCACCACCTTGTCTTTTGCCTCACACAGCCAAATATCTTGGGCTGGCTCTGAGGCATAGGTACAGACCCCAGAAAGTGGTAACCCTCACCCTCATATTTCACAAATGAACACAGAGTGCCTCCTGTGTATTTGTAACTAAAACTGCTGTGCACACATTGCCGGCTTAAACACAGCGAGGTGGCTCAATTCTCAATTCGGTTTGAAGCCGGTTTGAGGTGGGAATGCCTCAAAAGGCGGCATTTCCTGAAGAAGTGACAGGATGGGTGTGGAGTGTGGCTAATGTTGTGCAAAACTGTGGTTGGGAACATGCCAGATGCAGAATAAAGGGTACACAGCCTCACACCAAGAATCACTGCCTGAGAGACCGCACAAATCACCAGCAGTTTGGATGAAAGCTTTTTCTGCTTCCCGTATGCTGTGCTATTTATTTTACCCTGAGGGTGCTTCCAAACCACCTGTTTACCAAGTATTTATCGCGATCTGTTTTGCAAGGAGGGTGGTTAGATGACGTCTTGTCAAAGCAAGTGCTAGCCAAGGGCATTTCCCCATCATTTGCCTTTTGGCAAAAGTCTGATCGCTGAGGGAAATGGGTTTGCTGAGCAAGACTTCACCATCAGCTATCATGGCAGAGCCTGAATTTGTTGGTAGGTCCCACTCCCAAGAGTGAAAGACTGGAAGCGCCCTGAATCTACAATAGCCCATACCCTCTGACATTCCTCAAATGAAAATAGGGACATATCTCACTCCCCCACTCCGCAACTGACCCTCCTCAACCCCCCCCCATTTTTTGCTGTCCCCCCCGCCAAAAATTTCCTATCAGAAGAAGGGTGAATGCTACTAGCACTACATCAACGGGATGCCTTCCACTGTCCTGAGGAAACCCCTTAATCCTGATTTTATTATTCGTAGATTTACCAAAAGAAAAACACACACCATAAATACATTTTAGAAAGGGGTAAGATTAGACGCAAAGCATTAAAAATAATAATTCAAGATTCCTTGTGCTCCACTCCTCTCCCCCTTTCTTCACGCCCTACTCTCTGTTTGCATCTCAGAGCCGGCGCATCGTACAGAGCTGGGCCTTGGTGGCAGCAGCCATATCCACTACGAGCTGCCCATGGGAGGAGGCCATCAGCAGTGGCCATGGAGAGGCAATGGGATGCTCCCTTGCTGCCACTCAGGACAAGGGCCGGCTCATCCTCCTTCCTAAGCTCAATGGCGACAGCACTGGCGGGGGAAATGGGGACATTTCAGAATCAAATCAGAAGCTGGGATGGCTTTCATAATTCTGGAATGGTCCCTGGAAAATCAGGACACTTGGAAAGGTATGATAGCCGCTGCATCTGAAGCAGTTTGTGTTAATAGGGGTCAAGGCTGGGGCTGGAGCTGCGAGAGCTTGAAGTTTAATATAATGTTCCACCCTGCCATGGATCGGATGTTACTCACCGCGCAATCAAAACACATTCAGCAACCTTAACACTCTTGGGTGTGTTGGCAGAAACTAAGATAATGTACATGTGAGCACTCTACCAGCACGTTCTTTTAAAGATATCCCTTCCCCCAAGGCATAACAGAGAGACAGCAATTTGCCAGGGACAAGTACCAGGAAATATGGAGTGACCTTGATAAAATGCAGACAGTAGGAGCATCTAGCAACCTCCTGTTGTCAATCCCTCCCTAATCTCCTTGCATCCTGATTGATAATGGATGGCCCTTTCACCAGGCAGTTCATGCTAAAGGTGAAAGTGATCTCAGTTACTTGATCCCCAGGCCACACATAGGGAATAAGTTGCATTTCCTACCCAAAGGCTCATATACAAATCTGCCTTTCAAACAAGGACTCTTATCATTGCCATGGTCTGCTTTTTGATTTATACTAGAATGGTAGAGTTGGGAAGGGGCCACGAGTTCCGATCTTGATTTAGTTTGGTATTTGCATTTCACTTTTCCAACAACAAGGTTGAACTCAAGGTGGTTTTCCAAGGAGCTCAAGACGTTAAATACAGGAAGGCCTCAACTTACATGCATTTAACTTCAGCTTTATGCACTTGGCTAAATAAATGAATAAAAGGGGTTGAAAAGGAGGTGAGCATTTGGGGGTGGGGGAGACTTTGGCATTCCCACCCACTGGTGTGGACAGGACATGGTGAGAACAACCCTGAAATGAATGCCATTCATTCTGTGGTATGTAAGGTGCACTGCAATTACAGCATACAGACAATTTCGTCTGACTTCCCATTAGCCTACTAAGTTTTATTATTTTTTTGCCGCTTCTGTGTATGTGTCCATCAGTGGTGCACAGCCAGAGTCTAAGCTTACATACCCTCCAACATTTCTCCGATGAAAATACGGACAGCCTCCCATTCCGTAATGATAACTTTACTATTTATACCCCACATATCTTACTGGGTTGCCCCAGCCACTCTGAGCATAAAAAGACAATAAAACCTTTTTTTTAAAAAAAACTTCCCTATACAGGATTGCCTTCAGACGGCTCGGGGGTTGGATAACTCCATACCCTCCAACAATGCTACAAAGAAAATAGGGACATCCTAAGGCGCAAAGGAGGGATGCGGGTGGCACTATGGGTTAAACCACAGAGCCTAGGACCTGCCGATCAGAAGATCGGCGGTTCGAATCCCCGCGATGGGGTGAGCCGGTCCCTGCTCCTGCCAACCTAGCAGTTCGAAAGCACGTCAAAGTGCAAGTAGATAAATAGGTACCGCTCCGGCGGGAAGGTAAATGGCATTTCTGTGCACTGCTCTGGTTTGCCAGAAGCAGCTTAGTCATGCTGGCCACATGACCCGGAAGCTGTACCCCAGCTCCCTCGGCCAATAAAGCGAAATGAGCGCCGCAACCCCAGAGTCGGTCACGACTGGACCTTTACCTTTAAGGCGCAAAGTGGGACATTCAGGGATCAAATAAGAAACCGGGACGGCTTCTTTAAATCAGGAAAGTCCCTGGAAAATAGAAACTCTTGGAGGATCTGAGCTTAACGGTATTTTGAGAGGAGCTAGACGGCCATGCATATTCTCCTCCATTTGCAAGGCACACAACTGAACACTTCCTCCGCTGCCAAACTGCTTTATAACTAGTTCTATGTCCATGGCAAGTCAAAACAAAAACAAAAACTTAACTAGAGAGCCAGTTTGCCAACAGTGATTTAAAAAAAGGAATGTTGTGAGCGGGATATATGCATTATCAATTAAACATCTAGTATGTGGCCCCTTAAAAAGAAACCGCTATGACCCAGGAAGCCAGTTCCTGGAGAGCAGCTGACTCAGAGGTGTGGCCTGGCTGAGTTAGTTACTGCTGGGTGCAGGCTCCCAAGCCGCATCAAGAATAAAGTTTGAATTTGCATTAACTCAGCTTGTGGAGAGTTCATACAGGAGACGACAACACATGGTGTCAGAAGTCTGTTGGACCGTGGCCTTCACACAGAGCAACACAACAAACCTGCCACCTGTGGATTTCAAGACTGAAAGCACAGCAGAGAACCGGACAAGATGGAAGGAGTTAATGGATCTGGTATTTGCAGGCCCAGAGGCAGGTAGGTGGTCTGCATTCTGGCCCCCCACCCCAGTCAAGCTTCTTATTTGCTTATATGTGTTGGGCCAAAGGGCAGGGATATCTGTACAGCATAGATTTCCAGCAGCTAGCTTACAGAAATTGAAGTTCAGACATTGGAGCCAACTCCTAGGGTCGAGGCCCCTTTGCCACCCCCCCGAGACCCCCAAAGTTGATGGGAATTGCCATTCAAATGTGTGTGTGTGTGTGTGTGTGTGTGTGTGTGTGTGTGTGTGGTCTTGTGACTAGAGGGACACAGGTGGCGCTGTTGTCTAAACCACTGCGCCTTCTGGGCTTGCCATTCAGAAGGTCGGCGGTTCAAATCCCAGTGATGGGGTGAGCTCCTGTTGCTTGGTCCCAGCTCCTGCCAACCTAGCAGTTCAAAAGCACGCCAGCGCAAGTAGATAAATAGGTACCACTGTGGCGGGAAGGTTAAAAGTGTTTCCGTATGCTCTGGTTTCCATCACAGTGTTCTGTTGTGCCAGAAGCTGTTTAGTCATGCTGGCCACATGACCTGGAAAGCTGTCTGTGGACAAACGCCGGCTCCCTCGACCTGAAAGCGAGATGAGCGGAGCATCCCATAGTCGCCTTTGACTGAATTTAACCATCCCGGGGTCCTTTACCTTTACCTTGTGATTGATTATGCAGTGTGGGGCTTACCTGGGACCCGCAATATTTTATTCAAGTTGGTACCCCTGTGTTCCGACATTTTGCACGGTGATTTTTTAAATAGAAACACTGTGAGTTTTTGAAAAACACACAGAACCATAGAACTGTAGAGTTGGGAAAGAACTAAAAGGTCATTGTCCACCCCTTGAAGGAATTACTGATGTCCACCTGCTCTCTGTTTAGAAACCTCCAATGAAGGAGAGTCCACCACCTTCCAAGGTAGCCCATTCCACTGTCTAACAGCTCTGTCAGAAAGTTATTCCTGGTGTTTAGTCAGACACTCCTTTCATGTAATTTGAATCTGTTGGTTTGGGTCCTACCCTCTGGGGCAGCGGAAAACAAGCTTGTGCCATCTTCCGTGCAACAGGTATTTGAAGAAAGCTGTCATATGCCTTTCAGTCTCCTCTTTCCCAAGCTAAACATACCCAACTCCCTCAACCGTTCCTCATAAGGCTTGGTTTCCACCTTGGTCACCCTCCTCTGCACGCGTTCTATCTTGTCAATAGCCTTCTTAAACTGTGGTGCCCAGAACTGGACACAGCACTCCAAGGGTACACGAGATCCCTCAGTATGGTATCTCTTTGTATGTCACTGAAAATGTAGCACATTTAAAGGTAAAGGTACCCCTGACCGTTAGGTCCAGTCGCGGACGACTCTGGGGTTGCCGCTCTCATGATGCTTTACTGGCCGAAGGAGCTGGCGTACAGCTTCCGTGTCATGTGGCCAGCATGACTAAGCCGCTTCTGGCGAACCAGAACAGTGCACAGAAATGCTGTTTACCTTCCCGCCGGAGTGGTACCTATTTATCTACTTGCACTGGCATGCTTTCAAACTGCTAGGTTGGGAGAAGCTGGGACCGAGCAACGGGAGCTCACCCCGTTGCGGGGATTCGAACCGCTGACCTTCTGATCGGCAAGCCCTAGGCTCTGTGGTTTAGACCACAATGCCACCCGTGTACATTAAATGTCGCACATTTAAAGCCCATTAAATAATCCAAGGTTGCCAGCTGACTCTCATGTCAGCCCCGTAGCTGTGCCTTTTAGCGGATGGATCAGTCGCAATTAGGAGATGATATTCTGCCTCTCTATGCTGAGGAGTGGCTGCCTGTCAAGCTTCTGGCTGCCTGTCAAGCTTCTGGCTGCTCATAAAGGCAGAAGAGCTGACCAGGTGGATTGGGCCAGGGCACTTGTTGCAGAACCTGTCACTTGCAGCCATGTACGTTCTTAGAACACCAGCCAATGGTTGCTTCTAGACAGGAGCCTTCCAGCACTAACCAGTCTCTTATTTCCCAGTATTTGCTGGATGCTGCAATCGCAATGTGCCTTGCACAGCATAGAATGAATCACATCCTTTCAGTGCCTTCTCCACCCCAAACATCTCACCACCATGCCCTGTCCACTCCAGTTGGTGCATAGTCAGGCTTCACCTCGATTGGCTCTCCTCTCTTCCCACCCCCCTCCAAAGTGTTTTTTAAAACTTTCTGGGCGTACACAGGCATAGGAACCAACTCATAGGAGCCGAGGGGTCTTCAACTCCCCTCTAAAATATTTGATGGGCATTGCCATTCAAATGGTGTGCATGCACCGCATCATGTGATTGATTATGAAGGTGGGGCTTACTTGCACCCCCCAAAAAAATATTTTATGCAACTTGGCACCCCTGTATGTAGGTGTGGGTACACCTTTCTGTACCAGTATGTGCACTGGTTATGTTTTTTCTACAGCATGATTGCACAATAGTGAAACATTTAGATATCACTCACATGACTTCTAACACTATTCTTTGTGCATCTCGAAGGTTTGTGCATTGCTTCTCAAAAAGAATGGGGGGTATGGGAGTTATGGGGTGGCAAAGAGGGAATACAAACCAAGTTTCTTCACTGAAATTTCTTTCCTCCCAGTTTCAAAGGAAGAAAAAAACATCATTGGTCACTTTATCTCCAAGATCGACCTTCCATTCTTTCTCTCTTTAAGGATGTGGCTCTATGCGGCAGAAAGAGGTGGTCCTGATTGACACTAGCACTCCAAGACATTCCGGGTCAGAGGCACTGAACAGTCATGGCTGAATACTATTTACATGCCCTTGACGCGTGTGGTGTGCAACTTCTTGGCACAGCCTACGCTCAAGAAAGGTTTTGTATTGGCATGTTTGCATATCGGATCAGTGCACTGAAACAGTTGTTAGTGGGGCAATTAGACGTGAAGGACTTATGCTAACACTGAAGTAGAGATATTTTGTGTGGAAATAAAACAATTTAAAAAACCACTGGGATTTTCTTTTTTTTTTTAAAAGAAAAGAATACCCCCCACATAGAATCATAGAACTGTAGAGTTGGAAAGGGTCCCAAGAGTCATTTGGTCCAACCTGCTGCTCCAAGGCAGTAGCCTCAGTTACCCCTTATGTACTTTAGGCTGCAATCCTCTGTACATGCAAATTACCTGGGAACCCGTTCCCACTGAATTTGAGCGTGTCCGAGTTAGATGTGTACAAGATTGCCCTGCACGCCTCCCTTTCGTAGCTGAAAGAAAAAGGAAACTGAAATCTACACAGGCGCATCTGATCTCCATTAAGAGATCTTTAGGAAACAACTTCAAATAAAGTGACAAATCACCTTCTTGTCCAGTACTGGAGGGGGTGGATGCACTGCACTGGCGGAGGAAGAGGAGTGCGGGGGGAGCGCACTCCCCTGACAGCGCGATCCCGGTGGGGTGCCATCGTGGCTGACCCCCCGCCTGTGCAGGTGGCGTGCCACGCGCCTGGGACGTGCGCCAGCCCCACCCCTGCCTGCTCTCCGCCCCCCGGTGCCAGAGCATGAAGCTCCGCCACTGGTTGGATGGCTAGGGAGGCTGGAAAAGCCTCCTATTAGATATTGTGAGGTTCAGTGCTCTTTGTACCCGCATGCTTGTCCATAGTGTCTATGCGTTGCGGTCGGCATCAAAACGTCAGCGTTTCTCCCCCTATATATTTTCAAATAATTTTTATTAGTAAGTAATGAACACTACCTAAAAACGAACAGTGAAAAAACTAAACAAGAGAGGTTCAAGCCTTTGCTTAAACAGTCATGCCTTGCTGTAGTCAGAGAATCATAGAATTGTAGAGATGGAAGGGACCCTGAGGATCATCTAGTCTAACCACAAGGAATGGAGGGATCTTTTGCCCAACATGGGGCTCGAACCCGGGACCCTGAGATTAAGAGTCTCATGTTCTAATGACTGAGCTATAAGCAGACAGGCTGTATTAATATTTGTTTTTCTTTCCCAAGTTTGACCAGCATCACGTCTATGCAGTTCACGTTTGAAGTGCGTACAATCCAGTAAGTTAAAACGAAAGGGGGGGGGGACCACCGCCACATGTTGCCAACACCCCATTTGCCATATCTGAAGGGCCCCCGTTTGCAATAGTAAGCTCCTGTCTGGAATCGCCCTGTTTCTCCCATGTGCCAAAACCTATGCCGAGAGAGCTTTGGAGATAAACAAAAGGAACTCGAAATACCAGTTATTTTCAGCCCCATTCTATCCCCCGACTATTCACGCATAGGAAAAGGACTACCGCGATTCATGCAGCGCTAACAGTAGAACATACGAAATACATGTTCAAATCTTTCATCACAGAGCAGATGATCTCCCCACCACCACTATCCGCAAATGTGAGCACACTTCCCTTGCCACAGAGGACAATGCGCTTGGAAACTGCAGCCCTTGGAAACTCGACCTGCAACAAGTATTTTTTTTTGCCACTTGTCGTTTTGAACATGCGCGCAGGTTATTTTTGTGTTACAAGTTGGCAGCCAAGAAGCGTATTGTGAGCCTGACATGCAGCACAAAGCTCTCTGAAGGGTCCCAAGAGAGAGCGTGAAGTTGTTAAATCTAGCATCGGTCAAGGGTGCAGCGATGGTCGATGTGGCGTCAGTTTCCTTCCAGGTACTGGCCAATAGCTGTGGTTGTGCCCGTTTTCAGAGCTGGCAACTCGAAGACTGCGAACGCAAGCCATTACCCACAAAGGTAAGGTACCCCCAGACAAATCCACCCTTCCCCACATCCAAACCATAGTACAGCATTTCCTCTGCGCCACAACTGGTGCGGCCAGTAGACCTGCCTGCCAGGCTTATGTGCCTGAGAGCCTGATGCCCCTCTTACCTGTGGACTGCATGCTCTCTTGAATTGCTTCCACTTCAGCCAGCTCCATGCAGACCCCTTGGCCGTGCATGAGCGTGTGCAGAGGCTTCTCCACTCCCTGCGGCGGGTAGCACCGCAGCCCAGAGCCGCAGCGCGGCGTGTAGACCCCGCAGGGCATTCCTTTGGCCAAGGCGCAAGTGGCGCAGCACCCGCAGCCGGGCTCCTGCACCAGCTCCTCGCACCCGGTGGGCGCCCTGCAGCGCGCCAGCTTCTCCTCGGAGCATGGCGGGCACTGGATGGCGTCGAGGCTCACAGAAAAGCCCACCTGTACCAGGAGCAGCAGAGTGATGGGCGCAGTCCTCGAGTGCATGGCAGGCAGGCAGGTGTTACAGGGCAGCAAGGGACCGACAGGCCAGGCGATTGCAAAAATAAAAATAACTGTGTTGCTGGCAGAGCAGAGAATCTGATCTCCAGTAGAAAGGGGGACTCTGTACTGAAGGGGGGAGAAGCTCTTTCTTTGGACTTTATACCACTCTCTGGCCACACCTCCCTGCTGGAGGGAGAGGCAAAGGAGAACAGCAGCAGCAACCAAGGCAGCTTGCCCCACAGCTGAGAAAAGACCTCATTTGCCCTGAGGAAGGAAGCACAAAGAGCTTGCAGCTGCTGCAAAGACGGAAACCTGTGCCGGGACTGGAAAATAGCAGCAGCCCTCCAGCCATGCTTCTCCTATTACTTTGGTAAGTTACGAGTGCGCCTTGCCAGTGCCTGTTTGGTTTCTCTGCGAAAGGGAGGGTGGGGAGGCTGGGCTGGGGGGGTGGGGGGAGAGAGAGAAAGAATAATGCCACAATTATATTATGCATGCCTCGTCTGAGGTTGTGGCCACACAGGCGTTGCATTGATTAGGCTCAGAACATGAGAATGGTCATGCTGGGTCCGGTGTTGTGGTTAGGTAATTTTAGATTTTGGATTTTAATGGGACTCTGGGAAGAGGAAGGGGGTTTTAAATTTGTTCTGTTTTGCTTATTTTAAAATGTGGTGGGCCACTTCCACTGGGCTTGGGGAACCTCCTGATCGTTCTGCTGAGTGGGGCCTTCAACGCCTGCCCTAAAGTCCTGTCCCAATAGCACCACTGCCTGTGTGATATGATGGATCCATCTAGTCCAGGCATAGGCAAACTCTGAACCTCCAGATGTTTGGGACTACAGTTCCCATCATCCCTAGCTAACAGGACCAGTGGTCAGGGATGATGGGAATTGTAGTCCCAAATATCTGGAGGGCCGAGTTTGCCTATGCCTGATCTAGTCTCTTAAGAGTAGCCAGCTCACAAGCAGGCTCTAAAAGGGACGGCCAGCTCCTGTTGTTTATTCCCATCATCCAGGAATCAGAGGTATACTGCACTTGGCTGTGGAAGTTCCATTCTTAGCAGATGTGGTGTCTAGTGATTGATAGATGTATATTCCAAGAACTTGTCTAGGCGCGCGCTCCCTCCCTCTCTCTCTCTCTCTTTATATATATATATAACACCTATGCTAGTGGCCATTGCCAGATACTGCAGAAAATGGATTCCTGTTTTTGCAGGTTACCTGGACAAGAGAAAAAGGGAATTCACAAATAAAGTATCCATTGGTTTTCCTTGCTTCCACATGAGGCGTGTGCAGGTGGGGACCTTGTGCATCTCCTGCGTTCTAGCAGAAAATGGGGAACAAGATTGGCAGATCTACTACACATGTGCTTTGCTTCCTTTGCGAGAATGTCTGAAGCCGCTCTAAGGCAATTATGTATTCATAAAGACGCATTTATTTATTATATATCTGTAAGGTCCTTTACCTGTCCTTCAGCATAAGGTCCCAGAGTGGGTTACAACAATGCAATACACAGTTCAAAAAACAAACAAAAGCCTTCCCACTGGAAGAGAAGAGTCGAAATTCGCAAAAGAGGTGGGTCCCATGGAGCAAATACAGTGGCACCTTGGTTTACAAACTTAATCCGTTTCAGAAGTTCGTTCTTAAACCAAAGCTTTCTTAAACCAAGGCGCGCTTTCCCATCGCAGCGGGGGACTCAGTTTACAAATGGAGCACACTCAACAGGAAGCGAAACATGTTCTGCTTCCAAGGCAAAGTTCACAAACCAAAACACCTACTTCGGGGTTTGCAGCGTTCTTAGGCTGTTCTTAAACCAAGGTACCACTGTACCTTAAGTGTCGAAGATCTGGGTAAAGAGGTACATCTTCACCATACAGCAAAAGCTATACAACAAAGACACTAGATGCACCTCTGTGGGGAGGATGGGTGCAACATTTAGGGGCTGCCACAGAGGAAGCCACAATTCCCTTCGCTTCTGAGGGTTCGCCTCTGCTGAACTTAATCCCCAAGAAGATCAGTAGGGATGGAGTTGGAGGTATTTGGGGGCCAGTAAATCACTGAAGAAGGGACGCAGGTGGCGCTGTGGGTTAAACCACAGAGCTTAGGGCTTGCCGATCAGAAGGTTGGTGGTTCAAATCCCCGCGACGGGGTGAGCTCCCATTGTTCGGTCCCAGCTCCTGCCCACCTAGCAGTTCGAAAGCACGCCAGTGCAAGTAGATAAATAGGTACCGCTCCAGCGGGAAGGTAAACGGCGTTTCTGTGCGCTGCTCTGGTTCGCCAGAAGTGGCTTAGTCATGCTGGCCACATGACCCGGAAGCTGTACGCCGGCTCCCTCGGCCAATAAAGCGAGATGAGCACCGCAACCCCAGAGTCGGTCACAACTGGACCTAATGGTCAGGGGTCCCTTTACGTTTCAAATCACTGAAGACCATATTTCCCAAACTTGGGTCTCCAGCTGTTTTGGGACTACAGTTCCCATCAGCCCTGACCGCTGGTCTTGCTAGCTAGGGATGATGGGAGTTGTAGTCCAAAAGCATCTGGAGACCCAAGTTTGGGAAACACTGCTTTAAACACTAAAGCAAGCACCATTTCCTTTTGTTTGTCCACTGGATAATTCCAGCGAAGAGAGGATATTCTCTCTTTCCACCTTTTCCCTCATTGTGCAAACTTGTGGTGTGTGTGTACCTCCCATTTAGGGCAAACACACACATTTCCAAGCCACTGTAGCCCAAGGATAGGGGCCTGTGGCTGCTCAGATGTTGCTGGACTCCAACACCCATCAGCCACAGCCACCAAAGCCAATGGTCAGGGATGATGGGAGTTGGAGTCCAATAATGTCTGGAGGGTTCCGGGTTACCCATCCCTGCTATATCCTGATGGGTTTTTCCCCAGCTTGGGACAAGAATAAAGAAAGGTGAGAAGTAGTAATGGAACAACTGAGGAATGGCTCAGTTGGTAGAGCGTGAGACTCAATCTCAGGCTTGTGGGTTTGAACCCCATGCTGGGTGAAAGATTCCTCCATTGTAGGGATTTGGTGTAGACGTGATCCCTTCCAACTCTATGATTCTGTTAATTCTTTTCAAGTCCACTGTTTCCCTTCTCTGAACTGCACCACCCTGTGGGGTCTTCAGACATGTTTGTGTGATTTGAACTTTAGATGATATATAGAGAAGCTAAAAAAAAAATTCCTCATACTGACAATACTTCATTTAAAAATAAAAAAGCATACTTCCCTGGGGCTCAAACTTGCCTCAGAGTTATGTCTCTGACCTAAGTGACCTTAGTGGCAATTTCAGATGTATAGAAACTGGTTGTGGGCACTTGGTGATGATCAAGGAGAGGCATGCTGCTCAAGACTCAAAAGTAGGCTGTTGTTACTACTTCACTTGTTCTGGCTTTGAAAATAAATTCCAGGACAAAAACCTGGTGAGACCTGATTTATAGACCACCGTAGGTTTCTACAGGTCTATGTGAGCTTCTGACTTTAGCAGAACTCCTCTGTCCAGCACAGAGTTCTTTGTTCTCTTTCATAGGGTTCATAAACAAGAGCAGTGTGTTGTTACACCCACCCACACAGCAACACATGTCAAGCTTACCTGCTTAACACATGACTTCCTGCCTCTGTAGTCAAATTAGGCACTCTCATTGTGGGTCCGTTCTCAGAATTTCTCTTGTTAGAATATGTGCAGCTGACTGACACTTTCCTAAGTGCAGTGAGTGTTCCACACAGTTATTTGTTCCACTGTTATTTCTTCGAGTTGTCTACTGTCATTTCTCAAAAGCTAATAAACACTTTAAAAAATAATAACCAAAGCTTGCATACGCCTTTCATAACTTAAATTGATCCAACTAGGAAATGATACCATGCCCACTTTTATCAAGAGTATGTAACAGGTTGAAAACACATACTGTAATCTTAATGTTAAACAGACTGATCTCATGCATATTTTACTCAGAATATATTCAAAGGAGTTTACTCTCTGATCAAACATACATAAGACTGGCACTGTCAAAGTTTCCTTCCTTCCTTCCTTCCTTCCTTCCTTCCTTCCTTCCTTCCATCCACCCTGTTGGACAATTTAAGACTGTTGAATCACAGAGTGATAACCTGGAATTCAAATGCTTCAAAGCTGAAGGGCAGTCTTTGACAGTGTCTTCATGCATAAGGCTTAAAGTAGCTTTTCCTCTGTGAACTAAATGTATATCCTGCATTGTCCAAAATGCACATTTGCATCACAAATGACTCTCCTCTACTTTACCTTCTTTAGGGACAAAAGAAGCATAATGTCAACTTCAGCCTCATATGAAAAGAACCTGTGATCGATCTCCTTGCCTGCCTTTGCTGCTAAATGAGAGTTGGAATATGGAAGAAACCAGTGAGAGTTATTTAGGCTGTGTACACCTTACCGTATCCTCTGGTTCCAGTAAGTTCCCGCAGCTGGCATTTGAACACAGTGTTACCCACAACCCTGTAGTTTCTTGAGAAATACTGTTATTTGGTGCATTCTCCCTCAAACCAGCTTCAACCCGAAAGGAAAACTTAAGCCACACTCACTTTGCAATTGAGCTTTTAAAAGGTAAAGGTAAAGGGACCCCTGACCATTAGGTCCAGTCGTGACCGACTCTGAGGTTGCGGTGCTCATCTCGCTCTATAGGCCGAGGGAGCCGGCGTTTGTCCACAGACAGCTTCCGGGTCATGTGGCCAGCATGACTAAGCCGCTTCTGGCGAACCAGAGCAGCACACGGAAAGGCCGTTTACCTTCCCGCCGGAGCGGTACCTATTTATCTACTTGCACTTTGACGTGCTTTCGAACTGCTAGGTTGGCAGGAAATTGAGCTTTTACATCCTGCTTTTTCTTAAAAGACTGTTTAAGCTTTTTTTGTGAAGGGGGAGAGATTAAAGTCACTTTAAAGTAACTTCTTTCCCCTCCGCCAAGTTTACATTCCTCCCCCCCTCAGTTTAATAACTTGTGGCAACCCTCCTTATGACCTTCCATTAATACAAAATATTCTCCAGTAATTTCCCTTTCTTCTTTGCTTGATCAAGCCAAATCTGATATGGTACCTCAAGCCAGCAGTCTATCCAATTGGCAGGCACAACGGGGAAGACAACTCATGTCTGGTATCTGTGTGATAACATGCTTTTCATGTATCATGTATTTACACACTGCCAGCCTTCAAGTCTTCGTGAATGGCGCCCTCATGAGGTTTGAAAGATTACTCCTTATTTTGGGTACAGATGTGAGCAGGCCCCACTAGCTCAGCAATCTCCAGACGTGCCTGCAATTAATCAGGGTGTCCCTGATTAATTCAGAGCCTCCAAGTGTCCCTGTTTTCCAGGGACAGTCCCAGATTTACAGAAGCCATCCTGGTTTTGGATTTGATCCTGGAATGTCCCGCTTTTCCTTAGGACGTCCCTATTTTCATCAGAGAAATGTTGGAGAGTATGGAGTAAAGCGACCACCAAGCCAAGAAAATAGGTATCTATACAACCTTTAGAAGTGTTTTTTTATGTTTAGTGTTTTATTATGTTTTTATATGTGTTGGTAGCCACCCAGAGTGGCTGGGGCAACCCAGTCAGATGAGCTGGGTATAAATAATAAAATGATAATGATGGAATAGGATGTCTCTATTTTCACTAGAGAAATGTTTGAGGGTATGTTCATTTCTCCATTTTTTTCCTTCAAGATGAAGAGTTTTGCCAGGGGTCGGCAAGGCTTACCAGCCATGGGCCGGATCACTCCCGTGGAGATCGTCCGTGGGCTGGACTGGCGCAGCGTGACACTGGAAATTGCGTCTGTGCATGTCTGCGGTGCTGGAAATCGCTTCTGTGCATTCCCAGACGTCAAAAATCACACCTGCAGAAGCGATTTCTGATATCTGCGTGTGCGCAGACGCGATTTCCAGCGCCACTCGGTGAGTCCCCGCGCTGCACTGCGCCGGTTTAGCACAGCATGCGAGGAACTCGCTGGGTGGGCGGCTTGGTTTGGGGGCAGCTCGGGGGCCGGTAAAACGGTCTTCGTGGGCCGGATCCAGCCCATGGGTCGCACGTTGCCGATGCCTGAGTTATGCAGTCCAAAAGCTTAAAAGTCATAAAGCATCGCAATCCAGTAAGCCATTCATATTCCAGAGTCTGTGTTACTTAAAAGGTTTCCATTCAGTTATTCCTAATATAACGAAATGTAAGAGTCAGTGTGCTGTAGTGGTTAGCGGGTTGCACTTGGACTTGGGAGACCAGGGCTCAAATTCCCACTTGCCCATGAAGCTCAATGGGCGACCTTGGGCCAGTCACTCACTCTCAGCCTAGCTTACCTCACTGGGTTGTTGTGAGGATAAAATGGGGAGGGGGGGAGAACTATGTATGTCTCCTTGAGATACATAGATAGAACCATGTAGGACGACGAAAAGACTTCCAGTGCCTCTTGCACTGTGGCCGAAACGCATCCCTCAGCATTAGAGAGAAATTATGTATTGCAATAGCCTCTCACATAGAAATGTGTTAGAGAAAAATTAACAAAAGACTCTTTTGGCAGGCTGAGAATGCAGCAGGTTGACTGCAAGCTTCAGAAATGGCATCCAAATGAAAAGGAAGCCAGCTGGGCTGGGCTAACATCTGTGCACCAGAGGCATGGTGGTTTTGAATTCTGCAACCAGATAGGAAGCGATGCTACAAAAGAGTCCCAGATAATTGTTTTCATCCAGAGATTCCCAGAGCTGAGTCAAGCAAGCACTTTGCGCAAGCACAGAAGATTATAAAATGACCAGATGCAACAACATGCTTTAAAGGGACCACTCCCTCCCACAAGGGAGTGTTAATATCATTTTCAGTCCAGTTGGCCAGACCTTCTCTGGCTACTTTAAGCAGCCAGAATGGGCAAGGGTCAAGTGCACACAGATGGTCAGCTGTATACTTCTAAGGAATTCTGACCACATCTGCAGGCCTCACAAATGGAGGAAAAAATATCCACAGAAGTTGGACAAGCAGATGTGAATGATGTCTCCACTGGTGTTCCATTCAATGTAAAATCAGGGCAGGGTGCAAGCAATTTTATTTGGAAAGAGTCTCACAGCGGGCAGAGGAGGACTTCTCCAGGAGGCCAGAAGGTAACAAATGGAAACCGCTCCAAGCGGCAGGTGCAATGGCGGCAGTTATCTCCACAAAATAGGTCCTAAAATGTGCTTTAGTCTGTGTTTAGTCAGATTCAGTTTGAGGTTTTCTCTGCCATCTCTCCAGCAGCATTTGCGTGCTTTGGAAATCTGTGAAGCATAGCACTTATTCTAAGTAGCGATATCTAAATGTGCTCCAAGATTCCTAACTCTCCTTCAAAACAAGCTATTTGTTAATACACTTCAGGGGTGCTATGGACTGACAGAGCAGAAGGTGAGGTCTGGGACTATCCCAGGGGTGAGCTAGACCCGTCTGGGTATCGGACAAACACACTTTCTGCATTTCTGTTTCCTGCATTTTCACAGATGTCCACCTGAGGGCACCAAAGCAGAGAGGGAAAGTGAAAAGAAATGGCAGCTGTAAATCAATTTCAGCCAAAATCTTTTGGGGCCTGGTTTGCCAACAGACGTCAACACCCACCCACCTAATTTTCCATCCTTTGATCATCCCTCAGCCCTGAAGCACTAAGATGTGACATGCTCCACCTGCCAAAAAGGCCTTGTTTTACCTGCCCAGAGAGAGTGATGCCCATTGACAATGCCTCACAGCACCACCACCACCTCCCAGACCCACTTAGTCAGCCAACTTCAAAATGTACAATGTCTAGCAACAACTTTTAATAACTAGGGGGGGAACTGGGGAGGGAAGCAATGGCAGGGGTGGGGAACTATTGAAGAGGAAAAATTGAAACAGCATGGACTAATGGATCAAAACTAAAATATCCTTAACTGCTGTAAATGGGGGACATTGCCCAGATAAGTTATATAATTTAATACAGTGGTACCGTGGGTTAAGAACTTAATTCGTTCTGGAGGTCCTTAACCTGAGGTACCACTTTAGCTAATGGGGCCTCCCACTGCCACCGTGCGATTTCTGCTCTCATCCTGAGGTAAAGTTCTTAACCCGAGGTAATATTTCTGGGTTAGCGGAGTCTGTAACCTGAAGCGTCTGTAACCCGAAGCGTCTGTAACCCGAGGTACCACTGTACATCAATATCTTGCACTTTCTTGAAAATGCTCAGGCCAGGGGACATTCAGGTTTTGTTTTCATTTGCCATTTTAAGTCTCAGAACAACCCTGCAAGGTGAATTAGGCTCAGATGCAGGCCTTTTCCACACTTGCGCTTGTCCTGTGCTGAAAATAGTTGTTATTGTTGGTGGCATTGTTGTTCGATTTATACCCCACCCATCTGGCTGGGTTTCCCCAGCCACTCTGGACGGCTTACAGCATATATAAAAAATTGTAAAACATCAGACATTAAAAATTTCCCGATACAGGGCTGCCTTCAGGTGTCTCCTAAAAGTCAGATAGTCGTTTATTTCCTTGATGGGGGGGGTGCATTCCAAAGGGTGGGTGTAGATTATAGTGGTTTTCTGCTTGCCCACACTTTGTAGGCACAGATCTGGGTGGTTTTGCCTTTGCCCTGCCTCTTTCCCCAGAAAACCTGCTCTTTAGCACTAAATCGGAATGAGCAAAGCAATCTGCGAAAAAACCTGATTGCCAGTTGTTCTAATTTGGCACTAAAGACTGGGTTTCTTCTGGGTTTCCCTGGCAGGGCAAACAGAGAGGTGTGGATAAGTTAATAGTGACAGACCGCAGGTCAACCAGCAAACTGCAAGGCACAACAAGTCTGCCCCTCACAACCCCCACACACTGACTGTTGAGGTTATTTTCTGCAGTGCAGACTGGTCCATTAGAGCATTAAAGGAAGACGAACTACCCTGCCCTCAGCCCTCCTCTGGTCAGCTTGGCAGGGATCTCTTTCTCTGCAGGAAAAAGCTCCTGTTTGGGCTTCTTGACCGCTCTTGCGGTTGTTTCGTGTGCTTTTGGCCTCTTTGCCTCTTCCTTCGCCTTGTTTGTTGTTGCCTTTCCTTCACTGAAACATAAGACATTTTAAAATTTCTAATGAAACGTCTGTGGGTGTGGAACTTTTCATCAGGCTGGATGTTAAGCAGAGGGCGGTGGGTGGGGAGAGAGAAAGCTGGCTTGATGCTGAAGCCACAAAGTCTGCGTTTTGCCATACTCTGAAAATGGAGTGGAGGAGGAAGGCAGCAGACGAGAATGGGGCGAGGCTGTCATAGGTGCTAGGCAGATTTCACATTGCACTGGGGGACATTAGTTTGCTGTGCCTTGTATTCAAGCAGAGATCAGGCATGGCTCTGTCTCTCTGGCTTCCCAGCTTGCTTCCTCCTGCCTCTAGCTCTCACACCTCCACTCTGGCCCTTTGTCTTTCAACCTGCCAGAACGTTGAGGGAGAAGAGCCCACCCATGTGTCCTCTAGCACAGAGCCACTTCCTTTGTTACCTTACTGACTCATACTATGCCTGGCTATTTCCGCAGTTGAATCCCGGTTGGGTCCAGGAACTCAAGCATGCTGCCTACCCGCTTCCCCAGCCCAAATCACAACACTATGTTGGGATTATGCCTCCCTTGACCTCCTTAAGATGTTTCAAAGAGATGCTAGAAAACAATGGATTTATATTCAGCTGCTAACAAATGCAGAAGAAGCATTATGCCTTAAAGAAAAAAGAGATTGCCATCAAACATGCATTTGTTGTTGTTGTTTAGTCGTTTAGTCGTGTCCGACTCTTCGTGACCCCATGGACCAGAACATGCCAGGCACTCCTGTCTTCCACTGCCTCCCGCAGTTTGGTCAAACTCATGCTGGTAGCTTCGAGAACACTGTCCAACCATCTCATCCTCTGTCGTCCCCTTCTCCTTGTGCCCTCCATCTTTCCCAACACCAGGGTCTTTTCCAGGGAGTCTTGTCTTCTCATGAGGTGGCCAAAGTATTGGAGTCTCAGCTTCAGGATCTGTCCTTCCAGTGAGCACTCACGGCTGATTTCCTTAAGAATGGATAGGTTTGATCTTCTTGCAGTCCATGGGACTCTCAAGAGTCTCCTCCAGCACCATAATTCAAACGCATCAATTCTTCGGCAATCAGCCTTCTTTATGGTGCAGCTCTCACTTCCATACATCACTACTGGGAAAACCATAGCTTTAACTAGACGGACCTTTGTCGGCAAGGTGATGTCTCTGCTTTTTAATATGCTATCTAGGTTTGTCATCGCTTGTCTCCCAAGAAGCAGGTGTCTTTTAATGTCGTGACTGCTGTCACCATCTGCAGTGATCATGGAACCCAAGAAAGTAAAATCTCTCACTGCCTCCATTTCTTCCCCTTCTGTTTGCCAGGAGGTGATGGGACCAGTGGCCATAATCTTAGTTTTTTTGATGTTGAGCTTCAGACCATATTTTGCCTTCTCCTCGTTCACCCTCATTAAAAGGTTCTTTAATTCCTCATCACTTTCTGCCATCAAGGTCGTGTCATCTGCATATCTGAGGTTGTTGATATTTCTTACGGCAATCTTAATTCCGGTTTGGGATTCCTCCAGCCCAGTCTTTCGCATGATGAATTCTGCATATAAGTTAAATAAACAGGGAGGCAATATACAGCCTTGTCGTACTCCTTTCCCAATTTTGAACCAATCATTTGTTCCATATCCAGTTCTAACTGTAGCTTCTTGTCCCACATAGAGATTTCTCAGGAGACAGATGAGGTGATCAGGCACTCCCATATCTTTAAGAGCTTGCCATAGTTTGCTGTGGTCGACACAGTCAAAGGTTTTGCATAGCCAATGAAGCAGAAGTAGATGTTTTTTCTGAAACTCTCTAGCTTTCTCCATAATCCAGTTCCTCTGCCCCTTCGAAATCCAGCTTGTACTTCTGGGAGTTCTTGGTCCACATACTGCTTAAGCCTGCCTTGTAGAATTTTAAGCATAACCTTGCTAGCATGTGAAATGAGTGCAATTGTGCGGTAGTTGGAGCATTCTTTGGCACTGCCCTTCTTTGGGATTGGGATGTAGACTGATCTTTTCCAGTCCTCTGGCCACTGCTGAGTTTTCCAAACTTGCTGGCATATTGAGTGTAGCACCTTAACAGCATCATCTTTTAAAATTTTAAATAGTTCAGGTTTTACTGGAGCATAAAAATATGGAATACATCGTTGTTGTCTCTGAATTTAATCAACAGAAGTCCATGTTCACGAAGGTGGGCAGCAGCAAGATAATGTTTGCTAGGGCATTTTTGGAATGATAAATGTGTCAGGTATTTTTAATTTTTCTTTCCTCTTTTTAATATTTTGTTTTTTGAGAAGGAGAGAGGTGGGATATATTTTTTCCATGCAGTGGTGGAGAGCAGGCGGGCATCCCGGGGGCGGGGCGGGCGTTCTGGGGGCGGGGGGCCCAGCACGGGCGGGGGGGGCAGCCGCAATGGAACCCCACCAGGATTGCGCTGCCAGGGGCGGTGCGCTCCCCCCTGCCCCCCTCTTCCTCTGCCAGTGTTGCCATGCACTGAAGAAACTTCCACAAAAGAAATATGCTCTTCCTTAAACAGTTATTGGAGTGAACTCTTCCCCAGTTCCTCTGCCCTTCCTCTCAGAAGACAGAGGAGTTTGTCAGGCAGCCTTGAGCTGTTTGCAAAAAACCCAAACAGGCACCCTCACTGCATCAGAACTTTATCAGCCACTGGGATGGTGTTTAGTCTGTAGGGTAACATGCTCATTGACAGAGGCAAAGGGCAGAGAGATGAACTTTTGGGGGACTAAATATTAGAACCGTAGAATTGTAGAGTTGGAAGGGACCCCAGTGGACATCTAGTCCAACCCCCTGCAATGCAGGAAATTCAGCTAAAGCATCCATGATGGATGGCCACCCCCTTCCCGGTTCTAACCTGCTATTCATCCATCACTGATACCATTCCACACCACTTCTTTTTCTCCTGCCCCAACCCCAAATATTGCATTGCTCTTTGAACTTTTGTGAGACAGAAATCCACATCATGATTCCCCCCAAGCCTCAATCAGACCCTTTAATGTGAGTGACCCTTCTCTCTGTTAAATCAGCCCTTTATGAAGAACAGTGAGGACTGGAATTTTCACTCTGAAAGGAGCATACATGGTTTGCATGCAATAGGTCCCGAGTTCATTCCGGTTCTCCAAGTAGGGTTGGAAAAGACCCTTGCCTTGCCTGAAACCCCAGAGAGCTTTCTCTCTGGGTTTCCCAAACTTGGGACTCCAATTGTTTTTGGACTACAACTCCCAGGATTAGTGGTGAGGGATGGTGGGAATTGTAGTCCAAAAGCAGCTAGAGACCCCAGTTTGAGAAAGCCTGATATAGACAGTAGTGAGCTGTATTGGTCTGACTTAGTATAAGGCAGATTCCTAGGGATGCGGGTGGCGCTATGGTCTAAACCACTGAGCCTCTTGGGCTTGCCAATCAGAAGGTCTGCGGTTCGAATCCCCACATTGGGGTGAGCTCCTGTTGCTCTGTCCTAACTCCTGCCAACCTAGCCGTTCGAAAGCATGCCAGTGCAAGTAGATAAATAGGTACCACCGTGGCGGGAAGGTAAGCAACGTTTCTGTGCGCTCTGGTTTCCGTCACGGTGTTCCATTGCGCCAGAAGCGGTTTAGTCATGCTGGCCACATGACCCGGAAAGCTGTCTGTGGAGAAACGCCAGCTCCCTCAGCCTGAAAGCGAGATGAGCACCGCAACCCCATAGTCATCTTTGACTGGACTTAACTGTCCAGGGGTCCTTTACCTTTTTACCTACCGAGGTACCAGGGAAGCAGTTAGGGCTCTCCTTTAATTCTGTGTTTTATTAAACCCATGACTTAGAGTAGCTCCCCAAACTATGATTGATATTTCAGGGGTTTTTTAAAAAAATAGCAATCATGCAATGCAGCCTTCACCATCATGTCCCCCTCCAGATGTTGTGGACTCTTATTTATTTTATATCTATACACCACATTCTCATAAAATATCAAGCTGGGATACGGTAATTTAAGCTTTTGCTGGGTGGGGCTGCTGGGAGTTGTAGTCCAGTACATCTGGAGGGCACTGGGATGGCAAAAGTTGATGCAATGTGTGGAAACTCATCTAACACAGATGTCCACAAAGCCTTAAGCACTGGCGGACTAGTAGGAAATGTGTGCTTTCCCTTATGTTTTCCTGCTTCTGGTGCACTGGTGTTTAAAGGCACATCGACCCCTGTGTGTGACATCTGCCGGGATAGCTGAGTTGGTTAGAGCGTGGTGCTGGTAATGCCAGGCTTGCAGGTTCGATCCCTGCATGGGACAGCTGCCTATTCCTCCTTTGCAGGGCGTTCAGCTAGGTGCTTCTCAGGGTCCCTTCCAATTCTTCTATGATTCTACAGATTGTTGTAGGCATTAAATGAGGAGGAGGAGAACCATGTAGGCCACCTTAAGTCCCTGGGTGGGTGGGTGCGAGGAGAGGTGGGATAGAAATGCAACAAACAACTAAAACTCAAGAGCAGCAACTGAGCACAAGAACCCTCTACCCTCCTGCTATTTCCAACAACTGGTATTCAGAACTGTTACTGCCTTTGTGGACACAAAGCCTAGGCATCATGCTGATGGAGAGAGCTGACGTTCCCATGTTGACGTTTTGCCTGCCTTTTCCCCCAGAAAAGGAGACGGCTTTGTATCTGTGGCCACCGATTGCTCTGTGTGGTGCCTTCAGCAGTACCAAGCAGTGCTGTGGTGTGAGATGCCAGCTGATTGGCAGAGAGCGCCTGGTGGGCGGGCATCCTAAGCAGATAAGAGCTTGGATCAGAAGTGCCAAAGGTTGGTCTGGGGAGAGAGAGGAGTGTGCTTGAGTTGGGGAAGCGCTGGGAAGGACACAGACAGAATCGCAGGATCATAGAACTGCAGAGTTGCAATGGGCGCTCTCAGGGCAGCCCCGTCTTTGCGTTGGCTCTGCATCGTCCTGGTGATAGCAGGGCTGGCTCCCCTCACTGCTGCTCAGTACTGGTGGTCTTGGAGTCGACAAGAACCCACAACTGTGATGATGCCAACAACCCCCAAAGGTAGGTGCAAAAGGCTTTCCATTGCTCTTCTATGCGGTGAAGGGGTTGGAAATGTAGGAGGCTCCAGAAAGGTTAATCTCAGATGTTTGGAGCAGAGAGGGCTTGGAGTCACTGCTTGGTTGTGTTGTAAATAGATCAAGGTGGTACAGATGGGGGGGAAAGGACTAGAAGTTTGCAATGGGAGGTATTCGGACTGCAGCTGTTTGGGGTTCGAGCGACCGCCATAGTTGCGTGGCAGGCAAAATTTCAACAAGTGCTGCTTTCCCCTGCGTGGAGATGCAGTGAGATGCACAGCTTTTGCTACCAAAAGTTGCACAGCATCTGTGTACATGGGGTCTTCCTGTTGAACTGCTGCCTTTTCTGCAGCTGTGAGAGCTACAGGAGCCTTGCCCGGGGAAAGTTGGGGAGAGTGCTGTGTGGTGGATAGCACTCTAAACTCTGAGAGGGGAGGCTTGGGTTCAAATTTCTGCTTAGCCCTGATGCTTCAAGAGCAGTATTGGCCAGGTTGGTCTCTGGCCTGATCTACCTCACAAGGTTGTTGTCAGCCCTACCCTGAGCACAGAAGAAGGAAGAATTGCAGAAGGAGGAAGAATGTACGATAAGAAAAGTTAGGAAATATGATTTGACTGTGATATGGTTCTATGAAATAATGATATTGGAAAATGCTACATATAACTACTAAGAAATTCAGATGGAAGGGATTTGAGGAAGTCAAATAATATGTTTATGAAGATGGATTTTAATTAATTAATTAAGTGTTATTGTAGTGATGATTTGTTTTATTTTATGTTCCATATTCTTTTTTCTTTTTCTTTTTTCTATTTCTTTCTTCTTTTTTAGTATTGTTAATTTTTTTTCTTTTATGTTTATGTATGAAAAATAATAAATATTATTGTGGAGGGGGGAAAAGGAGGAAGAATTGGATGTACTTACTTTTACTTACTTACTAAATTTGTATGCCGCCATATACCTGTAGGTCTCAGGGCAGTTCACAGTTGGATGCCGCAATAAGAAATAAAACAAACATGGCATTCTCCTAACTTTGGCTTTTCTTTCCTGATAGCTCAGTTGGTAGAGCACGATACTCATAATCTCAGAGTCCTGGGTTCGAGTCCCATGTTGGGTGCATTGCATTGCAGAAGGAGGAAGAATGTACGATAAGAAAAGTTAGGAAATATGATTTGACTGTGATATGGTTCTATGAAATAATGATATTGGAAAATGCTACATATAACTACTAAGAAATTCAGATGGAAGGGATTTGAGGAAGTCAAATAATATGTTTATGAAGATGGATTTTAATTAATTAATTAAGTGTTATTGTAGTGATGATTTGTTTTATTTTATGTTCCATATTCTTTTTTCTTTTTCTTTTTTCTATTTCTTTCTTCTTTTTTAGTATTGTTAATTTTTTTTCTTTTATGTTTATGTATGAAAAATAATAAATATTATTGTGGAGGGGGGAAAAGGAGGAAGAATTGGATGTACTTACTTTTACTTACTTACTAAATTTGTATGCCGCCATATACCTGTAGGTCTCAGGGCGGTTCACAGTTGGATGCCGCAATAAGAAATAAAACAAACATGGCATTCTCCTAACTTTGGCTTTTCTTTCCTGATAGCTCAGTTGGTAGAGCACGATACTCTTAATCTCAGAGCCCTGGGTTCGAGTCCCATGTTGGGTGCATTGCAGGGGGTTGGACTTAGATGATCTTTGTGATCCCTTCCAGCTCTCATGATTCCGTGATTCCGCTGCTCTGGAAAACAGGTGTCAGAAACGGAGCAGTTTCCTTTTACATTTAGGATGCTCTGATGTGGTGGTAGTCCCTAACATGGTTTCATTTTGCCTTCCCAGCCACGGAAGCAGATGTGGAGGAACTCACTGAGAAAATGGTCCTGAGCACCCCCACCCTTTGGGACACACCAGGGACATTTACAGAGGAGGTGGCGGTCTCCTCGGAAGCAACAACACCAGGCCTGGTAAGCAGTTGCCGTGGGATGGCTGGATAAGGCCAGGGCATTCCTAGCACCCATGTTCGTGGCGAATCATGTAGCAAATATAGCGGAACTCTAGAACTGGAGGGAGCTTTGTAGGCCATCAAACTGGTACAGCAGCCATGGGGAATCTGTGGCGCTCCAGATGTTGCTGTACTACAACTCCCAACACCCCTGGAGATACTGGATGGGGAGCCTGGGAATTGGAGTCCAACAACATCCAGGAAAGCCACAGGTTCCTTGTCCCCTGTCCCTGCACTACAGCACGAGAAACCTCTGGCCCTCCAGATGTTGTCAGGCGCTAGTTCAGATCAGCCTCAGTCAGTGGCTAAGAATGACAAGAGTTATACAGTGGTTCTCAACCTGTGGGTCCCCAGATGTTGTTGGACTACAGCTCCCATCATCCCTGAGCTCTGGCCTTGCTAGCTAGGGGAGTTGTAGTTCAACAACATCTGGGGACCCACAGGTTGAGAAAGGCTGCTTCCGGAGGGTCACAGGCTCCCCACCCCTGATCTGGTGTAACCCTTTGCTTCATGCAAGTGAGCAGGGTTGGGGTTTTTCCACCTGGGAAGGCTCCTGTGCCTTTAAGAGCAGTGTGGCAAGCAGAGAGTTGACTATACTTCTATAGCCATCACTATATTTCTATACAGAATAAAGCTTTCGCCTCCTAGATTTCTGGCTTCCTCACAGCTTCCTAATAAAGCAAGAGTTTGACAGTGTGCCTGTGACAGATGTGTAAAATCATTATGAAGGGAGAGCGCAGCTGCAAAGGCGTGTGTTGGTAACTGGGTGCATATTTGTTTTATTTTACTTCTGTTTATTGCATTTCTATCCCACCTTTTGTATTCCAAGGAGCTCAAGGTGCCACAAAATATTCTCCCCCTCCCTTCCTCATTTAATCCCCACAACAACCCAGTGAGGTAGCTTAGGCTGAGAGGCAGTGACTAGCCCAAGGTCACCCAGTGAGCTTCATGGCTGAGTGGGGATTTTGAACCCTGGCAAGTAATAGGAGCAGTTTATTATTTATTTTATATCGTAAAATTTATACATCTCTTGATGGTGAAAAAAAAGGGAGGAGAAACACCTTAAATCACTTTACAAAATAACACTTCGCGTTTATGTAGTGTGTTCAAATCACTCATAGCATTTTGCGTGATTTCCGTAATCTTTTGTTTAGTTAGCCACCACTATCATCCCCCCTGTAATATAGGTTGTCGGAAGAGGACTACGGTTATCAAGTTGTATGCTCTCTGTGCGCACACACATGGAATCCTGGGAACTGTACTTTGTTAAGGGTGCAGGCAATGCTTTTTTCTGGGGGTACGCATACCCCTAAACATTTTGTGAATCTTTGAACTTTTGTCCATTTACTGTATTTATTTTTCCCGATTTGAACTATAAAATTGTGATTTTCTTGAGTCAAAATGAGAGTAAACATTTTTGTAGGGGGGGGGAGCCCTAGGCGAAGAGAATTGAAGCTCTGTAAGGGGTAAACTACACTTCCCAGGGCTTGGGGTGGGTGCGCTTTAAATGTATGGTGTGTGTATGTTCATGTCCATAGCACAATTTGAACTGAGAACTTTCAGGCCAATAGCCAACGTTTCTGCACTAGCCAGAGGTGATGTGTCTGACTTTGCATGTGAAATAAGTTTGTTTTTGAATCTGGGTGAGTGAATTCACAAGTGAGTGGGTTAGTGTGTAGCAGAAATAAAAACAAAATTGTACCCAGAGAGGTCACCCTGCGTACATTCTGGCCTCCGGAAGGGCATAAAGAAGCTTTTGCTAAAAGAACAACCCAGAATCATGACAAACAACCCTATCTTTTTCACTTCCAAACACTTGTGTAAGAATTTGTCTAGTGTCCAAATTTGTCTCATGTCGGCGGCCTAATCTGGCCCGTGTGGCAGTTTATTTGCTGGGGTAAAATCCTAAAAAAAGGTCAACAACATTGGTTGGCCCTTCGGTCGGCCCCCACGGCCCTTTACTTCATCAAATCTGGCCCTCTTTGCAAAAAGATTGGACACCACTGGTCTAGTGCAATATTAAATGTTCCATAATTATGAATATGCTTCATGTTCACACTTCACCTGCAAGAATGGGAGAATATATGTGGGTGGGGGGTTGGAAAGAGAGAGAGAAGATTCATCTTTTGCAAGTCTTTCACTCCCTGAGCAGAAAAGATTTTAGAAGTATATTCATGAACACTATTCAGTGATCGGTGACCTGAAAGCTGCATGCCTTTGAGTGAAGCTGCAGCTTTCAGCACATGTCGTCTCATTACTACCTGAGAAGGGGCGTATATAGGAGATTGCAATCCTGTATGTAATAATTAATCTGTAGGAGCAACCACCTCCTCATTCCATTCAGTTATAAAAGGGGAGGGGAGCCCTTGGCTGTGAGCAATGAAGCAAACATGAAGGACACACAGCAATCAAACAGTTCCTCTATTAAGTTCACTGATGGAACTGGCATGGAAATAAGGAATTGGAAAGTGATAACCAGTGTAACATGGAGATTCTGCTCTTTACTGTGCAAGTCCATTGATTCATCTGGCTGAGTATTATCTCCCCCAGGGAGAGGACCTGTAGTCTAACAACATCTGGAGGACCACAGGCTCCCCATCCTTGGTCTATATCTGGTGTGGGGAGCCTTTGACCATCCAGATGTTGCTCACTACAACTTCCACCATTCCTGTTTGCCGAGGCTGGTGGGCATTGTCCTTCATCAACATCTGGAAGGCCAGGGTTCCCCATCTTTGATCTACACTGGCAGGAACCGTCCAGGGCTTCAGAAATAAGTCTTTCACCATCTTTACCTGGAGATCACCAGCAATTGAATCAGCACTGGATAGCTCAGTTGATTAGAGAGTAGTGCTGATAACGCAAAGGTGGCAGATTTTATCCCTGTATGAGACAGCTGCATATTCCTACTGCCGTTGGACTAAAGTCCTATGATTCTGTGATTGAACCTGAGATCTTCTCATACAAAGCATGTGTTTTACCTCTGAGCTATAGTCTCTCTGCCCTGCCACCCGGTAGTCTGAGGAAATAGGGAATGTTTACAGGCGCACCTGTAAGGTAAAGGTAAAGGTCCTGACCATTAGGTCCAGTCATGACCGACCCTGGGGTTGCGGCGCTCATCTCGCTTTATTGGCTGAGGGAGCCGGCGTACAGCTTCCGGGTCATGTGGCCAGCATGACTAAGCCGCTTCTGGCGAACCAGAGCAGCGCACAGAAACACCGTTTACCTTTCTGCCGGAGCGGTACCAACTGCTAGGTTGGCAGGAGCAGGGACCAAGCAATGGGAGCTCACCCCATCGTGGGGATTCGAACCGCCGACCTGCTGATTGGCAAGTCCTGGTCTCTGTGGTTTAACCCACAGCCCCACCCGTGTCCTGTTGCGCACCTGTAACATAGCACATAAACAGACTGATCAGTTATCCTTTAACCACCATGTTGTACTCATAGCCAAAGTGCTTCAAGAGAGGCATCTGCCTGCAAAGGGAATGCAAGACGAGACGGACCTTTGGTCTAATCCAACAAGGCAATTCTTGAGTTCTAGGGGTTGTGAGCGCCAGCTCATGAACATACGTGCGGCTGTGTTTCCACGCACACACCCTGTAAAGTACACCGTCCTCCTTTGCAGGTTAGGTGCACTTGCTGCCCCACAGCCTTTCAGCCTCCCCCCCCCCCCTTGGCATCTCAGCATGAAAGGCTTATGGCAATTCAGGCCAGACGGCTGCTCATCTGAGCATGCTCCCGATGTGGGAGATGCAGACCAAAGTCCCAAGGCCAGCTCCCCCACCCTGAGACACACAATCGCTTGCTTTTCTCTCTTGGTCCCTTTCTCTCCACTTTATCAGCAACCAAGGTCCTGTCAGACACAACAAATCCTTGGATTCAGTACATGTACAGGGCTTAATTGGCCAAAGGGAAATGGCTAGAAAGGGACCAGCCCAAGCAAGCGTTGTGTGTCCTGCTTTTACAGAGGAGAGTCCTCTGTTTCGAAAGGCTGTCAGGAGATGCTCCTCTGTTTGATGGTGTCTTCCATTGGAAAGTACCCTTCCGCTTCCTAATTTCTAAACATTACTTTTTTAAGTGTAGGTTTTTGACTTTATTTGGGCTGCTTGGTTGGGATGGCGTTGCCTGTTTGAGCGGGGACGATGACGAATGTTTCCTGCTGGGGTTTGTTGTTGTTGTTTAGTCATTAGTCGTGTCCAACTCTTCGTGACCCCATGGAACAGAGCAGGCCAGGCCCTCCTGTCTTCCACTACCTCCCGCAGCTTGGTCAAATTCATGCTGGTAGCTTCAAGAACACTGTCCAACCATCACATCCTCTGTCGTCCCCTTCTCCTTGTGCCCTCCATCTTTCCCAACACCAGGGTCTTTTCCAGGGAGTCTTCTCTTCTCATGAGGTGACCAAAGTATTGGAGCCTCACCTTCAGGATCTCTCCTTCCAGTGAGCACTCAGGGCTGATTTCCTTCAGAATGGATAGGTTTGATCTTCTTGCAGTCCATGGGACTCTCAAGAGTCTCCTCCAGCACCATAATTCAAAAGCATCAATTCTTCGGCAATCAGCTTTCTTTATGGTCCAGCTCTCACTTCCGTACATCACTACTGGGAAAACCATAGCTTTAACTATATGGGCTTTTGTTGGCAAGATGCTGTCTAGGTTTGTCATTGCTTTTCTCCCAAGAAGCAGGAGTCTTTTAATTTTATGACTGCTGTCACCATCGGCAGTGATCATGGAACCCAAGAAAGTAAAATCTCTCACTGCCTCCATTTCTTCCCCTTCTGTTTGCCAGGAGGTGATGGGACCAGTGGTCATAATCTTAGTTTTTTTGATGTTGAGCTTCAGACCATATTTTGCCTTCTCCTCTTTCACCCTCATTAAAAGGTTCTTTAATTCCTCATCACTTTCTGCCATCAAGGTCGTGTCATCTGCATATCTGAGGTGGTTGATATTTCTTCCGGCAATCTTAATTCCGGCTTGGGATTCATCCAGCCCAGCATTTTGCATGATGAATTCTAAATAAACAGGGAGACAATATACAGCCTTGTCGTACTCCTTTCCCAATTTTGAACCAATCAGTTGTTCCATATCCAGTTCTAACTGTAGCTTCTTGTCCCACATAAAGATTTCTAGCTCTAGATTGTTTGTTTGGGGGAAGGGTGGTGCTTTGCCTGTTTTGGATGGTGGTGGTTCTGACCATCGCCTTTTTTTTTATCCTGTCAAATGGGTAGTTTCTGGTGCCCCTCAACAGTTGGTGTAGAATACAATGGCCAGACTGGGAGCTTCCACCTGAGAACATGTGACACCATTGTTAAAACAGCTTCTCTGGCTGCCCACTTGCTACTGAGAGAGGTTCGAGCTTCTTGTGTTAATTTACAAAGCCCTGAACAACTTAAGCCCAGGGTACCTCAGGGATTGCCTTAACCCTTGTGTTATATCCCAGTAGAGGTTTGGGGTTTGTGTGTGTGGTTTCTTTTGTAAAAAAATTAATTGGAATTTTTATGAAAGTGATACAAAACAGTACCAAGAACAAGGCAAAAAATAAAATAAAAAATACAGAACAATCAAACCAGATGTTCCTGATCCCAGACACTGAGATCGTCTGCAAGAGCATCGTCGGTCATTCCCTAAGCTGGTGAGGCTTGTTTGACAACAAGATACTGAGCCTTTAGTGTCATCTGTGATGTTTCTACATTTTTAGAACTGGGATTTTTGTATGCTGTTACATTTGCTATAGAATTACTGTTCTATTATTGCTGCTATTATTAAATTATTCTTGCAGTCTGTTGCTTTGGTGATGCCTTGCCCTGATTGTCGCTTTCAGCATAATTTTGTGTGTATGTGAAAAGGTGTCATACAGATAAATTGATTATGATTTGGAATTTTTTGCTTGCTTTGCGGTTAATATTAGTTAGGCTTAAGCCCAGTTCTAGGGATGTGGGTGGCGCTGTGGGTTAAACCACAGAGCTTAGGACTTGCCGATCAGAAGGTCGGCGGTTCGAATCCCCGTGACGGGGTGAGCTCCCGTTGCTCGGTCTCTGCTCCTGCCAACCTAGCAGTTTGAAAGCACGTCAAGTGCAAGTAGATAAATAGTTAAGGTAGCAGGAAGGTAAACAGTGTTTTCGTGCGCTGCTCTGGTTTGCCAGAAGCAGCTTAGTCATGCTGGCCACATGACCCGGAAGCTGTATGCCAGCTCCCTCGGCCAATAAAGCGAGATGAGCGCCGCAACCCCAGAGTTGGTCACGACTGGACCTAATGGTCAGGGGTCCCTTTACCTTTACCTAAGCCCAGTTCTGGTGTCTCTCTCCTCTCCCAATCCCATGTTATTAACGCTGTATGAATAGGAAAGTGGGGGAAGCACTCTCACTGCCGCCCCTCACTGCCTCTCATTGCCATCGCTGCTCCCACAGCCCCTCACATGCCGAGAGGACTGAACCTCTGCCATGGGGAGCCTTTTTTCTACCCCATAGTCTCTCTAGATCTTCCACTGCAGGAGTGGTTAGAGTTCAACAACAAACTTTTATTCTCAGCTATAATTGATCTCGCAGGTGAAGAATGCTTTCGTTTTTATAAATATTTATTATCTGTACAGCGAATCTTTGTATGAGTGAATGTTTTGTTATCCAGTTGTAGCTGTGCTGTGTCTTTGTACTTTTGTCCTTCCAGACCATGAGGCTTTATAGTTTAAATTTCTGGTTCTTCCTTTTCCCTTCCTTTTTTGTTAGGCTTACACTTTTGTTTGCTAATAAAAAAAAACTAAAAAAAAACAACAACAATCGGGGGTGCTAGCAAACACGGCCCTTATTCCCCCTCACATCATAATTGTGTGAGGGGGGAAAACCTGAAGAGGACTATAGGGATTCAAAATTCATATCTATGGTCTTAACCCCTTCATGCATTAATTAGACCAGGGTTTCCCAAACTTGGGTCTCCAGCTGTTTTTGGACTACAATTCCCATCATCCCTGACCACTGACCCTGCTAGCTAGAGATGATGGGGGTTGTAGTCCAAAAACAACTGGAGTTCCAAGTTTGGGAAACATTGAATTAGACTGAAGCATGTTGGTTATATGAGACTGGTTATCCCACAAACTTTATGTCAGGTTGTGGTGTGCTCACAAATTCCATTTTCCCCCCTCCCAGGCTACCTCTGCAGCTGACAAGGAGGAAGTGTTTCCTGGCATGGATTTTCCCTTTCAGAACATCCTTGAAGGCAGCACTGAGGATGAAGATGATGAATTTTTACATAGCCTAGTAACAGCACCGGGGAATGAGGTGTCAACTGAGCTGGTACGCTTCGGTTATTTTCTATAGCAAGTGGGTTGTTGTAATCTAAATATCTTCATCTGCCCCTGAAGGCTGGCTCACGCGGCAGCTGCTACCTACCTAGTTTTAGGGCTTATCCACATCTCTGCTCTTCCCAGGCATGGTCCACGCTTTAGAAAAGCTCAGTGTTCAAGCGCCTTCTTTTTTTTCTTTTTCTCTTTTGCTCCAGATGTTTCTCCATGGAAACCTGTTCTTTAAAGTTCAATCGAAACAAATGGCATTCCATGGAAAAACCTCTGTAAATGACTAAGCAGAGGGCCAATACCTATGCCAGGAGTGAAGAACGCAACAAATTAAAGAATCAGCTACCATTTTGAAAAAACAGAGAGATGTGTGCGTTGTGTAGCTCCTAGGTCTTCCTACACCATTAGAAGATAGCAGCACTTTGCTTTGGAAGGTGGGAGGCCTGCTCAGTGGCAGGGAGGAGAAGACTTGGCATCTTAGTTGGTGTCTTACAAAATATGATTTCCTAACTGTCACCATCTTGTTATCTCAGGAAGATGCAAAACCCTCAATGTCTTCAGTTCACCAAACCACAATCCGGGGAGACTCTGAGACAAAAGAGGTACATTTGGGGTTTTGTTCTGGAAAAAGCAGTGCCACGTTGAAAGAAAGGAATGGGGGTGGGGGGAGTTAAAGGGATAGTGACCATAAATAAGTTCAGTGGAACTTATTTCTGAGTAAACATACATTAGTTTATTGCCTTCTGGTGTGGGGGGTTGCTATGGTGAATATATAGCACTAAAGTGCCATGTGGAACCACCATTTTAATTCCCACTTTTTTTTGCTGAGGCACTGAAAATCCTCTGTTAGAGAATCCTTGCTTTCCTTCAGAGACCTACAATTCTCAAGGTTCCTTGTGAAGACAGAGTGAAGCCAGTTTTAACCTGCAGTATGGCTGCAGGTTAATCAAAGTGGCTGGTCTTGAATAGCAACCATCATCAGAGATGCACTGTTTAGAGAATTCTCAGTTTGTTCATTTTGCCCGGTTAGAAAACACTTTTCTTTAAATCTCCCAGAATGTCTACTAACGGCTCTTTTGCACACCTTTCAGGCACAGCCTGTGACTGAAAAATCATGGTGGCCTCCAGCGACTGTTACAAAGGAGCATCCTCAGAAGGCTGAAGTGAGTCAATACAGGGTTTTGGTAGTCCATGGGGTTTGGTAATCCATGCCATATTTTTGTGAGACATCATCACCAATACAGTTAATCTCAGCCATTCCTCTGTAGGTATATTGCCCAGGACTTTTTGAAATATTTCAGGACCTCCCTGGGGATTTAGGAAGATATACTGAAAGACATTGTACTGGTTATTTGGAAGGCCCACCCGCCCACATGACACAGTCATTGACACTGAGACATTGACAGACACAGCTTTGCTCAAAAACAATATGGCGTATTTTTCAGGATTCTACGAGTGGTTAATTTATAGAGAGTGAAATGCCAGGCCTTGATTCTCTGACCAAGCTCCATGACTTCTGACTGACACTCCCCTCATCAAATCCCAGATTGATATGAATGGTTATCTTGATAGGTCTTATTACATTTTCATTACAAATGTGCACCTTAACAATGTAAACAGGCAGGGAGGTTATCTGATTTTTGTCATTGTCTTGTGTCTCAGGAGGACCCACATGTCTCGACTCCTGATGTTCACCAAACCGTGGGCAGGGGAGACTCTGTGGCAAAAGAGGTATGTAGGGAGTTCGCTATCAAGAAGCCAATGCCACTGTGGAAGAAGGGGGAAAGGGGGAAACAACTAAAGGGACCGTAACCAGGAAAAGCAGAACCGTCATGTTTGCAATACCAACTTCCTAGAAAGTATATGTGTATGTTTTGCAGGTAAGGTTTACTGGTAGGTTTGGTTCACATTTTAACACAAACTCTACCTAACCTTCACTTTGCAAAGCAATACACTCAAGATGGCGGGGGTGGCAGCTTTCAGCCTGAGGGCTGCATTCCCTTCTGGGCAAACTTCTGAAGGAGTCATGGCCTCCCCAAAAATTCCAGGGACTGTAGGAGATCCCTATTCCCCTCAGAGAGCTACCAATCCCAAAGTGGTTTAACAATCAGCCCCTCTTCCTAGGGAACTATGGGATTTCTAGCTCCATGAAGGGAACAAGTCTCCCAACAACTCTCAATGCCCTTAACAAACTACAGTTCCCAGAATTCTCTGAGGGGAAGCCATGACTGTTTAAAGTGCTATAATACTGCTTTAAACGTATACTGCAGATGGAGCCTTGTTTTTGTCAGATACTGTCCCTTCCAGATCTGCAGTTACATGGAAAGTAACAATGCACCTTGGCAATGTAAAATGGCAGGGAGGTTATTCAATTTCCTAACTGTTGTCATCTTGTATCTCAGGAGGAACCACAACTCTTGACTCCTTCTGTTCACCAGACCGTGGTCAGGGGGGACTCTGTGGCAAAAGAGGTATGTAGGCAGTTCACGATCAAGAAGTCAGTGTCGCTGTGGAAGAAGGAGCCTAGACAGAATTATGGCAGCCTGACAGAGAGGCCTGGAATGGCAGCACTATTTCTTTTAAATCAATATTGTGACATTTATATCCCACTTCTCTTCCGCAAAGTTCAAGATGGCATATGTGGTTCTCCTACTCATTTTTTTCATCCTCACAACAATCCTGTGAAGTAGGTCAGGCTGACCATGTAACTTGGACCAAGGTCACCCAGTAAGATAAAATATTGTCAGATAAAATATTGTCCTTCCAGTTCTACAGTTACATGGAAAGAGGGAAAGAAGAAAGTTTTTTTAAAGTCTGGAATAATCAGGTGGAAATGACGCAGAAGGAAGGAACTCTGATGGGATGAAATAATAGGGTAGATTTAGAAAGTTGGGGGTGAGTTGTCACACGCACAGAGAGAGAGAGGGGGGGGTCTGCTTTAAAGTCTCGGATATGGCCCTGGAGGGCCTTGAGGTATGTCTATATTAGGGTTGCCATATTTCAAGTAAAAATCTGGACACAAAAAATGGTTAAACTTTTTTAGGGCAATCACCTGATAGCATCTCCACCACTGCCAAGCCTAAACCAGAGCCTGGGTTGCCAGAACCTGAAGCAGAGCCACCCAAGCATATTTAAACAAAAAAAATCCAGGACATTTGCTTTAAAATGTAAAATTCTCCCCAGATGGGCATGTAGGACCCGCAGAAGAGGACATGTCCAGGAATTCCTGGATGTATGGCAACCCTAGATTCCTGACCTAGTGAAAAAAGTTTTAAATGTGTAATTTATTTATTTATTTATTGGCTTTTTGACAGGTGATTACGAAAGAGGAAACCTCATCCATTTCCCCTCCCAAGACAGCCGCTGCCTCCATTATTGGGGTAAAAAGGGGGAAAGTTGATGTTTGGGACTACAATTCCCATCATCCCTGACCACTGGTCCTGTTAGCTAGGGATGATGGGAATTGTAGTCCCAAACATCTGGAGGGCCGGAGTTTGCCTATGCCTGCTCTATGGGTTATGACCTTCCTCTCTGTGTTCCATTGGTGAGAGGTGATCTATTGCTAACTACTTTTTCTGTTTTTCTTAGATGCATAATCTTTCCCAGTGTGTCTGTCCAGCAACACCAGGCCCTCGTGGTGCAAAGGTACACATCTAAGCTTTCTCCCCCTGTGTTGGGTTGCTGTGGTAATGGCAAGTCCAGGCCAGTCTGCAGCTGAGGGTGTGTCTAGTCTACAAAAGGCATTTTCAAACACTGCCTTGAAGAACATGCATAAGGCAAATGAAAACCTATTGGGCTTCCCTAGCCATAAAGAAGGCCACATCTATACTACTGTGGTTGCTACTTCCCCCCTCCCCAAACCAAATAACCTGTGCCTTTTGAGGGTGGCACAATAACCAGGCATCCAAAAGCTGCAACTGCCCCCCATCTCTGTATCTCCTTGCTGAGAAGCATTCATGCTGTTGAGCTGTACTGATCTATTGTTTTGGAGCTGTTAGTCCAGCCAGTCCAGGGCATCCTGGCGCTGGGACTGATGAGAGTTGTAGTCCAAAACATCTGGAAGGTAGCACCTGGTTGGCCGAATGCTGTGTTGCTATGGGGACTCTAGCTGCTAGACAGCAGCCCAAATAAATCTCAAGTCGGAAGGATGCTATTGCACTTAGGTCCTGCTTGTGGGCTCCTCCTAGGCACCTGCCTGGCCACTGTGAGAACAAGATGCTAGACTAGATGGGCCATTGACCTGGTCCAGCAGGTCTCTCCTTATGCTCTTTGCCTACAGTGAGCTGAGAAATATTTCACTCTGTATGGAAGAATCATAGAATCGTAGAGTTGGAAGGGACCCTGAGGATCATCTAGTCCAAGCCCCAGCAATGCAGGAATCTCAGCTAAAGCATCCATGACAGATGGCCATCCAACCTCTGCTTAAATACCTCCAAGAGTACTATGGAATCCAGTTAAGATGACTTTAAAGCCCTAAACAGCCTCGGTCCAGTATACCTGAAGGAGCGTCTCCACCCCCATCATTCTGCCCAAACACTGAGGTCTAGTGCCAAGGGCCGTCTGGCAGTTCCCTCGCTGCGAGAAGCCAAGTTACAGGGAACCAGGCAGAGGGCCTTCTCGGTAGTAGCACCCGCCCCGTGGAACGCCCTCCCACCAGATGTCAAAGAGAGGGGGAAACTACCAGACTTTTAGAAGACATCTGAAGGCAGCCCTGTTCAGGGAAGCTCTTAATGTGTAATAGGTTTTTGTATTTTAATATTCTGTTGGAAGCCGCCCAGAGTGGCTGGGGAAACCCAGCCAGATGAGCAGGGTATAAATAATAAATTATTATTATTATTATTATTATTATTACTTGTCCCTAAAGGAACAACCATGGCCCCATCTCCAGCCATACATTTAAGTTTCCCCAAAATATGTGTGCATAAGCTTCTCCCAGAAGCCATTCAAAATAAGTGTGCCAAAAGCAGACAAATAAGTGAGTTGCCTGCTGGCATTGGCTCCAGTCTGCCTATCTAAGCAAGTCCAAGACTCCAGAGGTTTCTAAGAGAGAAGGGGAGCACTTTGCACAGCAGGAGACTGAGTACAGACCTTTGCTGTAGATATTGACTGTTGCCTGAATCCAAAGTGCACGCCTCTCATCCTATGTTCTTTCCTGTGGCAGGGAGACAAAGGTGACCAGGGTCCTCCAGGAGAAAGAGGACTTCCTGGGGAAAGAGGGCTAGCAGGCAACCCAGGCCAACCTGGACCTGCAGGACCCCCGGGACCACCAGGCCAGTCCCTTCCAGGATCTCCAGAATGTGGTGATGCCAATGGTGGAAATGAAAAGGTGAGACTGGGCCGGGGGAGAGAATTGAGGTCACTTACTGATGAGTTGTTTGTTGAGCATTCATCCTGATTGGCTTCCACAAAGTTTGTGGAGAGGTTAGACAGCTCTGAACACTCATTCTGATCTATTTGGGGGGGGGGGGGTTATGACATCACATCAAGCAGCTATCATCACACACCTTCCTGTGTGTTTTCCCATCACTTTGGTTATCACAAAAAAGACTGATTTGGGGTGGGGGGAGTGTGTTTGTTATGCAACAGCACCAAATCAACTTTAATTGGGCAACCGGAATGTGCCAATATGTGATTGATCCACAGCGGAAGATAGCAACACTTTGGAAGCACAGAGGCCGGGGGGTTTCCAGGCTATGTGCATTAAAATCTTTTTCCAGCGCTTTGAAGTATCATCAACTTTATGAGCAAATGTTTTCAGGCTTTCAGGGAGGTTTCTAACACTTTGGCCCATGCTACAGTCCCAATCTGGATTGGCGGAGGCAGCACCGGTTATTTGCATGGAAAGAAAAGTTTCCATTCGTGTTAACTGAAGCTTTTCTTCCAGGCATAGGAGAGATGTCCAATCCAGATTGGGACTGCAGCAAGGGGAAAGTATTAAAGTCCTCCCTGCCAGGTTCCCAATGCCTGCCGTTTATTTATTTTTTAAAAGCCTTTCATGCAGCTGCTATTTTTTGGGAACAGCTTCTCTTCTGCTTTGGCCCTACGACACTCACACATGCATTATATCAGCCCAAGGTAGACATGGAATTGCAGCCCTGTCATGTCTTGTTTATCGTTTCAACCTAGTTCTTACTGAAGCGATAAGCTTTTATCAGGACTACGGATTGTGGGTGGGAGCTCGCATGGTTGAATACAAAGAAATTCCCTGCACACTGCGCCAGACTTCTCCCTTACATGCTAGCTTTCTGCATTTGGGGTTTTTTTGTGGAGGGAAATATTATCACGTTGCTCCCACCTCCCATCTGAAGTGATCCAACTCAGACCCAGGTATATCCTCTCAGGAAGAACTAGATCTTAGCTTTGGTTTCCTATGAAGTCAGAAATCTTGACAAATGCATTAGCAACTTCCCAAAGATGCTGAACGATATTTTCTCTGCCTCTTAAAAGATCAACAATACACCTTGTGCCTCTTTTGTCATTTTTCCTAGGGGGTCAGCATCATGGAAGGGCCCCCTGGTCCAATGGGCTACCCAGGTCTTCCTGGACCTCCAGGATACCCTGGTCAGGAAGGACCCCAAGGGCCCCCTGGCCTTCCAGGCCACGAAGGTCAGCAAGGTACGCCAGGCCTCCCTGGCACACCAGGCCAGCCTGGCCCACCAGGATCCACAGGGCCTGCAGGCATGCCGGGGCCAGTGGGGGCAGAGGGGATTCCCGGAGCCATGGGCCCTGAAGGGCATCCAGGACTTCCAGGCCACATGGGGCCACCAGGACCACCAGGCACCCCCGGGCAGAAAGGGCCTCCAGGACGAGAAGGGCTTCCAGGGAAGGACGGGCCAAAGGTAAGCAGCACCGAAAGTGGGGTCATGGGTGAACTGTCAGAGGTGGGTGGCCTAATAGCAGGAAGGCAGGATGGAAGGGAGAGGAAAGCTAAATAAGACAGGCAGGAACAGGGTCACAAACTTGCATGCCTCCTCCTACCTACGCCCTGTAACAATGACAGGTATTTTGCTAGCTGGTAGATAAATGCCTGAATTTCCAAAGCAATTTGGTTGGGTCTCTGCTTGCCTTGAATCAGAAGCAGAGTGGGTGGGTGTGAGTCAGAGGCAAGGGACACCAAGCCTACATTTCTCTAATAATAATAATAATAATAATAATAATAGTAATGTTGGTACAGTGGTACCTCGGTTGTCGAATGTCATCTGTTCTGGAAGACCGTTCGACTTCCAAAACATTTGACAACCGAGGTGCAAAGGGCCATCTGCAATTTCCATTGAGAAAACTGAAAAACACACCACAGAAGCCGTTCAGCTTCCGAGGTGTGTTCGAAAACGGAAGCAATTACTCCTGGGTTTTCGGGGTTGGAAAAACGAAACATTCGGCTTCTGAGATGCTCGGAAACCGAGGTACCACTGTACTTAAAACCTTGGGTTTCTGTTTTAGGACTTGTGATAATGTTTGTGGTTTATTCTTGCAGGGTGAGAAGGGTGAGGTTGGCCTACAGGGCCCTCCTGGTAATCCAGGTGTGAAAGGTGAAATGGGGCTTCAGGGTGTACCTGGGCCCATGGGTCCTCCTGGTGAGAATCAGGTGAGTGGAAATGCACTTTGCTCTGAGCTAGCATGCTCTCTGATACCCATCTGGGATTGCTTACTTATGACACACTAAGGCCGTGTACACATTCCCGCTTATTCTGCATCCACTGCTCTCCCACCGCTGGTTTGTGAAGACATATACACACGACACTAACCACAATCCACACCTGTCCTGTAGTGTCTTGAGGAACATTGCATTCTGACGTGTTTTCCTCCCACAAACCAGCTTCCATCTGATCAGGAAAGCCATATGAAGGCATTAGGGTTGCCTGACCTCCATCCAGGTGGCAGGTGGAGGGTTTGAATGTCCAGGTGGATGGGAGTGCCTTTAATAATAAAAAATATTATTATTATTAACAGAACTGTGCATTCAGCTTGAAGGCTCTAGCCCAGCAGGAGCTGGCTGCAAATTATAGCATAGACACTCTGGGCGATCTGCCTTCCTTCTCTCTCCTCTCCCCTCTCCCAATTAAATTCTGTCTCCATGATCCACCGGGGGCCTCCCTCAGAACATCAAATAAATAAATAAAAAGGAGTATTCCCTGGATGCCTAGTTCCAAGTTTAGGGCAAGTGCTCTTTGGTTAGCGGAACCCCAGCAGAGATTTAAAATCGCAAAATATGCAGCAAAGAGTGGAAATATAGGCTATTAGATCTTAAAAACCATCCCTTCTAAGTTGCTTCCAAAATTCCCCTCAGTGGCAGACTTTGAGCTCTCAAATTTCAGTAGCACCATGTGCAACACTAAAATTCTGCACGCACCCTGCCTCTTGCACTCCATTCTAAAGCATTGTTTTGGCGCCCCCTGCAATGCGGGGCCCAGTGTGACCATACCGGTCATGCTACCCTTAAACCGCTTCTGTTCCCTCTTCCCTTAGCATAGAAAGAGACCACATGTAAGTGGTTTACTTACAATCTCTTCAACAGTCATATTCATGTGTTTTTCCATACATCGGCAAGAAAACACAGGAAGTAAAACTTAAGTTCCAAAGTGGTGAATGCTTCTAAATTATTTGTATAGAAACACAAAGATAGCTGCTTAAGCCACACAGCCTTAGCTTGAAACATCCAACTTAGACCTCCTTATACAGGTAGGGTTCACATGATAATCCTTCCACCCAAGGTAAGGAGGAGTGACCTGGCCAAGCCTGGCAAGACAGCTTGCTCTATGGTCTTAAAGCCTTCGTGCATTAATTAGACTTAACTTAAGCATGTTGGTTATATGAGGCTGCTTATCCCACAGAAGTGGGGTGAGATGGCCCCAAAGGCAAGCTTGTATATAACTTACTTTCATAGAAACTTTCAAGACATTATGACCACAGACACGAGCCTGCCAAAGCATAGGGTGATCCTGGTTACATTTTAGAAGCTAAGTGGAACCAGGAATTGTAATAGTTACAAGGCTTCCATTGCTTCCTATTGATCCTTGGGCCCTTGCCCCTCTATGCGGGACTGCTTTTTATTCTTCCTTGCCCCTTCCATTTCCGCCTTCCACTCCCCCAGTTGTTACAAAAAAGAGAGGAGAAAATCCGTGGTTTTTTTCCTTAAGGTAAGATGAACGGACATTGAAAACTATACATGTGTTTTATAAATATAAACAGGTATGTGCAAAAATTATTCTTAATTGGCATGTAAACACCAAAGTCTGCCAAGAACACAGGTCCGAAGGATCTGTCACTTGTGCATGGGCAGTTGTTGGGGGGTGTTCCTTATGGGTTACATCAATGCCCTTCTCTTCTCTCTTTGTAGTGCAACACTCATGCAAGAGTTCTTGGACCTCCAGGTCCTAAGGTGAGTATGACACTTATCAAGCAACATGGCAGAGATGGGGGGAAGCAGTGGCCTTCCAGATGTTCTTGGGCTCCAGCTCCCTTCAATCCCAGCCAGCAATGTCAATGGTGAGGGATGATGGGGGTTGTAACCTGACATCTGCAGGGCTGCAGGTTCCCCCGCCCTACTTGCACTGGCATGCTTTTGAACTGCTAGGTTGCCAAGAGCTGGGACAGAGCAACAGGAGCTCACCCCGTCACGGGGATTCGAACCGCCGACCTTCTGATCGGCAAGTCCTAAGCTCTGTGGTTTAACCCACAGCGCCACCCACATCCCTAGAACTGGGCTTATGCCTAACTAATATTAACCGCAAAGCAAGCAAAAAATTCCAAATCATAATCAATTTATCTGTATGACAGCTTTTCACATACACACAAAACTGCTAGGTTGGCAAGAGCTGGGACAGAGCAACAGGAGCTCACCCCGTCACGGGGATTCGAACCGCCGACCTTCCGATCAGCAAGCCGAAGAGGCTCAGTGGTTTAGACCACAGCGCCACCCTTTGCCCCCCATCCTTGTCATACCAGCAGGAGAAACAAGGTGGTGCAGGAAGGGCATCCAAAATCTCTGTGTGTGGGCAACCACCGCAAAGACAACGGTGTGTAGTTAGGTTGTGGACTAGAGTTGACTTTGGATACCCTGGAAATTCTTTTTCTTCCTCACTTTCACCACCCCCTGCCCCCAGTTACAAGGGGAAGAGTGGAGAGATGGGGGGTGGGCTGCCTCTCCTTCCTTTCTCTTTGGGTGATGCCCCTTCTTCAGAAGAATGCGATAGGAGCCCTAGCTCACTGAGCCCACCTCAAAGTTTTCATCATGAGCTGAAAGGATGGAAAAAGTGGGAAACCCAGAGAACTCATGATCACGAATTCTATTCATCCTTGTTCGTAGCTGTGTTTATTTTTGCTCATATCCTCTTGTGATATGTGTCTCTTCCTCCCCGAAAAAAAAATCCTTTTGTGTGTCTTTTCAGCATTTATATTCCTGCCATCTTATCTTCTCCCTGCTTCTCTGGTCTCTGTTTTGCCTCGTATCAAAAGCAGAGCGGGTATGAGTCAGAGTTGAGGGACTCCAAGCGTACATTTTTTCTTTAAAAATAAATAAATTAGTACTTACAAACTTTGGATTTCTGCCCAACTCTCTCTCCCTTTCCCTCCACCTTCCTCTGCTTCTGCCTTGCCTCTTGCATATGTTCGCATTAGTGCTTTAAAACACAGCAAGGTTTGCTCCAATTCAGCTGTAAAATGGGAAAGTGCTGGGACAAAAAAAAATCCCTGCTCCTACATGGAGTTCTAAAGCACAGAGCTGTGCCTGGAAAGTGCAGTGCAAAAGGAAGTATAGCTAAGCCCTTAGTTTCATGCTCGCAGGGGGCCTGTCTAATCAGTTAATGGTGGATTAATCCTGGAACTGTAGAGCTGGAAGGGACTCTGAGGGTCATCTAGTCCTACCCCCTGCAATGCAGGAATCTCAGCTAAAGCAGACATGCAAGGTGGCCATCCAACATCTGCTTAAAAACCTCCAAGGAAGGAGAGTTCTCTCCTTGCAAAGAGCAGTGCAAAATCGCCAATCGTAAGAACTTTTGGGTATCAGTATACTTTGTGTGTGTTTGACTACAAAGCCACAGACTTCCTGAGTTCATACTTTTAAGGTGCAGGGAAGCTGCCTGCAACTTTAGATCTGCTTTGCTGGGTTGTGGCAAAAGCCCGTTTACTACTCCAGCCATGTATTCCCCTGCAATCTTTTCAGAAGCAAAGAGCTGCAACGAAACCTAGGGGACAAAGCAGCAGTTAATAACCCGGTTAGCCTCATCACACCCCGAACAGAATGAGCAGCGCAAGTTTGTACGCTGGGCAGGAGAAGCTGCTGTGAAGAAAGGCTGTTTTGAACCTAGAGACTCTAAATACGGGGTGATTTAGGGTCCTCACAAACCATCAGCTTCAGGCAGTGCTGCCCACATGTTCACTGAAGTGTCCTTTGAGTTGGCAAGCCACCCTGTCTTCTTCCCGAAATTGGGTGTGGTGGGGAAAGGACCATCCCCAGGAGTGTCGTTCTCTAACTTAAGAGCTCCTGATCCTGCTTATATCATAAGCTTATGAATAGGCTTGTCGCTGTGTCCCTGGCTGTACCTATAAGTGTGTCATGGTGATTTGACCTCCCGTTTGGTTTCTTTTCTTTCCCCTTGCAGGGTGAAAAAGGAGAACCTGGAGAACGGGTACGTAGTTGTGCAAAGAGGACCCACATCTTCAAAGCACTGTGATGCATTCTTCTTCTTCTTCTTCTTCTTCTTCTTCTTCTTCTTCTTCTTCTTCTTCTTCTTCTTCTTCAACTCATTCTAAGGCCCTTCATTGTGTTTTCTTACCCAGGATTGCTGCAACTGCCCTAGAGCAACAAAAGCTGACTCTGACTCCTGGACACCTTTTACCTACCAAGAGGTACACTGAAATATGTTTGCCAACACCCTGCCATTTAGGATTGGTGGTCTTAACACTGAGTGCATGGGGCAGTGTTTCCTCCAAGGATCAGTTAAGGGGAAACTTGTGCTTGGTATCTGCTACAAGCCTTTGTCTGTGGAGGAACAAAAAACAAAGGCGGAAGCCAATGTAGGGCGAAAGGTATTTTAGTGGGCTTTCAGTGCAAGTCTGAATTGTCATGAGCCAGGGGTCAGCAAACTTTTTCAGCAGGGGGCCGGTCCACTGTCCCTCAGACCTTGTGGGGGGGCCGGACTATATTGGGGGAGGGGCCCACAAATAACCCAGAGATGCATTTTAAATAAAAGGACACATTCCACTCATGTAAAAACATGCTGATTCCCGTACTGTCCAGGCCGGATTTAGAAGGTGATTAGGCTGCATTTGGCCCCCAGGCCTTAGTTTGCCTACCCATGTCATGGGCCATATTGGAGGAGGTGTTTCCCCAGGATCTCCTCTTAGGGTGCATACAGGTTGTAGAAAAAACACCCCAAAAATCAACCAACAATTCTGTCCCACTGCTTCTCCTCATACCCAAGAGTTCCATCATATTGATACATGCATGTTCCAAAGCAATGCCAATATTAATATTTAGGCATGGCTTAGTTAAAAAAAAAAAAATGTTGCCACCGTTCCTGGCCTATTTATTTATTTACTTACTATTTCACGTCACAAGATTTATATGCCGGTTGACTGTAACAAAGCCTCAAAGTAGTTTATAGAAAGAGCCAAAAAAGCAGTGTCAATAGACTCTCCCAGCTTGTACTAATGGTGGTTGTGTTCCAAAGTGTGACCTGCCATGGGTGTAAACATCCTGAATTTCAGCAGTCAATGGGGAAAGAGGCAGGGGTGTGTGTGGCTTATGTATTAAGTAAAAATGACATGGGTGGGCAAGATGTGCCCGTGAGCAATATCAGGATATTGAGTTGGCGTCTTTTTCTTCTCCTCCTCCTCCAGAATGGCAAAGGAGACCTTGAGATATATGGCTCGATTGCCAGCCGTGTAAGCCAGCCATTTCATCTTCTCCAACAAACCTTGGTTTGGTTTTGGTTGTGGTTTTTTTAAAAATTGTATCTTGCCTTCAGAATGTGCTGTCTTCCCAATCTTGGCCTTTTCCCTTAAAAAAAAAACCGGAACAGATAAAAAGAAGCAATTTTGCCTAAACTGAGAGTAGGGAACCTTTTTCAGTCTGAGGGCTGGCTTCCCTCGTGGCAGCCTTATGGGGTCCATGTGGTAGGTGTGGCCAGAGGCAAAAGTGGGTGGAGCAATGGATGCGACTCCTACCTTTGAACAGAAGGATACATTCCAGCCATGCAAAAGTCACAAGTTTCAGCACACATGCATACAAACCATCCCTCCATCCAAGCTAGCAGGCAGGGCTAGCCCAGGACGCTAGAGACAAAACACAAATTGCTGCCCCGTCCCCTCTGCTGCATGCTTGCATGCTGCTGTGCACCCACCATGCACCTGCCTGGCATGTGCCCGCTGTCACATGCATGCATGGGCATGCAGCTGCGAGTGTATGGGGGGGGGGGAGAGAGAAGATCATGAGCGGTGTGCTCATCAGAGGCTGGATCTGCTGCCCCTCCCAGCTGTCCAGAGCTTGCTGCCTTGAGGCTACTGCTTCATCTTGCCTCATGGGTAGGCTGGTCCTGCTAGCAAGAGACATAATCACAGTTCAAGGCACAGTCCAGCCAGGCAAAAGCACTTGAGAAGGGCTTGGTGATGGAGTGCAGGTAGAGCGCCCCGGAGGGCTCTGCATTCGACCCCTTGGCCCCAGTTTCCACCCACCATCCCAGACTAAATGAGCATTGTATGGAACCAAAGATCCCAGGCTGACTTCCTTAGAGCACTGGAGTCCACCCGAGTCTTGCACGAGAAACAGTTGTGCAAGCAGGCAAGCTATTTGCCAGCCCGTTCAGATGTAAAGGTGTGAAATGTTTGCAAAGTTCGGTTTCAGAATGCAGATAGCATCCAGTGTCTCTGTTCCCTTCTCTGCTTCTTCTAGGGTCCTCCAGGCCCCGCAGGAAATCCTGGCATGCCTGGGCCCCCAGGCCCTCCTGGACCACCGGGAGTTATTTACCTTAATGTAAGTGATCCTCCTCCCCCCCCAAAAAAAACCCCACCTCAATGTTAGGGGAGATGGAGCAGCCACATGGTATTTAGAGAGTGACTTGTGGAAAGTTAGGGATCTGTCTCTTCAGCTGTTTTTTAAACATCACATACATGGGATGGGGTTTTTCTTGCTTTGTGGGATTTTGTATCTAATACTGAAAGCTATCCCGCTTTCCTCTTTAACTTGTGTTCTTTCCTTCCCCCGCCTCCCATCTGTCTATTTCCAGAGGGTGATCCCTATCCCACCCAGGAGGCATTGCAAGCAACCGGTGAGTTGGCAGGGCCAAATGGCGGCTTTTTCGCTGCTCTCTAATACGTCTTACAAAGACAAGTAGCTTCAGGCACCGCCAAAAGCATTGTCCAGCAATCCAAGCCTCTGTTGCATGAGAGGACAGGCCAAAGGAATATTTCCTGTGCGGAACAAACAGAAATGTTTGGTTCTGGTGTAGCAGCAGCCTTGGCTGAAATATTAGTAGTATTAGTAGTAGTGGTATTTATTACATAATTGGCAAATACATTCATTAATTAATTGCTCTTTACAAAATAAAAAAAAGGTCTCAAAGCAACTTGCAATAATTTAAAATACAAAGTACAATAAGGTGAACCACAACCAAAATTTACAGAAATGGTTGGGTACAACAGACGGTGTGTAAGCAGGCAGTGCTGGTCTGCAGACAAAATTAATGCTGCTGACCCCTGAACTTGGTAGAAGCTCCCCACACATAAGACGCAGCCCTGTGGGTTAAGGGTCCCTTGCTCAGCAAGGAGGCTGATTTGAAAATCTTTTTATTCCATTTTTCACTGAGTCCCACCCCAAACTGAGCAAGGTGTTTTCTGCACACTCCATTCATCTGTATAACTTGGCTAATGTGGTGCTCATCTCTGTGCTCTTTGTTTTCTTCCAGTTGAGCCAGGACCCATCTCTGGATTCAGGTGCGAGCCGTTTTCTCTCTGGCTAATAATGTGCGACTTCTCTTGCGTATCTGCTCTACTGCGGTTTGATGTGGCTTGCATATCTATCCAGCATATGGCCAACCGACAGCCACTTTGGGAGGGCGCGAGGATATAGTCTGCAGAGGGTTTTTCTCTGACTCTGCAATCTGTTGTTCCACCGGTTCTTTGCTGAATGCAGCCTGTGGATGACACAATATTAGCCCAGGACTTGCATATACGCTTCTAGTAGACGTTTAGCCCTAGCCAGTCCCTTCTTCACCACCTTTACAAGGGAAGAGAAACTTGTGGTAATGTATGCAATGTGCCCTGTTTGGGTGTTTTCCCACAGTCTTCATTGCCACCACTGGCAGTATACTGGTCTTGGAATTTGAGCTGTGAGTGTGTTGCCAAGTCAGTAAGTAAGGAAGAATTGTTGTCTGCCAGCCATTCTAATTTAGAACCATTAATATGCAGCACTTCAGGATGTTGTTTACAGACTCTCCTCTTTGGGGGTGGGGAGCTTTTTCTTGTACAGTTGATGGAATATTTGCTTCCTGGGATGGATGGTGGCTGGTTAGTTCATTCTGTCCTTTTTTCTGCTGTGCAGATGATGGGCTGTCTTTGAAGGATTCTTCCAATGAAAACCAGTATGGGTTTAAGGTAGGTCACCATCATTCTTCTCCTTTCTGATACTCCCTCCAATAGTTAGTCCAGGGTAAAGAGCTGAACAAGTACAGGTAGAGGGAACCAGGCAAATGGCCTTCTCAGTGGTGGCGCCCGCCCTGTGGAACGCCCTCCCATCAGGTGTCAAGGAAATAAACAACTACCTGACTTTTAGAATACATCTGAAGGCAGCCCTGTTTAGGGAAGTTTTTTACGTTTGATGTTTTATTCTGTTTTTTTCTGTTGGGAGCCACCTGGAATGGCTGGGGAAACCCAGCCAGATGGGTGGGGTATAAATTGTTGTTGTTGTTGTTGTTGTTGTTGTTATTTTCCTCCACCACCAGCTCCTCTACACATGAGATTTAGAAATTCACTTCAAATAATCTGGATTTCTTCACACCCTCAAGGAAATCTCCTTCAGCTATCTCATTTCTCAGCTATCAGAGAAATGTTTTTCTCTGTCCTGAGACAACATGCTTCTTATCTGAAAGTCAGGGGTTGCAGGTGCTCAAACAATACACAGCTACTAAGTGTTAGGTTAGTAGCCCCTAGATTCTACAATAATAATCTAAGGATCACTGAAGCGGCTCGGGAGTACCCCTTTTGTTAAGGTGAGTAGCAAAAACCAAACAAATACATTTTGCTAGTATAAACCTAAAACTTCTGTAACTCATCAAAATGACAATAGTTGAACTAAAAATGTAAAGCATGGCATAAATCACCCACCTGATGAAGTCTAGCCCTGTGCCAAATTTCAAAATGATCCACTGAAAATCGCCAACGATACGGTAAGTTTAAAAGTGCTGAAAATTGACACATTGACCCCTTTTACTCCAATTTTTATACAATCTTGTCATATATTTGTTTCCAATTTGGGTGGGAAGCTATGGAGTACCGGTAATTCAAGCTCCTTGAAGACATGTTTTCATTGGTTTCATGACGTTCTGAGGAGCACTTCAAACATTATTATGGTTTTATTGCCCATTAAGGCCTATAATAGCCACTGTTGGCAAAATAATATGATGTGTGTGCCGTATAAATACTGAAGCAATATTCATGGACCATTCTTCAGTGTTTGCAGAGGGAGCCACCTAGCGAATAGGATGTGTAATGCCTGTTGTTTCAGTTGTGGGACCGACCAGGAGACACCAGCCGCTGGGCTGTGATCACATTTGGAAGCCTGATAAGTTACTGCACAGATCCCCCAAGAACATGATGTGCACATTCTCACAACCACACACATCCTAAAACACACACACATTGCTACCCCACACATCCCAGCACATACACAGAAACACGCACACCACAGACACCCCACCCAGGCATAAACAGTTTACTCACTGAAGGATCCCTATAGCAATATGGCAAGGCTCAGGTGTTTTATAAGTCATTACAGGGCCAAAACAATGTGGAGCATCTTTGCAGGTCCAGGCACTTCATTGAGGCCTGAGAGACCAAAGAAAAACGTGGGGGCACGGATGGCAAATTTTAAGCAAGCCCAGCTTGTGATGTGGCACAACTGTTGTCGCAGCATGTTTCTCAAAGCATCGGCCTTAGCTTCCTGTTTGCTGGCTTTGTGGAGCTTGAGAGGCAGCATGAGATAGCCTAAACTCTGGTCAGCCTTAACCGAAAGGTCTCTTGATCGCTGAATTGCAAAGCCTTCCACCAGTTGAGGGTAAGTGTGCTTTTAATAAAGGCACCTGCTCTTCCTTTACTTTCCAGCACTCCACGTGGATCTTCAAGTCAAAAGAGCTGATGTTCAAATCGGCCTCCTCCATTCCTGAAGGCAGCTTGGTCTACGTCAGTGAAGGGAATGAAGCTTTCTTCCGAACCCCCAAGGGATGGAGCAGGCTTCTGGTAGGAAAACACTGGTGTGCATGACTCTGTAGATGTGCAGCACTCAGACTCTCTCAGTATCTGATACACAAGCATCTGGTTGGCCACTATATGAAACAGGAGAATGGGCAGCCAATTACCAGGGATGATGTTGTAGTGGGTTTATTGCATCAACAGGAGGTAGGACTGCTCTACGATTCCCTGGACTGTTTAGACCCTTTGCCCTGATCCAAGAGGGCTGCTCAGATGCTCTCTTTATTTTTAAAAATCAGGATGAGATTAAGTTATGCTTTTGTGGCTCGCTTGCTTGAGCTACCTGGGCAATGCTTGCCCTGATGGCATTTAAAAAAAAACTTTTCGCACATGAGAACAAATGCTCGTTTTTTTACACGTTTCGGTCCAGCCTTATCCCTGTTATGTTTCTATTGTCTCTTGATCAGCTGGAGGATTCAGAGTCTTTACTGGTTGGAGATGACCCTTTGGTGTCTACAGACAGAAATCAGGTGTGGACTTCTTCCAATTTGTAATGCTTTGCCATTGCCTGTTCAGCAGGTCTCCTGGGTTTTGCTCTGGCATAAGTTAAAGGGCTGAAAGTGGGGGGAGCAAAGAAACTGAAAGCCCATAAAATATTATACCCATTTGGGTGGCGCACTTGCAGAAGAGCATAGTTAACTGTTGAATAAAGTAATGATGAAATTAAGTGATATAAACCCCTTTGAGTAACAAATTTCATCTATTTGTAAAGCACCTCGTCTACACACCAACAACTCCTTACTCCAGCCTCAGCAGGCCTATTTAATTCTTCTCAACAACTTCCCCACCACAGCTACTGACAGGCAGAAAACTGTTACTGGGAATAGGCTGCATGCACTGCTGCTGCTAGCACCTTCATCACCTTCCTAGTTCTCTTGCACTCTGTGCATAGCTAGTATGGTGTCTGGGGGTGGCAATATTTGCTGCAGTTTATGTGCGCATGCATTCTAAGGGCTCGTTGACACAGCATTTGATTTTAAGCTGAGTCACATTAAAAATGGTTTTGTTTCACCATGTATCCTGTCTTCCTAGGTCCAAAACGACAAGAGCCAAGCAACCGTCCAGACTGTACCACCTAGCATCCCCCAGAGGATCCCTTCAGTAAGTTCAACAGAAGAGGAGTGTAAGGCAGTCAAGCTGCTGGCACAACAGCTTGCCTTTTCTCCTTCTTTTTGAGTGTTGTCTCAGGCAAAGAATTTAGAAGCAGTGGGTGGGGAGGGACACAGGTGGCGCTGTGGTCTAAACCACTGAGCCTCTTGGGCTTGCTGATCAGAAGGTCAACGGTTCAAATCCCCACTATGGGGTGAGCTTCCGTTGCTCTGTCCCAGCTCCTGCCAACCTAGGAGTTTGAAGGCATACCAGTGCAAGTACATTGGGACCTTGGTTCTCAAGCTTAATCTGTTCCAGAAGTCCGTTTGACTCCCGAAACCATTCGAAAACCAAGGCGCGGCTTCTCATTAGCTGCAGGAGCTTCCTGCACTCAATTAGAAGCCGCGTCGGATGTTCGGCTTCCAAAAAACGTTCGCAAACCAGAACACTCACTTCCAGGTTTGCGGCATTCGGGAGCTGATTTGTTTGGGGGCCAAGCTGTTCAACAACAAGGTACCACTGTAGATGTATAGGTACTGCTGCGGCGGGAAGGTAAACGGCATTTCCGTGCACTCTGGTTTCCTAGTTTCCTTCATGGTGTTCTGTTGCGCCAGAAGCAGTTTAGTCATGCTGGCCACATGACACGGAAAGCTGTCTGTGGACCAACGCCTACTCCCTCGGCCTGAAAAGTGAGATGAGCGCCACAACCCCATAGTTGCCTTTGACTGGACGTAACCATCCAGGGGTCCTTTACCTTTACCATTCTTTATAGACCTTGCTGTACCAATCTCTTCTTTCTGGTGGCTCCCTTGAAGATATGGTACAAAACCTGGCAAGGCCATAACAAGAACCTGACTGGTTGATTGACACCACTCCTCTGGTTGATCTACTCCACCCTGTTGTCCTCCTTAGGTGTCAGGTGTTTAACCAAAATCCCTCAATTTTTCTAGCTCCGCCTAGTGGCCCTCAACATCCCCCTGACTGGTAGCATGAATGGGATTGGTGGCGTTGACCTGCGGTGCTATCGGCAGTCACAGGAGGCGAAGCTGCGTGGAACTTTCCGGGCCTTCCTGTCATCATCCACTCAAAGCCTAGTCTCCATCGTGAAGAGAACTGACAGGAACCTGCCTATTGTCAACCTTAAGGCTAGTAGCAACATCCTGTTGAATTCTTGATTTGATGCAGACATCTTTTCTGAGGAGAGCACTGGTACCAGGTGAAAAAGGCATGTGGTGCTTGCCTAGCAACTGCCCAACTACTTCTTATGGATAAGTGATGACCCTAGCAGGCACTCCTATGTTTTTGGGAAGGGCAGGATTCTTGTGCCTTCCGCTGCTGTGGCTGAGGCACTTGGGTTGTAGAATAATGTTGTGGGGCCTACAGCCTCTGTTGACTGTTTTCTAGCTTGAAAAGCATTGTTTCTGTTGCAGGGCCAGCTGCTGGCAAAGAGTTGGAATTCCCTCTTCAGTAGTGCTGCTCGTTTCAATTCCCCAAAGTCCCCCATCTACACATTCAATGGGCGCAATGTCATGACAGATCCTATGTGGTGAGTAACATGTGGGGAAAGAAAGCATCTGTAGGGATATGTGACCATATGGGAGGTACAAGCAGGGCATCCCAAACTATATTCACCAGTTCCCCCATAAGTGGGACTGTACCTAATTGAGGAATATCTAGGTGAGGAAAATATTCAGGAGGCCCAGAAGGGGCAAATTAATGGGTAATGAGGTCCAGCATATTAGATTTCTGGGGAAGGTTTTTGAAGCACACAGGTGAGGAGTTCAGAACCTACATCTTGCCTATTGCATACCTCCCCTGCTCCACAGCTTGTCTCTCCATGTGCTTTTCTTCTCCACTTACCACGAGTAATGGAAGGAACCATGACCATGGACTCAGCTATACAGCTGCAAATAAAACGTTTTAAGTGTGCTGTAAAGTACAGTACACAAATGTGACACTAGATGGCGACCATGAGCTATGGCACATTCAATATATTTTTCAAAACTTTTTTTAAAAAAAGCATTTTCACAGCGTTTTTTTAATATGTGTGTAGATTCCACCTATCTATGAAAAACACCTGGGCAGAGGAGCTGCTGGGAGGTGTAAATGGAATCTGCAGGAAACACTGGGCTGTGCTTCCCTTTTGCTGTTAAATTCTGATCCAACCTCTTTCTATGCTATTGGGATGATAGTTCCACATTTAAACACATGCAGCCACAGCCATTGTGTCTAGTTTGGCCCTTGGGAATAATGGATTGAGACAAGATAGGATGGGTGCTTTTTTGTGCCATGCAGTTGACTTCAGCTATCCACTTTTGTATGTCCCTGCTGTTTGTATGTTCAGGAGACAAAAGGCAGTCTGGCATGGTGTCAAACAACTGGGAGGCCAGGCCGAAAATCAAGACTGTCAGGAGTGGCGAACAGCCTCCAGCCAGTCCAAAGGCCTTGCCTCACCTCCAGCCGGAGGCAAGTTCCTCACAGTGGACACACATAGCTGCTCAGACTTCCTGATTGTTCTGTGCGTGGAAAATGCCTTCTGAGATGAGTGCAGCTTCAGATCAGCAAGGAACAGCAGAAGGAGCCAGTTGCTACAAAGGCTGGATCAGGATGAATGAAGTAAGCCTTTGACCCTTAAGACACATGAGGTGGAAAATGCAGGTACCCATCCTTCCACCCCAGCTGGGAAAGAATGTTTGAGAGGAAAGAAAACCATGCATCGCCTGCACCTCAGCAAGCTGTCATGTGTGCTGATGTGTAGAATCAGCAGCTCACACAGGCAGGTGCAAAAGGGGCTTCTGCTTTGTTACAATGTGTGTACCTGGACTTACATGTGCACCACCAGCACTCATGTACGGTATGCTCATATACACACTGCTGAGAGGTTTAGGAACTTTTGCTGGAGATATGACGTGTGCTTGTTATGGATGTGTGTTAACCCTTATGCCCACAAGAAGCTCTCACATGAAGAAACAAAGAAAGCTTGGTTTATTATACAAGGTGTGACCGGAATATTCGGTGAATGGTCACAGAAATTGGACAGCGAGAAATATTCAAACATACATACAGTGGTGCCTCGCAAGACGAAATTAATCCGTTCCGCGAGTCTCTTCGTCTTGCAGTTTTTTCGTCTTGCGAAGCACGGCTATTAGCGGCTTAGCGGCTATTAGCGGCTTAGCGGCTATTAACGGCTTAGTGGCTTTAAGAAAAAGGAAACAAACTCGCAAGAACTCGCAAGACGTTTCGTCTTGCGAAGCAAGCCCATAGGGAAATTCGTCTTGCAGAACGACTCAAAAAACGGAAAACTCTTTCGTCTAGCGAGTTTTTTGTCTTGCGGGGCACCACTGTACCTTACAGGCCTTCAAAGTAGGCCCCCTCTGATACAATGCACCATTGACAACATTAGTACAGTAGAACTGTTGGAAACGTCTGGAGAAGTCCTCTTTTCGTACTGCTTTCAGTTCCCTTGCAGCTTGGAAGTGTGAAATGTTGAAAAATCTGTGCCCTTTCAGTGCAAATTTCAGTTTTGGAAAAAGAAAGAAATCTGGTGGGACAAGATTAGGAGAATATGGAGGATGGGGCAACTCAGTAACCTCAGTAACAATTTCACATGGAATATGAAATTCTTCCGCCATCATTCGGACAGACAAACGCCAATCCCACATCAATAACTCATGAACTTTGTCGAAATTTGCCGCCGTTCTGCTCGTTGACAATCTGCCAGACTGAGGGTCATTTTCAATGGTTTGCCGCCCTTCACGGAAACACTTAAACCACTCATACACTGTCTTTCGAGTTACAGCTTCATCTCTGTACACAATTGTGAGCATTTTGTGGGTTTCTGATGCTGATTTACCCAATTTGAAACAGAATTTCATATTGACTCTCTGCTCCATTTTCAATCACAATGCACTGCACTATTAACAGCTACTAAATGCTACGGCATGAACGTAGGCCTGTTAACAAATGCCGAGACACATGCACATATGTTAGCTGAAATACGGATGAATGCCTCCCACATGTCTCCGCGAATCCAGCAGTTCCCATTATTGCATACAGGGGTGATTCACCCTACTTTCTGGTCACACCTTATATAAAACAGGTGCAACAGAATATATAAAAATGCTGCTTTAGACAGCAAAGTTACAGTCTAAGCAGGTAGAAAATTATGCTACATACACACTTTGATTAGAGATTCCCTAACTATTCCAAAGGCCTACCAGAAGCATGGGCAGGACAATTTTGCCATAATCCCACACTAGAAGGAGGGTGGGGGTGGGGAAGGAAAGCATACCTGTCCTTAAAGCAAAGCAGACATGTTCTCTGGGTTAAGTGCTGTCCTGTTGGAGCTGTGAGAGCTAACAAACCTTTGAATCTAGGTTTTTAAAATACCTTTATGCCATGATGTATGGAGATAAACCACATCATAAATTCAGATTCCCACACCCCTCTTTACAGCTTCGGCACATAGGTAAATCTCTCAGAAGATATGTGTGTGTGCGTGCATTTGTGTGCACGCACTCACAGAGATACATGTGCGTGCACATAGATTCACAACCTGTTCTCTGTTTAGCAAAAAAGGTGGCAGAAGGGATGTATTGTGCACAAGAATTTTTATGGAATGTTGCGGCTTTTTCCCCACAGTGTTCCTGCATGGGTAAACATAGATCTCACAAAGAAAAGGCAGCATCTAGGTTGCAGGCACATTTACATTTTTGGAACTATTGAATTCTACAGCTGGGAGGTGTTAACATCTGTGGGACAGCTCCTGCACACTCCTGCACTAGCAAAATGACCTGCAACCAAAGCATTCCTGGCAGGTCAAGCATCCTCTTGAAAACAGACCAAAGAACTGCAACAGCGACCTTTCTAGGCAGCTTGATCTGTTTCTATACTGTGTTTATAAGGCTGATACTACACTGTTACATATCGCAAATACTAGTAAGGAAAACCCATACAGTAGGGTTGTCATACGTCTGGGAAAACCTGGACATGCCAATCCAGGCGGATTTTTACATTTTAAAGGAAATGTCTGAGTTGGGGGGGGGCACTCAGGCTCAGGCAGATTGGACTCGGGCTGCTCTGCACACCGCAGCTGCTGCCAGCCCGAGTCGGGGAAAGAGGCACACGGGGAGCAGCAGAGGCCTCGTGCACCCATGTGTCTCTTTCCCTGGCTCAGGCTGGCAGCGGCTTGGGCTGCCCTCTTTTTTGCTCTTCAATATATGGCAACCCTATCATACAGTCACCTTCACACATGACATTAGAAGTTCTTGCACTTCTTGATCTGAAATGTTGGGAGAGTGTTCTTTTAACTTCAAAATGCCGCCCCCCATGGGAGAAAGTTTGGTTGCTTGTTTCTTTTTAAAAACTGATTCCAGTTTAATAAAGATGCTATTTTGAATAACCTTCTCCAGCTTTCCCTAAACCTAACCAAATTGGTTGATTTGAGCATATGGAACATCAGTTATGACAATGATAAAGAAATGAATGAGAAGCTCTTTATAATCTACTGGGATCAGATAGCCCAGCTAAACCCAAAATACTCCCAAGAGTGACAAGAGGATCAATATATGTAGAAAATTTCCTAATTGCTACGAGGTTCTCATTCTAGCAATGTGGAATTCATTTGTCCTGGACTCTGAACACCACCGGTGGAATCTGGAATCATTCCATTACATCTATTAAACTTAACTGGTGGAAGGTGCCATTCGTGTAACACTTTAATCCCCCCTTTGATTAGTTGCAATGCAGTTACTTATTTTATTATGAAAAACAGATCCTCATTGTCCTATAATTTCCTCCCTACAATCCTATTTCCTCTCACCTTCAACTTTTGAATCTATTCCTTGTTTCCTCACTCCTGTTTTAAGTCATTTTACTGACTGTACATTTGTTTACAATATATCAAAAGAAATTAATTTATGTTAGCACAATATATTTTTCAACAAGTTTTTTTTTAAAGGATAGCTTAGTTGGTTAGAGGGGTTTTTAATCCCATCCATCTTTTGACATGTTTCTTCACACTGTAATAAGGCTCCATGATGGAGAAGGTCCGATGTGAAATAAAAATTGTTTGTCATTCTCTTTTGCTTCTGTGTCATGTCTTTTCAACTGTCAGCATCCAACTACTTGTGGACTTTTATAGCACACAATAAACAAAGCTAATCAGCACAACACAACCATAAAACAGCATAAAAATACTGTTCAATGGAGTCTCACAGATGGGTCTCTCCTGGGAATTTGTGGTAGCCCAGAGATTATTGTGGGGTGTGCATACCTCCAGTTTCTTATTCTTTATTTTCTATCTATTTTAGAAATTATTGGCATGAAGTAGCCATGCTTGGCAATGGGCTTGTCCACACTTTCCTTGGGAAAACCCACTCTTTACTGCTGAATCAGAGCACACATCAGTTGGGCTTTTCATACATTGATGTATCCTCTGATTCAGCGATAAAGAGTGAGTTTTCCCAGGGGAAGTGGTGGGGCAAACAGAAAACCACTTGGTCTCGTGCTTTCTAGGCGTGAGACAAGCAAAGTGTGGACAAGTCCAGTGTCTTACACCAAAAGGAAGGAAACATTGGGCAAGACACAAATCTCCTAGAGCAGTGGTCTTGAACTGGTGGGTCAGGAGGACCCAATATTAGGTTATGGCATGATCTAAGGTGGGTCACAACAGCAGTGTTACCATCATGCAAATATATGGCCCAAAAAAGCCGTAAGAAATGGGTCCCCAAATGCATGTTTGGCTTGAAGGGGGGTCCTGAATTCGAACAGGTTGAAGGCAACTTAGAGCACGCTTTCCTGATGCATGTGCATTTGTGATGACCCAAAGCTTAGCATACCCGGAGTTACTCATTTTTTGGTCACCACACATTAATGAGCGTTTCCAAAATGAAAACTACAGTGGTTTTGAACGGAGAGGATTCCTTCGTTGAAGTCAACAGGGCAGCTTCCCAGTCACCAAAACGAATCATACAAAGCAAATTTTGGGGTGCACCTTTAGTTTCCTACCAAGTTCAACAATGAGGCTGCTTCAAACTTTACTGGTGAATAAGGAGCTGGAAAAAACAGCAACTGACTTCAGAACGGCATGAAAACGTCCATCATGACATAAGCCATGATGATGGTGGGAATGATTTGCCTTAAGTTTATATGTATAGTGTTCAGGAAGTTAGGCCAAAAGGCAATAACAGGGGCCAGGGCCGACCCACCCATGAGGCAAGGTGAGGCGACTGCCTCAGGCAGCAGGATCCACAGGAGCACCAGAGCCAGCCTCCAAGAAATGCATCACCCACTGCTGCTGTGGCGCACACATTGAAGGCCAGATTTGCTCCCCCTCCATGCCGCCTCCACAGTTCTCTTTTGGTCAATAGGAGGCACTGTTCGCCTCCTCCCTCCGTTTTCCGCCTTCCCCCCTTCTTCCTTTGAGGTGGGGGGGAGGGCGGTGGGCGCCATTTTGTGGTTCGCCTCAGGGAACTGTGGCCCAAGTCAGGTTCCATGTCCACTACGCCACACTGACTTTAAATGCATGAGGGAGAAAAGGGGGGGGGAATCGTTGCACTGTTACATGCTGAGTGCCAGCAAACATCTAACAAACGATTATCGAAGAAGAACGATAACATTTAACAAGCGCCTACAAAACAAAACGTGCAATTCAATCCATCGCGCTGGCGTCGGGTTCATTGGCCCAGCACCACGCCCATCAACGCCATTCCTCACGTCTATTGGTGGAACTGAGCGGTGCGCCCGCCCTCGCTTTTAAACCTGGGAGATAACAGTTTGTGCTTTTGAAGAGCGGTGTGCTGTTTTTCGGCTTCTTTTTTTTGTTCATTTGTTCGAACGCTCAGACTTTCGTTCTGATTGGCTGCGCGAACTCTCCTTCCCCGCCTACTTAACCCGTATTTGCCTGTGCCGAACGGCGATTGGCCCGGCAGCTAAAGCAGGCCGGCGGGGATTGGTCGCGGCCGTTTGAGCGGGCTGAGGCGACGCTTTTCGAAAGCGCTCTCTCTCTCTCTCCGTGAAGCGTTTCCTGCCCCCTTTGTCCGGCCTCATTCGCAGCCGCTTGGCTGAGGGAAGGTAGTTGGCTTTGTTCACAGCGCTCGGTGACTGCAAGTCTGAGGCACTAGGCCGCTGCTCCCCTCTCAACGGCCGCTTCCCACCCCCACAATCCCCGCTAGCTCTCTTGTTTCCTCTACACCCCTCGCTCCGACCGGGTCCACCATGGACTTAGAAGACTCCTTTTCCCCGCTCAAGGTGAGTCTCCCCCCCAAAAAAAACCCCCCACACCTTTATTTCACACACCCGCCTTCTTACCGTCTTCCCAGCCCCACGTAACTCAATATCGACTGAGGGGTTTTCATTCAGGACAGCGCCATTGAAATTAAACGGGCCTTAATTAGTGGCGGCCTTTAACCTCTGCCCTCGAGCGTTGGACCCTTCTAATTCATTCTTAATCCCAGCCATCTTACTACTTCTCTATCTTAAAAAAAAAAACCCACCGTCTGCATAGATGCCTCCAATTCCCTTGTTTCCTGTTTTTTTAAAAAAATTGTTTATTTTAGCTTAATATGTGTTACAACAATCCCATCATGACCCGCGGTTCCTTCTTATCTCTCAAAAAAAAAACCCCTCAAAAAAAATACGTACTGGTTTGGAGGTCTATTCTACAGAGACATTAAGATGGGGACAGGCTTCTCATGGGAGGGGGTGCAGAACCTCAATTCATTGAGGTTCATGGAGCTTTTCAATAATTTTTGTGGATCTAGGAGGGCAAATCCCTACCCAAATTCACAACAACGTTTGATTGTGGTTGTTTTTGTAGCTTCAGTATATTGCTGATGCTGGACGTAATAGGTTTTCTTTCTAGACAGAAAATATAAACTCGTTTGAATGTGGGGATTAGCATCCCAAAACGTAAGACTGTTAATGGCTCTGCTGGATTACATCAGAGATCCATCTATTCTAGCTTCATCTTTTTAAGAGTGGCCAGCCAAATGTCACAGGCGTGACATGGCGACAACTTCTTTGTCTAAACAGTCTGACGTTCAGAGATAGATGACTTGAATCTCAGGCTTTTGTCTGTAAAAGGCGAGCACAATCTTTTATCCCCTTTCTCATCTCAGTTTCAGGTGTATGGGATGTTAGGAGAGGGCTTGCACCTTTGGTGGGCTGGCTAAACTAGGTGAGGGGGACTTCCCCTGCATGTAGACAGGCTCAGGAGGAAGGTGGTTTCTGCATGTGCTGTAGAAGGAAGTGAGGGGTAGATGGGGCTTCTCAGCGTGGGAATGAAGCCCCTCTAGGAGACGGAAAACTGATCCTAAACCTCTGCTGCCTTGCGGGATATTTTGGGGAGACAAAAAGGCTAAGGAGTAAACCCTGCACAAGTCCCCAAGGAATCTGGATGGTGCCTTGTCTGCCTCCTTCCAGCAACTCCTGCAGCCAAACAGGTGTTTTCCTTTGGACCACATCAGCAAGACCAAGAGGAGTCTAGTCATATTTTTATGTGGAAATTGTTCAGTTTGGTTATGTAGTTTTTAATGTGTTTTATTTATTTTTATGACTACTTTGCTTTATTTGAAATTATGTAAATCTTTTCATATCGTAAGCTGCCTCGAGCATTGTTTTAACTGTGGAAAGGCAGCATACAAATAAAATGGTGATGGTGATCTGGGCAGCCCAGGACCTCCATAAACACTGACCAGATTTGCTCCCTACGGAGGTCACTTCAGTGCTTCTAACTCAGCAGCTTGACTTCACCCCCCAAATGTGCAGTCCATTGTCTCTTCAGACAGATGCCTACAGTATCTGATGTATTCCTTCTTTCAAAACTAGCTTGGTGGTAAATTCATGTCTTGTGTGTTTTTATTTCCATCCTAGCGTTGTTGTTACAGAAACCCACAAAGTTAGCTCATTTATGCAGTGACTTACGATGTTTTCATTTTGCTTCCATTCAGCCAGTAGATGCAAACCCTAAAGTGGGTAAGATCACGGATGGAGATTCAAAAAAGAGGCTATCTGTTGAAAGAATATACCAGAAGAAAAGCCAGCTGGAGCATATATTGCTTCGGCCTGATACCTACATTGGCTCTGTGGAACAAGTGACTCAGGTAAAAAGCTTTTTGTTTGGGGAGTTAAGGTAGGGATTGAATGAGAGGAAGCTTTTCTGATTCCTTTGTTTTGCTAATTGCAAATAAAGTTCTAGTATCACAAAGCAGAGCTTAGACTGTTCTAATTTGGGAAGTTGAGAGGGTGATTTTTCCACAACTGTATTCCAAGGTCATGGCATCTTAGGACACTTCCAGTCAGGCCACATGGCTTATGGGAATCACTGGACAATGCTGACCTTGTGCTCACTGAATGAGCAGAGTAAAAGTGTCTGCTTTTTACTGAATATCTTCTTATTTTTAATTAACTTTTCAGCAAATGTGGGTGTTTGATGAAGATGTTGGACTGAACTGCAGGGATGTTACCTTCGTACCTGGCCTTTATAAAATATTTGACGAAATCCTAGGTATGGTGAGAGCAACATCTTTTAGTCCCAGTGGATTGAATTACAGAGGAATTGCAATTGATGTTAAATTGACTTGGGGAATTTTCTGGCTTATCCACAAGCTCAGTACTTCAGCAAGTTGCTACCATAGCCATAAAATGGGAATTGCAGTACTGTAGTGAATGGCACAACGATAAATGCAGTTAACTGTGATTACTGGGACTGGTTCTTAATGCCAAGCTAAGAAATATCATTAAGTACTTCATTTTTTACTAATAAGCTTTGTTTGTGTTTTCATTTTTTTTCCAGTCAATGCTGCTGATAACAAGCAGAGAGATAAGAACATGTCATGTATCAAAGTTATGATTGACCCGTAAGTCCTATTCAAAACCTTTGTAGTAAACTATTTTAAGAATTGCAGGCTTAGATTGCCCCCTGTTGTCTGTTGCTCATTTTTGCAGAATTTGTATATAAATATGACTTTCATGTCAGTTATTTATGATGGGCTTAGTTTTGAATTCTGTATTTGTAAACAAACCCAATGGTGGGTTTGCAGCTGAAAATCATAAGGTGAATAAGAATCTTGTCTTTAGAGATGAGAAATTTCTGGAGCAGTGGACAGGCGGTCATTGCTTACTAACGCTTGTGTAGAATAGGGAGCTAATTCCATTAACGGAGGTTTTTTGTGTTCCTGATTCATAAAGAGTTTGGTTTCTTTTTCTAGAGAGAATAACACAATCTCTGTGTGGAACAACGGAAAAGGGATTCCTGTTGTAGAGCACAAAGTAGAGAAAGTCTATGTGCCGGCTCTTATTTTTGGACAGCTTTTGACCTCCAGCAATTACGATGATGATGAGAAGAAAGTCACAGGTAGAGGAAAACCTTAATAGAAAATATTAACCAGCTGGGAAATTATGTCTTAAGGGACTAGCCCTTTTGAAAAACATGTCTCTTCACTACAGCTTTGTCTCTTTCATTATGTGCAGAAGAGTGGTTGAAGGGTAAAGAAGAGTTGATTTAATATGCATTATTTAAAAATATGTAACCCATGTTTTATAGTTCCCCTGTTTCCTGAAATCAGTATACTGGACAAGTTATGCTAACTTCCTACTGTTGAGCTAAAGGCAAGAGTTGAGGTATAGATGAGGGAACTGAAGTTTCAAAGTGCCTCATGGTACCAACCCTTAGCGGCATAGAACAATACTGATATTACAGGGAAGGATATAGAAATGGGCCACATATGTGGGCTTTCTTGTTGGAAGATGGGAACACTCCATTTAAGGTTTGAATGCTGAGTTTTAATCCCACTTGAAACAACAAGCAAATCTTCAAGATTGCAGCCTTGTGTATACCTGCTTGGGAGTAAGCGTCTAGTGCCCTCATTGGGACTTATTTCTGAGTAAACATGCCTAGCATTGGGCTGTATACCTCCTAAACTCTGCAAAGCTTCATGGTGTGTAAGTAACTTGATTTGTTTTATACATTGTTTTAGGTGGCCGAAATGGTTATGGAGCAAAACTCTGCAACATCTTCAGTACCAAATTTACTGTGGAAACTGCATGCAGAGAATATAAGAAGCACTTTAAGCAGGTACATGGAACCTTGTAATGATAGGTATTGTGCGCTTTTAAGATCCTGGGCCCAAATGTTATTTGGGTACATACATGGACACATGCGCAAGTGTACATTGAACCAACTTCTAAATTTACTCCACATACAGTGGTACCTTGGGTTACATACACTTCAGGTTACAGACTCCTCTAACCCAGAAATAGTACCTCGGGTTAAGAACTTTGCTTCAGGATGAGAACAGAAATCGGGCTCCGGCGGTGCAGCAGCAGGAGGCCCCATTAGCTAAAGTGGTGCTTCAGGTTAAGAACGGACCTCCGGAACGAATTAAGTCCTTAACCCGAGGTACCACTGTATTGTAAAGGTTCAGGCATCAGCTGGTCAGCATTTTTAACTGTTGTGCTTGTACATCTTCAGTACCTATCTGAAAATTGCAAAAGTGACTAAGCTAAAAGTAGAGCCCACAAAAAAATATATGCTGTTCTTTGATTAGGAACTATCAGCTGTAGCTAAAGAAATTCATCTAGTTGTTTCTGTACATAAAATTGTAAACTGTTTTCTTCCCCAGACTTGGACTAATAATATGTCTACGGCTGGAGAGATGAAATTGAAGCACTTTAATGGTGAGGACTTCACATGCATCACCTTCCAGCCCGATCTGTCAAAATTTAAAATGACCACACTGGACAAAGATATTGTGGCTCTAATGTCTCGGAGAGCTTATGATATTGCAGGATCAAGTAAAGGTGTCAAAGTTTTCTTGAATGGAAAGAATCTACTCGTGAGTGAATAACTTTCACTGTTTTTCTTCCCCTTTTTGGCAATGAGGTGTTGGATTGGGATTTGGGGAAACCAGTCTTAAAATGTTTTGGAGTTAATTGGATGGCTATACCCATCTTTACCTAACACGTTAACAAATGAGGTAAAAGCTTTCTGCAAACATTGCAACATACCTATCTCATTTACAGATCAACGGATTCCGCAGTTATGTAGATCTGTATATAAAGGACAAGGTGGATGAAACTGGCAATCTACTGAAAGTAGTCTATGAAGAAGTGAATGATAGGTGGGAGGTCTGTGTAACAATGAGTGAAAAGGGCTTCCAGCAAGTCAGCTTCGTCAATAGCATTGCTACAACAAAGGTAACCAGCTACAGCTCTGTACAGTAGTCTGAATATGTTTAATCTGTCTTGTTTATGGCGAAACAGTTACAGTATTGCTAAATTATAGGAAAACAAATCATCCGTTTAAGGGGGGAGAGAATCTAATATGGTGGCTATTGGATTTGGAAATGAGACCTTAAACCTAACAAGTCTCCTTGATTTATTATAGAAGCATTGTAAATGTTTTTACTGTATTACATAATACAGTAAATACATAATATTATTGGGGCCATCAGCTTACAGGCCAGATCCATTCTTGAAGCTAGTTTGGAGCTTTTATTCCTCAGCCAATCTACCTCTATCTAATTAAATACTAGATATAGCAGGGGTGGAGAACCTGTGGACCAGATCCTGAGCTTCCCCCTTAGGCCATTTTGACAAGTTAACGAGGCTGTCCGCTTGTCAGTCACGTGACTGTTGCATGGCCATGAAGTCAGATGAGTGACCTTCAAAGGAAAGGATTTGGAGTATGTTCCAATCATTTCCTTTTTTTGCAGTTCAGCTTGAACTCAAGTCAGGCTGATCAACAGGAATTGGCTCCATCCAGGAGCTCTAATTTCAAAGGTGCTGAATACAAATCCTGCTTGCCAAGGCACACACTCTAAGACTCCCAAACTCATGATATGTTGTGGTAGGCTCTCCTTGAAACTTTTATTAATTCTTGGATTTTCTTTTCGTTCTAGGGTGGTAGACACGTAGACTATGTTGCTGACCAGCTTATCACCAAACTCATTGATATGGTAAAGAAAAAGAACAAACTTGGAGTGTCAGTGAAGCCTTTCCAGGTATAAATCTCAGATTTCCCTGTTTAAGTTTAGGCTTCTTAGACCTCATTTCGAAAGTTTGCCTCTTTGCTGTCTTACAGCACCCTACAATTCTAGTTGCAGATTAGACAATAGTTTTAACAGAAAAATTCCTTAAATAAAAGCATGACTAGATGCTAAGGTAAATGGGCCTCTTGTACCTTTAATTGTTATATAGAAAATGGAATATTGTTATATAAAACTTGTCTGATACAGCTTTTGTTACCTGTGCCTGAGAAGCTCAACTTGGTAAAAATGCTGCTTCCTACATGCTAGTTATTTCTGTCATGTTCTCCCATCTTGTTTGAAGGCATCTTGCTTCACACACCCCTCCCCACCATCACTTTTTAAATAAACTTGATTATCCTTCTTTTGGAAAACAATTTCCATAACCTGGGAATAGATTCTACTAAATGCCAAGTTAAATCTCAGATTTCCCTGTTTAAGTTGGCTTAATTAACAACATGGGTACATATCACATTTGCAGCTGGGGAAGTTTGAGAGATGAGGTTGTCCAATAAACTAAACTTTAGTAGTTTATAACACCTCCCTTTAATTCTAGGTGAAGAATCACATGTGGGTCTTTGTAAACTGCTTGATTGAAAATCCAACTTTTGACTCCCAAACAAAGGAGAACATGACCCTTCAAGCAAAGAGTTTTGGCTCAACATGCAAGTTGAGCGAAAAGTTTATCAAGGGGGTAAGTGCTGTAGGGTGCATTGTGTTGTCATGTTTAATTGTTTTGGAGTTGTCTTGAGCTGGAATTGGGTGCAAAACAAACTGAGAAGCAAAAAAGACTTCAGCCTTATGTTCTGTATCATATTTGCTTCTACAGACAGCTTTTTCTTTCTTTCTAGGTAAGCAGTTGTGGCATAGTGGATAACATTTTGAACTGGGTCAGATTTAAAGCCCAGGCTCAGCTGAACAAGAAATGTTCTTCTGTAAAATACAGCAGAATTAAAGGGATACCTAAACTAGATGATGCCAATGATGCTGGTATGTATCGCAGTATGGTTACAAACATAAAAGCCTTTTGATACTTTTTAGAAGTTAAATACCCTTCTGTACAGGAACCCAGATTCCTGACCAGTGGTAGCAACTGGCCTGATTGATGATTAAGGACTTAGAGAGAGAAAGGACTAACAGTTTTGCTTACACATAAGCTGCAGTTTGGAAAAGAGCTAAATCCTTTCTTCTGTGCATATAGAGCTTTCTTTCATCATGGGTAAAGCTGCTGTCTGTTGTCTTGCCCAATACTCTATGCTTTTGCTAATTGTGCCTGACTGAAACATGAGACAGATCTACTCTTGCAATCAGAAACTTGACAGCCAGTCCTGATTAAACATGATGAGCATGTAGGTAAATGGAGTTGTCTGGATTAAGGTGCTCAATTCTCATTCCAGGGAGCAAGAATTCTACCAGCTGTACCCTTATTCTGACAGAAGGTGATTCAGCTAAAACTCTAGCTGTTTCTGGTCTTGGAGTTGTGGGCAGGGACAAATTTGGAGTGTTTCCTCTGCGTGGAAAGCTGCTGAATGTTCGGGAAGCCTCCCACAAACAGGTGAGTTGGCAGTACTTTGCAAACTCCATCATGGATCTTACTTGGCCTTGATTTGCTTTAGGTATTGTATATAAAAGTTGTCAACTGTTTTCTAAATTGTAACAGGAAAGAGATTGCGTTTCCAAACCTTGTCACAATGGAAGCTGTTGACAAGGACGACAACTGCTGCTCAGTGGATACTCAATGGGCTGTGAGGTGCAAAATCTGCTTGGTTAAAGTGCTTTTAAGATGTGTTAAGCACTTTGAGGCCAGGTATCTCCAACCATTTCAGACTCAGGACCCACTTTTAAACTAAACATACATTTGGGGGCCCATTTTTTAAATATTTTACTATATATTTGCCTGGTAGTGGTGCTCCTATTACAACCCACTAGTGGATCCCAACTTGCCCGTTGTAGATCAGTCTTCTAGACAAAAAGGGGTTGAGCCAAGTTTTAAAGCAAGATATCAATATCTGTCTAAATAGGCAGGATCCATAATGAATCTTAGGGACGTGGGTGGCGCTGTGGTCTAAACCACTGAGCCTCTTGGGCTTGCCGATCGGAAGGTCGGCGGTTCGAATCCCCGCAACGGGGTGAGCTCCTGTTGCTCGGTCCCAGCTCCTGCCAACATAGCAGTTTGAAAGCACACCAAAAAGTGAAAGTAGATAAATAGGTACCACTCTGGCAGGAAGGTAAACAGTGTTTCTGCGCTGCTCTGGCTTCGGTGTTCCGTTTCACCACAAGCAGCTTAGTCATGCTGGCCACACGACCTGAAATAACGCTGAATCTTAAAGAGAAAAACTGATCATTTTCAGATAATGGAGAATGCTGAAATCAACAACATTATCAAGATAGTTGGCCTGCAATATAAGAAGACCTATGATGATGAAGAATCACTAAAGAGTCTGCGTTATGGGAGAATAATGATAATGACAGATCAGGTCAGTCTTTTTCTCATGGGCAAGCGTATCTCCTGCCAACAGTAACAGTACCGTGAAACAAATATTTTGTTTGCATGCTTGGCTGATAAAATAGTTAAACTATGACGGTTGGGGGTATATGAGGTGTTAGTGGAGGGGTAGTACCACTGGTGGGGGACATGTCGTGCTCCTCCTGGGGTAGTTTTGTCCACCTTTGGTCCCTACCCTGCACTCAGCTTCTAAGAACCACAGGTGAAAGCTATCAGCATGGAACAGTACTTATCTTTAGTTACCACACCTCTGTATTGCTTTGTAACTCAAAATTTCTGAATAAAACAAATTTTAATTGTTAATTTTATTATGAAAATTAAAAAATGAAGCAACAATAAATGGACACTTCTAGTTACATCCCAAATGTCTGATGGAGCACCTTTAAAAGAAACCTGAAGAAAGACTGGAGGTGGGCCCTTTAAGGGAGTGTTTTAAACACCTATCAATGGAGTTGTTCCATCATGTAGCCCACCTTTTGCTACATTGGACCTGCTCTCCTTTATTTAATCCTTTCCATGTACAGATCCAACTGAATATGTAAGAAGGTCCCTTGACTAAACCATAGTAAGTTAGAACTAGTCTAGGGCCAAGTGTTTGATCATACTGGTATCATAATGAGTTGTTGGCTAGCATTGGTCACTGAAAGATGGGTGCTGCATGCTCTTGAGTTCTACTTTCACATTGCCAGTGGCTAAAATTTGTCTTCTGAAACACTTTAGGATCAAGATGGTTCTCACATCAAAGGCTTGCTTATTAACTTCATACACCATAATTGGCCATCTCTTTTGAGACACCGTTTCCTGGAAGAGTTCATTACTCCCATTGTAAAGGTAAGCTTGCTCTCCCTCCACCCCCTTCCTGAGTGACCACTTGAGCCAGTTGAGAACATTTCCCCTAAATTCCACTGTTTAGAATCTTAGGTCTTAAAATGCTTTCCCGTTGTTACTTTTTACTTCAAACTAGGTTTCCAAAAACAAAGAGGAGATTTCTTTCTATAGCATTCCTGAATATGAAGAATGGAAAGCCAGCACTCCTAACCACAAAAACTGGAAGATCAAGTACTACAAAGGTTTGGTTAAAACTATTTTTAACACAGCTAACTTGAATCATATGAGAACTGTTGGGTGTCTGCTAGATAGTTAAGACTAGTAAACAGCCTCCGAGGAAACATTAAATATTCCATGTAAACTCTGGCAGAAAAAGCAATTGAAGGGCTTTATCTATAACCACATTTCCAGTTTCTATGTAGAAAAGACAGAGAATGTGAAAGGGATATCTTGGAGCACTTAACTTACCCTAAGCAACCCCAAGGTCAGCTGAAAGTACTCTTGGCAATACCTTTGCTATACAGGCAGTGACCATTTTGCGAGGGGGTTCCCCCACATGTCAGCCAAGCACACCTAAGCCTGCCCCATTTCGCCATTTTGTCCAAAAGGACCCGCACATTGCTGGTCATGCAACAATTGGATTCATCCAAAATAGTCTCCGCCTGTAGTAACATAAACAGTTGGTGTTCTGTTTGGAACTCCCTTATCCTGGGGGTGCGGGGCCTACCAGAAACCTAATATATTTTTATATATTGTATGAACTGGCATTTTGATTGCCAAAGTTTCAACAAATAAGGTACTTACCTAACACTTTTGTGTCTGCTGGAGAGAGCTATGATAAGCTTACACTAGACATACCTGAATAAGGAATCCCGCTATTGTACTTAAACCACTTTCCCTGCTGCAATTCTTTCGAAACAGCTTTCTTCCTCTTTGTAGTGTTCCATATTGGGTTGATGCACTGTTTTAATATTGGACCTGGACTGCAGTTGTAGATGATACAAAGAAAATAAACTGCATAGCATGGCACCTAATAGCTATGGGATACCACCTCTGCAGCCTTTAGTTTGGTTTTTTATCTCAGGGGTGGCTAACCTGTCATCCTCCAAATGATGTTGGTTTCCCATCAACCCAAACCAGCATTGCTCAGGATGATGTGAGTTTGGAATCCAACAATATGTGCAAAAGGTTAGCCACCCCAGATTTATGTAAATGTGCTTTGCTTCAAGATATAGAGAGAGAGAGACTTGTACATGCAGTGGAGAATGTCTTAAGTTGCCTAGGTTTTATTTGTGGATCTTAGTGGTGTTATCTGTCCTTAATCTCTCTAGGTCTGGGTACCAGCACAGCAAAGGAAGCGAAAGAGTACTTTGCAGAGATGACAAGGCACCGAATACCTTTCAAGTATTCTGGCCCTGAAGATGATGCTGCGATTACTCTGGTAACAAAATTGCTTCTATCCTCTGTTGCTTGGGGATTACACCTGCAAAATAATCATTATCTGCTTTTAAAATGTTGAGTGATCCTACCAGAAATAAGCCTTTCTCTTTTAAAGTTGGAACTATCTGATACATCCATAAATGTCCCTGGACAAATGTATCAAGAATTCTGCTCAATATTGATCCAGAGCAGATTCTAACATATAGTTAGAGTAAAAAAGACTTAGACACGTTGCAGGATTTCAAAAAGAAGAAAAAAGACCAGAGGCAATTAATATTTCATCCATCAGAGCTTTCCTGCTACTGAAGGCAAATGTGCATAATGGTCACAAATCAGATACATCTGGATTAGCACTATCCATAAGATAAGTTGCAGCAGGTTTAACTTAAACTTACTTACAATAACTTATAATAAAACTAATACCTTAGCACTAAGCATGCTATGTAAAGAACACCACACCAGAAGGAAAGAGAAAGGGCGAAACCCGGGCTCCTTCTGGCCTATTACTATAGTCTGCATGACCTTGAGTGAATAACAGAACGAGTTTAAACCAGCTGTTCAGCTTCTCTGAAGGAATATCCCAAACATCAGGAGCCTTCTGCTTGTTTCTAGGCAGAATAGAAACTTGCATGTCAACTAGAAGAGTTCTCATGCAGAGAAGCTTGCAGAGTCAATTAGAAGAAACAAGAGCACTACACTTTAGATAGCCTGGAAACAAATGTTCAGAAACTTCTGGTAGCTGAATCTGGCCATTTCCCATCGTTAAACACCAGCAAAGCTTGGTGGTGCTTGACTTAACAAAGTTTGGAGAATGTCTTTCTGGCATGTGATAGCCCAGCATTGGGGGGGGGGGGGGCAGGGGATCGACTTCAAGATTTTATGGCAGTTAAATTGACAGTGAAGTGATGGGAAACCCCATCAATTACCACAGCTGTACATATTTGCATTATGGTTGGCTGCAATGTAGATAAGCCCTCTAACTCAACAGCCTTCCAGGGTGTCTGACTGTATTTGTCCATATTCCTGAATTCCTGATCTTGAATGTCTCTTGATTTAAGCTGGATCCAGTCATTAATTTGACTTTACTAACTTCTCTTAGTGGACTTTGGTACTGTCCAGTTCTGAGAGAGAGTTCTAGACTGGTAGCCTAAGCCTGTGAGTAATTTAGTGGAAACAGAAGAATTTAAACAGCTTCAGTAAGTGTCAATTTTTTTCTCACTCCATCCCAGACTAGTCTGAGTTAATCATTTTGTTAATGTCCTAGGCCTTTAGCAAAAAGAAGGTTGATGACCGAAAGGAGTGGCTGACAAACTTCATGCAAGATCGAAGGGAGAGGAAGCTTCATGGCCTTCCAGATGTGAGTTCCCATTAGAGCAGCATGGGATTCTCCCTACATGGTTTGGGGAAGGACTAGTTCAATGGCAAAACACATGCTTCACACGCAGAAGGTCCAGGATGAATCCCTAGCATTGGCAGGTTGCAGGAAACTTGAGAGAGATTTCTGCCTGGATCCCTGGAGAGCTGCTGCTAGTTAGAGGGAACAGACCAGATATAAGGCACCTTCTTAAAAGGCTAAGGTTTTTGACAGTCAAGCATTATTTCAGTAGTTGGCCAGGGGGTTAATGCATTGTGGGTAAAATGCAGGACAATAGAGCAGTCACTTTTTTCCCACTGCTTTGGAGCTAATGAAAGTTTGCTTCCAAATGCAAATAACAGTTGGGGGGGGTGATTTTCCTTAAGATTGCAGCTGGTTAAAGGGACGGAGGGTTAAATTATGTCACCATAGCCCTGATCAGATCCATCTGTGTTTTTGCTTTAAAAACTGTCACATTTAACACCATGTGTTGCTTTGCCCCTCCGTGAAACGGTAAGGAGGAAGAAGCTTGTTTTATGGTGTGGTAATGGATTAGAATGAAAGTAAAGGAGAAAGGGCTAAAGTGTCACTAGCATATAACAATTGAGGTTTCCTGCAATTTCTTCCTGTGCCCTCTTGAGCTCAGAGTTTGTTGCATGCATGTTCATCACTGTACAACAACAAATACCCAGTTGCCAGGGCTAAACACAGACCAAGCTTTTCACAGCGGTTGTCATATTAAACATAAGACCTCAATGCAGGCAGTTAACATTTTCACTTGGGAGTCAGCAGTGATGAGCTCAAATGATGACTGCATTTCTGGATCTGCCCTTTGCTAGCAGTCCTCAGTACCTATATATGTTTGCATCAGAGTATATTGTTTTCCTTTGTGCTATGATGGGGATGACACTTGAAGGCTACTATAGTAGAGGCAGCAGTTTGGAAGGTTTGATAACTTAATCTTGCTTTGTCACTCGTAGGTTTACTTATATGGCAAAAGTACAAATTACCTGACCTACAATGATTTTATCAACAAAGAACTTGTCCTCTTCTCAAATTCTGACAATGAGCGATCCATCCCTTCACTAGTTGATGGTAAGTTATCTGTTATACTTCTTCATAATCGAGATCAAGTTTCCTGTTATTTCAAACATAGTTCCCCTTATAAACATAGCTGTCATTATTTTATTAGCAGACCCAGGCAACAAGGGCAGGTTGAGCAGGTGGGGACATTATAATAACAGCAGGTGTAAAAGTATAATAATTTTATTTTGAACACTTCTGCTTGAAGCAGAATTCAGAGCACAGTATTTGAAAATGTAAACTACTTTAATTATTTGCTGTGATATAAGGTGGGTGGGTGTATAGAAAACCAGTGGTAAGAGAACAAAAATAGCTTACTGCACTTCTGTTTGCACCTAAGTATTCAAAGTGATGCAGCATTGGAGGGAGTTTGGGGTTTTTTATCCTACTTTTCTACTAATTTATCCAAGCAGCCTGTACAGTAAAAAACAAAATTCATCATAGGAATAAAAACAAGATTAAAAAATAAATATCAATGACCACTAAAATGTGGGAGCAGCATTTGTCTATAGGCACCAAACTATCAAGAAAGTTTCCAGGGAATCTGTTGAGTGCTGAACTGGCATCCTTGCCTTAACTGAGAGGTGCTGGTTATCGAAGGAAAGAAGCCTATTGCTTGACTTGAAGCAACCTGCTTGTCGTTCTTTTCAGGACTGAAACCAGGTCAGAGGAAAGTTCTGTTCACATGCTTCAAACGAAATGACAAGCGGGAAGTGAAGGTTGCCCAGTTGGCTGGATCAATAGCTGAGATGTCGTCTTACCACCATGGAGAGGTAGTTAAAATGTGGGTGGGGATTGGGCAAGTAATGACCATGAGCTGCCAAGGAAGCAGTACTACTGCTCAAACAGTGTTTACATAATCAAACTTGTATTTGTTGTTGCTTTATAGTTATAATGATATTGATGTTATTAAATGTCAGCCCTGCTCTGTCCCAAATGGTCTGAGCAGCATGCACAAATGCTTAAAGTGTCTGTCAGTTTCTGTTCTTCTGGCCGATGTTTGTGGCCAATGTAATCTTGCCTTTGCAGCACTATTTCTTCAGTCCCAGGATGGTGGCCTTGTCCCTCTTTTAAAAGGAGATGCTTTCAGCTTCAGTTTGTTATGTTTTGGTTTCAGAACTCACTGATGATGACCATCATCAATTTGGCTCAGAATTTTGTGGGCAGCAACAATCTCAATCTGCTTCAGCCCATTGGCCAGTTTGGCACCAGGCTGCATGGTGGGAAAGATTCTGCCAGCCCTCGATACATCTTCACAATGCTCAGGTTAGCAACTCACTGTCCAACTTCTGCTTTCTTGGCTTTGGCTGGGTTGTTTTGAAACATATAATGGTGGTTTTAACATGTTCCTAAATCTAATCACTATGATAATCTTGATGTAGCATGCCCTACAGCAGGAGGTTTAGCAAGATGGTCCTCTATCCTTCCCAAGATGGCACTTTTCCTGTTTCCAGGATTCCTATCTCAGAACTGTTTTAAGCACAAGCCACTTTCTTTTCTAGCTCGTTGGCACGTTTGGCATTCCCACCAGCGGATGACAGTGTGCTGAAATTTCTGTATGATGACAACCAACGGGTTGAGCCGGAATGGTACATTCCAATCATTCCCATGGTGCTAATCAATGGTGCTGAGGGCATTGGAACTGGCTGGTCATGCAAGATTCCCAACTATGATGTCCGAGAAGTGGTGAATAACATTCGGCGCATGCTAGATGGAGATGAGCCACTTCCAATGGTAATGCAAATGTATTGATGGCTAAGTGAAATAGGACTGATCATAAGAGAAATGCTAATTGGCATGTGTGGGGGCAAGGGCAGATTGCTGCTTTCTAGCATGATACTTCACCTCAATTTGTGGGCCATGAGATTTCAGCCCTTGCAAGTTGACAGTGAATGTTTACTCCTTTTGATGAAAGTTTTAGTGACACAGTCTTGAACATTATAAAATGATGAGTAACCTTTGCATTCTGAAGACATCCCTCTTGTTCTTCATTAAAATCCAGTGCCTGCTCTTTTCTCCCTACAGAGTGGTACCTCCAGTTGCAAACAGGATCCGTTCCGGAAGTGGCTGCATCCCAAGGAATTTGCAACTGGAGGACCGCTTCTGCACATGCGCGAGCGGCAAAACCTGGAAAAATACTTCCGGGTTTGCCGCTTTCACAACCAACCCAAGCCCAAGTGTCCACTGTACAAGTACAACCCTCCAGCAGCAATTCTGCTCTTGTCTGCTTTTCCTACAACACTGTTCTTGTCTGGCCAAATTTGCAAAGGAGTTGAGCTGGTCTTGCTGAATTGCAGTCGGAGCACACTGTATAAACTGCAAAATTGAGTGCTGTTTGGCTTGCTTTGTTACAATTTCCTCTCTTTTTTTAAAGCTTCCAAGTTACAAAAATTTCAAGGGAACAATAGATGCGCTGGGACAAAACCAGTACCTTGTCAACGGGGAGGTGTCTATTCTTGATTCGACCACCATTGAAATTTCTGAACTTCCTGTTCGGACATGGACCCAGGTGAGATGTTTAATTTTCTACTATGCTCCTAGAGCCTTCCTGATGAGGTGGGGGAAAGGTACAAAGTACTGACCTCTTGCTTGCTTTCCCCACCCTTAGGTATATAAAGAACAGGTTCTGGAGCCTATGCTGAATGGCACAGAGAAGACTCCCCCCCTAATAACAGACTACAAAGAGTATCACACCGATACCACAGTCAAATTCATCGTAAAAATGAGTGAGAAGAATCTGGTGGAGGCAGAGGCTGCTGGTCTACACAAGGTCTTCAAACTTCAGACTTCTCTTTCCTGCAACAACATGGTATGTGATAAGTGGGTAGGGAAGTGCAAGGAGCTCCATGCAGCCTTCTGAGCCATGATCCATATAGGTTTGCAGGTTACAGACTTCCGGGTTTTTGCTATTTGCTCCAGGTACTCTTTGACCACGTTGGGTGCCTGAAGAAATATGAGACTGCAGAGGATATTCTGCGGGAATTCTATGAGCTCAGGCTGCGCTATTACGGCTTAAGGAAAGACTGGCTTGTTGGGATGTTGAGTGCAGAATCTGCAAAACTGAACAACCAGGCTCGCTTTATCCTCGAAAAAATAGAAGGCAAAATAGTGATTGGTAAGTAGGTATTGCCAGAGCTTACCATGAGCAGTTTCTTACCTTGAAGATGGTAGGGCAGCTGGTTCCTCTTCTGAGGCTGGGGCAGGCAAATGCAAATTCATTTTCACTGGAGGAAAAGGCTCTCCTTCCAGAATTCAAACCTGCTTCAGATAGAGAGGCAAGCTTCATTTTCTAAAGATGCACCTTGAAATAAACCGTATACTAATGTTTATTTGTGACCCCCCTCCCAAAAAAAAATGAAATAAAAGCAAATTAATCCTGAAGTGATAAAACATGAACTATGCCTAGAGAATAAGGCAGTTGAAAATGGGACAGGAGAATGAAGTTAAGTCAATTTGATTTTGATTTTCTCTACGTGGTATGCAAATTGACCTTGCTCCTTCCTAATAGAGTGCCCAGATTGCTAAATTGATATACCCATTGATTTTTGGTTGCTTGTTCAACTGGTTTCATTCATTCCCTGTGGTGACCTGAAAATGTGTGTGTGGTTTTTTTCTAGAGAATAAACCCAAGAAAGAATTGATACAGGTCCTTATCCAGAGGGGTTATGATTCTGATCCAGTAAAGAAATGGAAAGAGTCTCAACAGAAGGTAGTGTATCTTCAATCTCTTCCTTTTAATTAGCTGTTCTCCAGATTCTATGTCCTTTGAAGGGGATTCCACCAACCCTACTGCCATGGCAGGTGCTGCAGCACAAAAATAATGCATTATTAATTTTTTGCGTTGCTCTTCAGCCAAAGATCACAGGGCAGATTACAGTAAAAATCCCAAATTTACAATATTGAATCATAAAAGGCAATATTTTATTCAGGATTTTGATACCTATTAATGTTTTTAGTTATGTGTGATGTTTTTCCCCTGTTGCGTATTGCCATGAGTGCTTTATAAATATCCCAAATAAATCTTCATCCTGAATTTCACACTGTCTTAAGAATGACTGGCCTTTTTAAGGCAGAAAGGCAGCCCTATTGCAGTAGACATGGCTGATGTAGTGGCAGGTAATTCTATCTTTGCCCAGGGGGTGCTATTGAGTTCAGTATCCCCTTCAGAGAGCAGGCAATTACTGCTGCTTTCCTCAGTCCAAAATAAAGTGTTGGGCAAGAGGTACATTGCCATGGATAGCGAGCAGCCTCAGCAAACAGAACAACTTTCTCCATTCCAGGGCAATGAAGAGATTGATGAAGAAGAGGGAGACAGTGATAAGGAAACTGCATCTGCTGCAGCCTCTGGACCAGATTTTAACTACCTTCTGAACATGCCTCTCTGGTACCTGACGAAGGAAAAGAAGGATGAACTCTGCAAGCAAAGGGGTGACAAAGTAGGTGAAAGAGCTGTTACGGAGAAACTTGAGAGATGACATTGTTGAAGACTCAAATACGCATTCAGCTGTTTCTCCTAAATATTTCTTCCTCCTTACTGGTTCTTATTAGGAAATGGAGCTGGAAAACCTGAAACGAAAGGCTCCTAATGACTTATGGAGAGAAGATCTTGCTGCCTTTGTTGAAGCTCTTGAAGTAAGTAACTCTGGGGGAAGAGTAGCTGGCCAGTTATTCAGTTTACAGCCTATTTTGATCCATCATAGCAGTAATCTCTCTGAAGGGTGGGAAGAATGTGAGTGTTCAGCAGAGTTCTGCCATCTCAAAGAATCTGAAACCCCACAAGTAAGAATGCTGCTGAGGCTGACGGTGGCCAAGGGCTGCCCCAGTGGCAGTTGCCCTCTGGCCTATGCTGATATGAGCATTTTGCTTGCTTGCTTGCTTCCTTTGGGGGTGGACTGGGCTTTGGTTACACCAGGATTTAAAATCCCCATGCTGCCCATTCTTGCTTCTGGTTCTTTAGCCCACTTTCTACCTACCTACCCCCTCTAGGAGCAAGAAAACAAGGAAAAACAGGATGAGATGGCTGGGACTGCAGGCAAGGCCACCAAAGGGAAAGGAGGAAGGCTGAAAGTACAGAAGCAGCAGCTGCAGGAGATTATGCCCTCTCCACATGGCCGGAGGGTCGTCCCCCGTGTGACTGAGGAGATGAAAGCAGGTGCAGAGAAGAAAGTAAAAAGGAAAATCAAGGTAACAGAATATTAGCCTCTGTTAAGGGGTATGTGTGCGTGCGCATGCTATTAAAGTGTATTATGCATATGTATATATTCCCACTTTCTTTGATACCTTTGTCCTGTCATCCATTGTATGTATAGTGACCAATTTCCCCCTTTGCTTACCTGTAGAGTGAAACAACTGAGCCTAATGGGATTCAAGAAGAAGATGGACCAGCATGTGATAAGGAACCATTGACTCTTAAACAAAGATTGGCAAAGAAATTTAAAACAGAACCAGGTAACACCTGCTCACAAGTGTCATTCATTTTCTTTGGTAGTTTTTCTTTAGTAGATTAAGCTTCATTTAGGTTTTAAAGATTGTTTGGATATTTGTATTTAGCAAAAAATAATGTGCATAGGTTTAGATGCATCGTCATTAAGTGCTCAATACTTTTTTCTTTTGGACAGAGCATGCATTGTCTTAAAATTTAGCCAATCTGTTTAACTTAAGGTACCAAGAAACAATCCACACTGCCATTCAAGCCAGTAAAAGAAACAAAGAAAAACTCTTGGTTTGACTCGGAATCAGACAACAGTGGTGGTGATATGGAGGTTGTGCTGTCACCTGAAAACATGTCAAGCTGCCCAACAGAAGGTAGGTTTATGGTTAAAAATGATGTGGGAACTTTTGCTTGCTGCTGTACTCTTGCTATAATTAAATTGCCTTTGTTAAATATCCTTGGTATAATTTTATTTTTTTAAAAAAGGAAAGTTTGGAGCTTTGGAAAAGCGATTAAGAATGTTGATTCTACTTGACAGCATTTTCTAAGGCTATAGTCCTACACACATTTATCCTAGTAGTAAGTCCCGCCAAACTCCGCAGCATGTACTGAGCTGGCATGTGTAAGGTTGCAGCCTAATTTTCTTCCATTTCTTTCAGCAAAAGCAAAGTGTGTGTCAGATTCAAACCTCAGTGACACTGGTGGTGACATCCAAGAATTGGTTGAGAATGCTGCATCTGATGAACAGAATACTATTTCCATGTGAGTGAAGTACACACAAAATGTAATTCTTGTTAAAGGTAAAGGACCCCTGACAGTTCAGTCGCAGACGACTCTGGGGTTGCACTTTACTGGCCGAGGGAGCCGACGTTTTTCCAGGTCGTGTGGCCAGCATGACTAAGCCGCTTCTGACGAAACCAGAGCAGCGCCGGAAACGCCGTTTACCTTCCCACCGGAGCAGTACCTATTTCTCTACTTGCACTTTGACGTGCTTTCGAACTGCTAGGTTGGCAGGAGCAGGGACTGAGAAATGGGAGCTCACCCTGTCACAGGGATTCGAACCACCAACCTTCCAATTGGCAAGCCCTAGGCTCAGTGGTTTAGACCACAGCGCCACCCGCTTCCCATCTTGTTAGGTTATAATAAAAAATATGCAAAAAAGGTGGCAATCTACTTGCACTAACCTCATGTTACCACAAAGCTCTTCATAATGGGGTGAAGCAAACAAAAGAAATGAAAAAGCGAGAGGTGTCTGGTTTGTAGGGTTTGTTGTCACTTCAATACCAAGAACACAGTCCATGCTATTTGTCCATTCAGTCCTATATAGTCTATTTCTATACCGTAGGGAGCAAACACATGGAAATGGGGAGAATTGGCTCCATAGTATGTATTATGTGTTCTAGGAAAGCCAAGGGACGTAAAGGCAAAGAAGCCATCAAACCACAAGGGGTACAGAGCACCATCTCCAGTAAGTACCACTCAAGTTTAACATCTATTGTTAACGCAGCCAGGCATCGCTCTTTATTAAAAAATTAATGTTCTGGTGCGTAAAAGTAACAAGATCATACCATAGCTGCATGTGATTCAATTGGTGTTACCATGACTACCAGCAATATGGGACTGCCGTTAAGTGACTTTCTCATTTTTGTATCTCCACCCCCAGCTGAAAGTAGATAGTTTACTGCAGGGGTCAGCAAACTTTTTCAGCAGGGGGCCGGTCCACTGTCCCTCAGACCTTGTGGGGGGCCGGATTATATTTTGGGGGGGGGGATGCATTTAAAATATAAGGACACATTCTACTCATGTAAAAACATGCTGATTCCCAGACTGTCTGCGGGCTGGATTTAGAAGGCGATTGAGCTAGATCTGGCCCCCGGGCCTTACTTTGACTACCCATGGTTTACTGTTTCTCACTTCATGCAAGAAGCATCTACTGGCCAATTCCTGCAAGATTTTTTTAAAGCCTCAAATTGTATGGAATAAAAGTGCGGAATCACCAGAATTTGAAAAAAGCATACTTTTTATTTTTAGTTTTAATGGGATTTTGTAGTGCATAAAGCTGCCAAATTCACTGCAGTCCAAGGTTAAGAGCAGCGGTCATTATTGTAATATGACAGATTGCAAGGGCTTAAAAAATGAGAAGGAAATCCTATCTGCATACAAAAGAACATTGTTACATTGTTTTGGAACATTTGGTAGTTTTGCTTACTCCAAAGCTTTCCAAACTGTTTATCACGACACTTTAGTATGTTGGCTGCAGTGTGTAGGTGTGTCACACGCTTGTCCTGGGGCTTGAAGGGGGTTTAATAACCTCTAGTTTGCTAGTAAGACTGAATTGCTGTGTCACGAAATGAGGCATGTCTAAAAAGTGTATCACCAACATGAAAAGTTTGGAAAGCTCTGGCTTACTCCCTTGTAAAGAAGCAGTGAATATGTTCATCTACATGTTCATCTTAAATCACTCTGAGGGCTACTTTTACATTTTTATTAACTCAAGAGGACCATATTTCTGCAGAGGGGCCATTTTTGTTACCATTTTAACTGCCATTTTCTATAGTGCACCTGCTTTTAACTGCTATACTTCTAGCTGGCAGATACTTTTTTCTCTGCTTCCATCATTATATTTGCATGAGATTTTTATATTGGTGCATTGCTGTGGACTACAATATTTGTATCCAACAGTGTGGCTGTAATTGGAATTCCCTTAGGGAGGTGCAGAGATAGCAAGAGGACTGCAGTCAGTCAGTCCATGGGTCTTATGCTGTGCAGGCCTGGCATTGGGAGCATGTTACAATGTTTGCATTGTCTTTCCCCTTCTCTGTTTCAGAGCTAAAGAGATTCATATCCTTGCCTGTGGATGTTTGCAATCTTTTAAAAGTGGCTTGGTTTGTTCTCTGTGCAAAAAAATTCTATACTGAATTTTTCAGTATAGAATTCATGATGTTTAGGGCATGTTAGCTTAGTGGGGACTTTTCTTTATTCAAGTTCACGTTGAGGACTATGATGCAGGCAAACCAGTTGCAGCAGCCTCTTCTCTGCCTGCTACCCTTGATGTGCCAGCCAAGCCTGCTCCCAAAAAGAGAGCTCCAGCCAAGAAAACAGCAAAGGTAGCTGAAGGTAAGATTACTACTGATGTCTGTATGTTAAAAGGTGAGTATTCAGTGGCATTAGTATAAGTGCCCCAAAAGGTCTTTGGTTCTGGCTTACACAAGAAGAAGAAGAGGAGGAGGAGTTTGGATTTGATATCCCGCCTTTCACTCCCCTTCAGGAGTCTCAAAGCGGCTAACATTCTCCTTTCCCTTCCTCCCCCACAACAAACACTCTGTGAGGTGAGTGGGGCTGAGAGACTTCAAAGAAGTGTGACTGGCCCAAGGTCACCCAGCAGCTGCATGTGGAGGAGCGGGGAATCAAACCCGGTTCACCAGATTACGAGACTACCGCTCTTAACCACTATACCACACTGGCTTCTACATAGGTGGAAGCAGAAACTGCATGATGGAGGTTCACGGTTTCACTGATGAGCTTAGAAATTAAGGGTCTGGAAAAGAGACAGTCAAATCGATTACTCTAGTTCTGTAGTTAGTTCTCCTGCCCACCTGGCAGTTCGAAAGCACGTCAAAGTGCAAGTAGATAAATAGGTACCGCTCTGGTGGGAAGGTAAATGGTGTTTCTGTGCACTGCTCTGGTTCGCCAGAAGCAGTTTAATCATGCTGGCCAGATGACCCGGAAGCTGTCTGGACAAACGCCGGCTCCCTTGGCCAGTAAAGCAAGATGAGCGCTCAACTCCAGAGTCGTCCGCGACTGGACCTAATGGTCAAGGGTACCTTTACCTACTTTTACCTATGGTTAATTCTCATGAAATAAATGAAGTAGTAACTGTTACCTTGAAAAGGGATATTATTCTGAAATCCATCAAACCTCTATTGAACATTTCTTCTGCCCCTGGAAGTTAACACATCATTTTTTTTCTTGCAGAGTTAGTGACCATTTTGGGCTGAACATGTCTTATCTTAATAAGCCGAAATGTGAACAAGCCAAGATTCCGTAGGTTTTTTAATAGAGCCTGTTCCGTTGTGGAGTTGCTCACACAATTAAATAGCCATGTTTCTTTCCTGTCGTTGAAGCACATAGTTGTTTCCAGCCTCGACTGACATTTGAAAATGGTGGCTATACTTCAGTTTTATCAACTGTAGTTTAGCCCTTTGTTGGCAATTAACACTGCCTTAACAGTTACCGGAATGAGTTTCTGAAGCAATGGCTTGAAAACATTTTGGTAGATCCAGGTTTTTGTGGGAAAGAAACAGAGATTTCACTGATTCTTTTGCTCTTAGGCAATCAGCCTTCTATTATGGATGCTTTCTCTAAGAAGAAGGCAACCGCAAAACCCAGGAAGGCAACAGCAAAGAGTTCGGAGTCCAGCACAGATGAAGCAGCCTCCCAGAAGTGTGCACCTCCCAGGATGAAGAAACCTGCCAAAAGGAAGGTTTCTAGCTCTGACGACTCTGATTCTGACTTTGGCCCAGCTCTTAAAAAAACTACAGCAATTAAGGTTTGTTTGCCCCCATTTTTGTTCTCTAAAATTACTCTCCATCTTTTTTGTTGCCAGTTAAGTATAGAAGGAGAATGTCTTTAAGGCATACCTAAATGCCAGAATTGAAAGAGCAAAGGGGGGGGGTGGAAGTGCCATAGTTTTAGGGCGCCACTGAGGTCGATTTTGGCATATGGGCAGATACAGGTGTTCTCCATAACCTATAACAAATTCTAAACATTTTTATCAACCATACATGGGCCTCGCACCATCTTGTTCACCTTGAAGTCCTAGCTAAAAGTGCATCAGTATATGTTGGTGACTGGTTATGAGTGCCCTAAACAAGTTAACATGGGGCAAGCCTGCAGTGCTCTGCTCTGCAAGGAAACCACGCCCTTAATAAAATATGTAGTGTTTTATTTCGGGTGTGCTGTGGAATGACGTGCCCTAGGGCCTGTGGCTGAAGTGGTTTCTCCTACATAAACCAGGAATATTAGTCTATCCCTCAGAGTGCTTGTAGAGCACTAAAAGTTTTTCTTCCCCACAACTGATGCATTAATGTATCCATGTTCCATAAGGAGGGGCTAGTTGTGGCCATTCCTGAGCCCACATAATACCTATGAGAGCTAACCAGGCCCACTTTTTTTTTTCCTTTGCAGAAATCCAAGAATGTTGATGAGTCATTTTCCCTTGAATTAAGCTCGGGTGAGGACTCACCTTTTCCAACTGTCGCACGTGAAAGGTTGGGTCGAGCCAGGAAAGTTGTCCAGTACCTTGAGGAATCGGACGACGAGCTATTGTGAACTGAAAGCACCTTGTTCAAAAATGGGGTGTCTGCCTTTTGATGTTTTAACATTATGTCTGTCCCTGTAAATATTTGACCCTGTTCACTATCATTTTCATCTTAATAAACATTTTTTTTCCATTGGAAGTTGTCACTTAGAAATTCTGCTACTTCTGAATCACCATGTTTGTTTGTTTTTGTGCTAAAGAAAAATACATTGTGGGGAGGTGGAGTGCGCAAGTTCACCGTAGCATGTTCTTGTAACACTAAGCCAGAGATGGGATCCCATGACTCTAGTATTGTTGGACTACAACTCCCATTATCCCCAGTCCAAGCAGGGATGCAGAAACCTCAGGCCAGCGACTGTATTTCCCCAGTACAAAAGATTCATGTATGCAAAAGTGCCCTATGTTCTAATTTTGCCCGTTTGGGTCAGGGCCTTAATGCACATTATTATACACGAGGCAGTCACTTCTGATGGTATTTACCTAGATCCATATTAAAGCTGAACATTCTCCCTTTGGTGCTTAAAGTGCATTGTGTTTTCAATAGAAATTAGGCTGTGCTACATTCTGGCACTTCCTGCATTCCAAAAAAACCTTTTTGTTGTAGAAACCTTGTCATCCTTTGCTCCAGACCAGGGACATTTTTGAAATCCTTGTCAGGAGAGCCCTCAAATGTTACCCTAATTGTGCCAAAGAGTTTCAGGACCTCAAATGTGTCTTCTCTTGAGTCAGAAATCTCTAAGGAAGTCAAGTCTTGTCTTGGATTTTTGCAATGTAGCTTATTGCAGCCAATATTGATTCATAACAGCACATCAAGGGAAACAGATGCCTGAGCATCTTTCTGGAAAACTGCCACTTCAGCTTTCTAAGGTAACATTCCTTAGGACGGTGGTTTGCAATAAGCTACACTTATCGGTAGCTTGTCTCGAACCTAGCTTGTATCAGTGGCAGGGAAGGCCTGAGCTGAGCTTATTAATAATATCCTTATCCAGTTATTTTACTCCTGTTTTTCTAATGGGAAAATGATGTGGTATAGAGCAAGAATTGCCAGCATGCTGCCCATGGGCACAATACTCAATATTTCCTCCTGGCACCCACTTAGCCTCTGAGCTCTCACTGCCACTTATGGGTGACTCCAATCTAGACTATTGAATGTTCCGCTTGCCACAAAGAGGCTTCAATGAGGAAACCCCTCCTTGGGGGGAAGTGACACTGTTCCTTTGTCCTGTTGTCCAAGAAAGGGGATTCCCAGTAACAGGCTGCCTTGCTCCCGACTAGGAACAGAACATTGCAGGTAGGAGGACAATTCTCTGGCTTTTGCTTGGTGTCCTGAGAATGAGGAAGATGAATTGTTAATCCGAGGAGGTGTTGGTGGCCTTGCACAATTAACCCTCCATGTCACTATAGAAGCAGGACTTCCCCGCTCTCCTAAGCCCAGTAGTAATGACTCAAATTGCTTGCAGGGGTGCTCCTTGTGCAGACATAGCACTGCTGTAGGCTAATTACTTTTGGCTTAGACCATGAGACACCCCCTGCCAAATGCCAGGTGAAGGGAGCTTAACAATCAAGCCAGGTGAAGGGAGCTCATCAATTAATCCTCATGACTGGGGCAGACAAAAGCCATAGGGCTTAAGCAAGAGATGGGGGAGCTTTGATGCAGGCTTAAACTGATGTAGGTGCTGCATAGCCTGGCCAGAATGAGGTTGACTGAGGTGCTACTACATCCCTGGGGGTCCCAGCTGCTGGAAGAAGAGGCTCTTGCCAGGTATGTTCTGTCCTTGTTTAAAGAAGGGATTGTTTACACATGGTATCCTTGTGTAAAAAGGAGGGCCTGGTATGTTAGTCTGTCCTATTCCTGTGTCCTGCTTTATTCCAGTGCTTCCCAGTTGGCTAAGTACTGCAAACCCCCTGTTTTTCAAAAGCCAAACCATGGACCCCCTACTTTTGAAACCTTTGGTATCTGGTAGTTTTTATTATGTGAATGGTGCCACCAATTGACAGTGCTTTTTTATAGAAAGAAGGTGTCAGTACTCACCATGAAGGTGTTGCAGTAAGTGCCACACTTTTTAACATTTTGGGGAGGGGGGAAGAACTGTGTACCCCAAGGAAAAAAAGCACTGCCCATTGGGATCCACTGGTCTATTCTATTGTGTTTACTCTTGTGTAAAGGAGTGGTTCTCTATCCTTGTATATGAGAAGTCTGCTGCTGAATAAATTCCAGGCTTTTTTCCACTTATTAGTGTTTCAATCCTTAACAAAGAACCCCTTTGCCTTTGTTTGGCAAAGCACTTGGCTCCAGTTCTCGAGGGTGGAAAAGGGAATGTGTCGAGGAAGGAATACCGTACTTGTATGTTGTTTTTTCTGGTTCTATGCAACACGGTTTGAGAGTCATGCTAGTTCTGGAATATCAGATTTTGACAATAAAATCCTGCGAGTAGGAGGGTGAACTGGCAAAATGAAAGATATACAGTAATGAAAGTGGACTCTAGGCGTGGAAGTGAATATACCTCTCCAAGTCTGTATGGAAACATCTTTGGAAGATCAGCCATACTCTTTCTTCATGCATGGAAATTAAGAGAAAATGTGTCAAAATGGTTTATCAGGTGCTGTGTTAGTCCACTACTGATAAGTGTAACATAAATAAAAGTGTTTTGTTCAAACTGCTGGAAATGTCAGGCCATAAAAAGTGTTGTTTTTTTTACTGTCTGTGGTAGAGTTGCTCGTGAGCCAACAAATACTGGAAAAAGATATAAAATGGAAACGTTACTGTACAATTCGACTCTAGAGATTATAGTTCTCTAACTTTTAATAGGCATGCCAGATATTAGTGACAAATGCAAAAATCACAGGGTGTCTCAAGGAAAAGCAATGTATTTAGAAATAATTGGACACTTTTATTTTTGTAATACCAACAAACAAGTTGAATAGCCATGTGAACAAACTTGCTTTTATTTGATCTACTGTGATGGGCGGTTAAAATTAAACCAAACAATAGTTCTCCAAATTTTCCCTCTCTGTGTGGCTGGCTGAAACAGTAAAATGTATTTGAAGTGCACATTTCCTTACTCTTATCTGCAGTGATTTTATTATTAAGTATGGCATCTTCCTAGAGGTCCTAGAATAGAAAGAGAAAGAGGAGTGCTTTGAATAAGGTCTTCATTGGTGGGAAAGATCACAGTGCAAAGGAAATGGTGTGGGATACACAAAACCTGCCGCTCCAGAACTATTATCTGTAGGTGAATTCCATGCTCCACTGTCAAGCGATAGCCTTGCCATTCGCATCTACTTTAAGCAGTTGCTTCCCAAATGTCTGATAGACACGCTTCACATGTTTCACTCTCAAAAAATTAATCCTTTGAGGGGAACGTTAGATGTTGACTTACACTGAGTCAGGCCATTTGTTCCTCTTGTCTACACCTGTCTATCCATGACACTCCAGAACTTCACAACAATCTCGCCCAGTCCTTTCTGGAGGTTCTGGCAACTGAAGCTGGGATCTTGTAGATGCAAAAACAAATGCTCCGCCACTGAGCTGCAAGTCTTTCATACCTCTCATGAAAGAGGGTTACCTGTTTGCAGGACAGTCTTTCTGCCCCTCTCCTGCCCATGTATAAATTGCACATGTAAGCGTGTCTCCTGAATAGAAGCAAGCTAGCTCAGAGCAGGGACACAGTAGGCAACTCTTGATGGTACAAAGCGCTACAGTCTGCGCTGGGACTGATTGATTGTACCCAACGCTACAAATCGGCACAGTTACTACCAGTGCTTTTTTTTTCCTACTCAAGGGTACGCAGTACCGGCACCTTTTTTTTTCTAGAAGAAAAGTACAGTGGTACCTCGGGTTAAGAACTTAATTCGTTCTAGAGGTCTGTTCTTAACCTGAAATCGTTCTTAACCTGAGGTACCACTTTAGCTAATGGGGCCTCCCGCTGCCGCCGTGTGATTTCTGTTCTCATCCTGAGGTAAAGTTCTTAACCCGAGGTACTATTTCTGGGTTAGCAGAGTCTGTAACCTGAGGTACCACTGTATGGGTTACTACCCACCTTCTGTGGAAGCAAGTTGGAGGGAACAAGGGCAGAGCAAGGAAGTATGCAGAGACACAGCAAGGAGCCTCCCTTCACATGCAAATATACATCGTTTCACAGCACATAGTCCAAGAATAATGGTCCTGGAATATGTCTCCATTGGGAATAGGGGAAGGAAAAGCTCTTGCTCTTCTCTTGTGTGGGTGCCTTTGGGGAAAGAGGCAGGGCCTGCACTTCTACTGTAGATATACTTTGATTTCTCTTCGGCTTACATGGATATTTCACCATTTTAAAGTGTATGGCTGCAGAGTGTTGATGCTTTCTGACAAGGCCAGTTGGTGTGGCCCCCTTGCCCTCCGCCCAGCGCCAAACATCAAAATGACATTCCAGGGCCCCGTATCAGTTAGACCAAAGTGTTTATTGGAAAGCAGTCAAGTGTCGAAAGAGCTGTCAGATTTTCCACTGGGGTGGGGATGGAGATGGGGGACTCTGCACAGACTCAGCCAACGCTTTATACTCTCGTGTGCTGTGCTATTTAAAGGCTGTTACTACAAAAAAAAAAAAAAAGAAGCCTAGTGGATGAGTCTGTCTGAGCTCTGAAAGCAACGTACAGAACTGGAAGTTGAGAACGTGCTCCGTGTGGTGTTGTTAATTTTATATACTGTCCTATACCCGCAGGTCTCATGATGGTTCACAGCATAAAATCACAATACTGTATAGAAAGACAAACTGGGTTGCCTCAGCTACTCTGGGCGCCTTCCAACAATTTATAAAACTACAGCAAAGCATCAAACATTAAAGGCTTCCCTATACAGGGCTGCCTTCAGATGTATTCTAAAACTCAGGTCGTCGTTTATTTCTTTGACTTCTGAGAGGAGGGTGTTCCACAGGGCGGGTGCCACTGCCAAGAAGGTCCTCTGCCTGGTTCCCCATAGCTCTGACAGGGAGCATTTTAGCTGTTCAGTTGAACTGTAAACTGGGATTATTATATTGATAAATTTGAAACCTTTTGTGGGTGTGTCACATGCCTGCAGGCCTCCCCCTTGTCCCTTACGCCTGAACCACTGCCTTTGCCCCAGTTTCTCCTCAGAGAACCAGTTGGGTTGGACATGCCTCTCTCTCTCCCCCCCCCCCCGAGCCCTGGGGGGGGGGGGTCCTGGCACAGAAGTAGGCAGGGCAGGCCTGTCGCTTTAAAAGCTTCCCAGCTGAGCTACAGGGGGAAGCCCTGCCTCTCCCTCCCTCTGTCCCTGTGCCCCCTCTCCTAGGCAGAGCTGAAGCCAGCCCAGTCCAGGGAGGAGAGCAGAGCGAGGGGATGCCAGCTAAGCTGCCTTAGAAGAGCAGGAGGAGAGGTAGGCACCATTACAGGTGGCAGGAGGAACTGTCTCTGGGCCTTGCAGGAGGAGTGGGGACCCAAATATGAGGGAGACGGCTGGCAGGAGGGACAACCTGTTGAAAATGCACCTACCTAAAAGTCAGGGGTGGATTTGCATGGTGTTTATTTATTTTTTATTTTAATAGTCTTTATTGAAAAATAAAAAGTACATAATTACAGGTGCACAGAGTAAGATAAGACACAAAGAAGGAGGAGAAGATGTATGTTAAATTATGCCTTGCTTGGAAGAAGAGAGGGGAGCTGCGATGGAGAGTCTGTAGGCAGTGCACTGCCTTGGGGCAAGGAGCATCTCTCCACCTGGACTGTGACCCTCCATGCGCTCACCTGGGCGCACAGGTGTTGAGGGCCGCCCTGTTACTAGGCCTGTGGCCCCTTCTGAATCTTTCTCCCTGACGGAGATTATCGGAGGCACAGATAACGATAGCAAAGGAGACCTGGGGGGAAGGGCCATAGCTCAGGGACGGAACACCTGCCTTGCAGGTAGAAGGTCCCAAGAAGTCCAATTCCTGCATTTCCAGGAAGGGCTGCGAGAGAGTCCTGCCTGGAACCTTGGAGAGCAGCTGCTGGTCAGTGTGGGCAGAACTGAATCAGGTGGACTCGGCTGTAAGGCAGCTAGCTAGCTTCCAATCCCATTCTGCTGCCCACACAATGGATTTCAGGCAATTGTTTATTCCATGGCCTCGGGGGAGCTTCCCTTCTGCAGCCTCTGGCATTGGCGGGGTAGACAAATAAGGGACCAGGGAACTATCCAGAGGAAGGGAACATCTGGGGCTGGGGCTGGAGAGACTGGAACCCTGTGGGGATGTTAGCCTCTAGGAGACGGAGCGCTGCATGGGGAAGGGGGCTGGCTAAATAGGAAAATATGTGCTGTGCAAATGAGTAAGAATCAATGTGTATAATGATCACCACCTTCATATAAGTTTACGCACTTCATTAAATGAGGTTTCTGATGGAAACCCCTAATAAACAAAAACAAAACCCCGTAGCTTTTCTGTTGTTTTTTGCTGTATAATTTTTTATTACATTTTCCAACATTTTCACAATCTCATGGAATTATTACATTGTTTCATAAGTTGACTTCCCAGCTCCACGGCGTTTTTACTCAGATCTTTTCTACTGCATTATATCTCTACCTATCACAAAAAAAGTTTCTGTTATTTTATAATTTTTTCTAACGCTGCTTTTATCTTGAACCCTGCCCGCGATTTCATTTGACTAAAGTATTTTTTTCAAATAGTCCATAAGAGGCCTCCATTCTTTGCCTTTCTGTTTTTTTTATTTTAATATAAAAAAACAGTAAATATTTAATTATTCCAGAATTTCTAATAAGAGTGTTTTTGCTTAAGAAGATAAGGCAGCTTGTGATTTTACATGAATGTGTAATGAATGCTTGGATCTAAATGTAGCTTAGCTGTATCATGATATATCCACTAGGCCTGCCAGCCAACGTAAGATTTTAAAGCTGCCATCCTATACACAGTCAGCTGACAGTGAGTCCTGCAGAACTAAGGGAGACTTGCTTCTGCATAAGCAGTCAACTGCTAGCTGACTAATCATTTGCCTTACAGGGCAAACTGACACTTGTCTCCTTAGTGAAATAATAGTGTGGATTTGATGAAATGTACTTCCATGTACAGGTGTGATTGCAGTCTTAATGAATCGGTAGTTAAAGTCAGAATAAACTGCCCTTTTCTAGCCCCACAGAAGGGCATCCTTCATAGTATGCAATAATATGCCATTTAATGAACAAAAGAAGGAATGGTGTGTGCCTTTAATACAGCATACCTTCATCCGTTTAAGAATCTTGGATGTGGAACATCTCCTATTAGAGCAGGCATAGGCAAACTCTGCCCTCCAGATGTTTGGGGACTACAACTCCCATCATCCCTAGCTAACAGGACAGGTGGTCAGAGATGATGGGAATTGTAGTCTCAAAACATCTGGAGGGCCGAGTTTGCCTATGCCTGTATTAGAGTAACAAAGAGTAACAGGCCTTTAAAGTTTTAGTAGGGTGAGATGCTTAAGATCAAGGTTTAAAAAATATATATATGTGCACTGATTTTGGCTGACTGCCATCCTCTTTTTGCGGTCAGTGATTTTGATTGCAAGAAGGGAAACTAGTTGGTACCTGCCTGCCTGCCTGATTTTACTATCCCACCTCCATGGTTCTTCCCCTTCCCGGTTTATGACCTAGTTTATCTTTGCAACAAGGATCCCAATGATAGCTCAGTCGCTAGAGCAGGGGTCAGCAACCTTTTTCAGCCGTGGGCTGGTCCATCGTCCCTCAGACCATGTGGTGGGCCAGACTATATTTTGAAAATAAAAATTAAAAATGCATGAATTCCTATGCCCCACAAAAAACCCAGAGATGCATTTTAAATAAAAGGACACATTCTACTCATGTAAAAACAGCTGACTCCCAGACCATCCACGGGGCGGATTGAGAAGGCAATTGGACCGCATCCGGCCCCTGGGCCTTAGGTTGCCTACCCCTGCACTAGAGCATCTTAATCTCAGGGTTGTGGGTTCAAGACCCAGCTTGGGCAAAAAATTCTTGCATTGGAGGGGTTGGATGAGATGACACCCCCCCCCCCATGATCCCTTGCAACTCTAGAGTTCTATAGGCTAGACTCAGACATAGTTACTTGGTCCAAGGTCCCTCAGTGAGTTTCGTGGCTAAATAGGGATTTGAATATAGGTATTGGAGCCATCTTTATAAAGTATTGGGTTGTTTGTTGTTGTAGTAGTGGGGGAGAATGATGTAAAATTGGCACTGGGAAGGGGAACAGTTTGTGCAGCCTGCACCACTAAGTATTAGTGTCAGTGGTGGGTTTTAATCTGCAATTCAACACATGGAGCTTTCTTGATCGTTGCATCTCAGTGCTGGGGAAGAGCATAGATCTGTTGAGTTTCTGCGTGTCAAATAGCTATTAAAAAACCAGCAGTGCAACCAGAAAGTGGCAACTTTCTCTTCCCCTACACACACACATACACACACCACACGCTCGCTCGCTCGCTCACATACACACTTCCCCCATCCATGCAACTATGGCATTTCCCCTATTTCCAAAACAGATTAATTAATAAAATAGATGCTGTACTGTACTTAGTCCTGTATCAGCAGTTCCCAAACGGTGTGCCAAGAACACTGTTGCATCTCTGGTGTTTTGTTTGTTAGGTGGCAGTGGATAATTTCCCTGCTTCCCTACAACAGATCATGTGCTATGCAGAGACATAGCAGAGTCACCCGCTTTCAGAGGAGGCTGCCTGTTTTATCTCTGAATGAGTTACTGTTCCCTGTATGGCTCATTCCAAACAGGTGGCATACTCACGCAGAAACACAATCTTCCAAGAGCGGTGCAATTTTTACATGGTTCTAAAAGCAAGTCATCCCAGGTGCAAGAGTTTAGTTCTGAAGTTAAGGGTCCTTAAGTTATTAGGCATTTGACAAATATTGCAAGATAGTGTATTCATTTTCTTTAAGGGCTGTGTCTTTCTGCCCAATCCCCAGCGGAAAGGACCTTCCCCGGCTGGTATACCAATCTGTCGCCCTAGAAGTCTGCACACTCCAGCTGGCCTGGACCAGTTTGAGCTGTCTGGTTTTATCTTCTCCCCTCTCCAGATAACTTGGCAACAGACATAAAGCATCCACCAGCAACCCCCCAAGCTCTCTCGGTGTTGCCAAGGTCATACCCCTTTCACAGAATTAAAATAGCCCTGCTTTGATACATGGGGGCAGGGGGACCTCTCCAGTATAGATGCTCTGCACTTGCTGATTGCGGCTCAGTGCGCCATAGGAAGAAAAGTCACCATGGGGACAGCCTTGTGCTGAGTCAAACCACTGCTCCATCCACCATGGTAATTGTTGGACTCAAACTCCCATCGGTCCCAGAGATCATGGCCAGCAGTCAGGGGTGATGGAGGTTGTAGTCCGCCAACACCCAGAGGACCACAGCTTTGGTCTGCAGCAGCTCTCCGGGATTTCAGACAGTGGTCCAGTCTGGATATGTTCGGGATTGTGCACGGGGCTTTCTGCATGCCAAGCAGGTGCTCTGGATAGCTCAGTCAGTTGCAGTGTGGTACTGATAACACCAAGGTTGCAGGTTTGATCCCCTATCTGAAACCCTAGAGACCTGTTTGCAGTCAGCGTCAACTTTACTGAGCCAGATGGACCGATGATTTGGAGTTTTTTTAAAGAGAGGTTGGGTGGCTATCTCTCAGGGATTCTTTAGTTGTTATTTCTGAATTGCAGAGGGTTTTACTAGATGATCAAAGCTTCCAATCATTGGCCTGTCTAGCTTGGTACTGTTTCGTTGACTGCAAACAGGTTTCAGACAGAGGAGACAGCCTTATATTATACAGAGATGTTGGGGGATGAACCTGAAACCTTTTGCATTCAAAGCAGATGTTCTACCACTGAGCTATGGACCAACCTTCCTGGTTCTTCCCCAACTTTGTTCTTTCCCTACCTTGTTCCAGCAGCTGCCCTTTGTCAGCCAGGCTTCCCAATCGTCCCCCGCTTAGCCGCTGGCCTTTAAAAGTGAACGCTTCCGTCACCTCCCCAAACTCATGGAGTAGCTGCATGTGTCAACCCTTAGCAAGATCACCAGTCCCGGGAAGGATCTCCAGTGAAGCTGACCTCTCGATTTATTTCCCTTCCTCCCCTCCCTGCTGCAGCAGCCATGGGTGAGTGGGGGTTCTTGAGCTCCCTTCTGGACGCGGTGCAGGAGCACTCTCCCATGGTGGGCCGCTTCTGGCTGGTGGTGATGCTCATCTTCCGCATCCTGATCCTGGCCACGGTGGGCAGCGACGTCTTCGACGACGAGCAGGAGGAGTTTGAGTGCAACACGCGGCAGGTTGGCTGCAAGCAGATCTGCTACGACTTGGCCTTCCCCATCTCCCACTACCGCTTCTGGGTCTTCCACATTGTGGTGCTCTCTGCCCCGGCAGTCCTCTTTGTCATCTACTCCATGCACCAGACCACGAAGATCAACCAGAAGGAGATGGAGACGGGAGAGGAGGAAGCCAGCCGGGCGGGGGGAAAGGCCCCTGCAAAATTTGGGCCTCAGCCCAGCCAGCGCAGCCAAAACATCAAGACCTTCTACATTGTCAACGTGGTGGTGAGGATCTTGGCCGAGATGGGCTTCCTGGTCGGACAGTGGATGTTGTACGGCTTCCAAGTGGGGTATCAGTACATCTGCAAGCATCACCTGTGCCCTCACCTCATCGACTGCTTTGTCTCTCGGCCAACCGAGAAGACCATCTTCATCCAGTTCTACTTCATGGTGGGGCTGGTTTCGGCCTTGCTCAGCCTGGTGGAGCTGGCCCACCTCTTGTTCAAGAACCGCTGCAGGAGGCGCCGCACGATTGCCCCGCCCACCACTGCCTCTTACGAACAGCAGGACAACTGGTCCAATCAGAAGCAAGAGAAGAAATCGCAGCACTTCCTGGCCCCGGCAGAGGGAGGCGCCAATGGGATGCCTTCTCATGGCGGGATTCCCAATCACTATGAGCCCAAGGCTCACTTCCACCATAAGAGTTCCACGAAGAGCAGCCGGTCCTCTCGCTCTTCTTCTGCCAGAGCTGACTTGACCGTGTGAGGCCAGGGAGCTCCCTCTTTCCTCTGCCTCGCTGGTTGTTCCCTGGATGAGCTGGACTCCTCCGGCTGGAATAATTGCACCCGTGAACTGTGTTTGCAGCCTGGCCCAAATTACTACCACAGACCTGATATCGGATCATCTGTTCTAGCTTGTAAAGGAGACCTGCTGCAATCCTTGGGGATTCGTGCTTTGCTTTCATGTATGTTTCGGGGAATTGGGGTGGGCTGGGCTGGCATCTTTCATTTATAGTGTTTTCCAAAGGATGCATAGGCTTGAAACCCCTAAGAAAAGAGTCAGGAAGCTACACGCATCAGAAGGAGTGGAAGTGGGGAGACAATGACTTTTCCAACAATGCACAAAACTCTTGTCCAGATGAGCAACTCCTGCTTGAATGGGCTAAAGATTTGGCAGCAAACCTGGCTATACAGAAGTATGATGTCAGATGCAATTGGGGATGCTGTTGGGCTTGGACCGATCGTTGGCGGCGGGGAGATTGCAATAAAAGGGGATTCCTTTTTCTTGTTAAGATGGTGTACCATTGAGCCACTGTGTGTTCTGAAAGAGAGAAAAGAACTCGGTTTTAGTTAGTTGAAAACAATTAGATGAATGCCAGGTACATTGATTTGCCTGGGATGCAGCTCTTGAGGCCAGGAGGATCTGTAAATCTCTTTGTAGGAAGAATTGATCTGTTCAGGAGACTGTCCCCAGGGCATTCTGTTGAAGCAAGAGGTGGGATAGCTGGCATTTTTACGGTCGCTCACACAGGGTAGGGATGCTATGCCTTCCAGGAAAGAGGCAGTCATCAGGTGGTGGGTCCTTTGTTGTGCCAGAGCGAAAGGTGGGACAGTCATGTGACTAAGAACCATACCTGCGTAGGTTGTGCCTCCGTCTTCCAGGAGCTTGCCAGTGTCTTTAGCATTAAATAACTTTCCATCCCATTTGGCCAGGCAGAATGAGCTATCCCAACAGAACCAGACATCAGAAAGATAGAAAAGTGTGGTCTAAAGTTGGGGGTGGAGAACCTCAGGCCCTCCAAGTCTCTCTGCCTGGCCCTTGAGTTTCTTCCCAGGCCACACCTGCTCCCCAGGCCACATCCCTCATTGGCCCTGATTCATACCCTCCTTGGGTGTGGTTTTTTGCCTGGCTGGAATGTGCCCTTGATCTCTGTTAATGCCTCTTGCTTGCCTGGGCAGAGGATAGAGAGGCATGGTGTACAGAAGCTATTACCTTTACCTTTACCTTTACCTTTACCTAGCAGGCTTTCACATAAAGCATAGCTGTCAACATTTCCCTTTTTTAAGGGAAATTCCCTTATTCCAAATAGGATTCCTCGCAAGAAAAGGGAAAAGTTGACAGCTATGACATAAACGGTTAACATTACCAGAAGTAAGTATGGCTCCCATCAGACAGGGAGATGTCCCTGGAGCCAAAACCCTTGGGTGTGTTGTATCAAAACCCTCTCCCTGCCCGGAAAGATTTTTATCCAGACTATTTTTAACATTTCCCATGGCAAATGTTCCTCCTCCTCCTCGTCCTCTCTTGGGACCATATTTCCCTGTCCAATTGTTTTTGAAATAGAGAGAGAATTCCCCCCTTATAACAGTAACTCCACCACTGGAGATTCAATATAGTTTCCTCTGTCTGAGACCTAAGCCTCAGCCTGAGCAGTCTCCAGGATCTCGGGATCTCTGAGCACCCCAGGAACCCTCCCTGAAGCCTTTAAACTCTCAGGTGTATGAAGGCATCAAGCTTTTCTTAGAGCTTAGTTTGCTGCTGTCCTTTGGGCGAGGAATCAGCTGCCTCTTTTTTTTTAATAAAAAACCCCCCACGAAATGATGTGGATGAGTGAAGGAAGAGGGGGAAATTTCAATTCAGTTCGTATTTAGAGCTGAATCTTGTGAACAGAAACATTTCTGTGGATTTTGCCGTGCAGTTCTCTAGCCACGTAAGGTGTGCAAAACTGCATATACTAGGGTAAAGTGTGCTTAAAAATGCATATAACTGTGAAAACAACACACACAACAACACTGTATTAGTGGGGATTACTTTGCAATAATGTGTATATTGTGCACATTAGGAGAAGTTTGAATCTTCATGAGGAATTTAAAACATGCAAACCTATGTGGAAATGTAGAGAAGTGGACACAAAATTGGGAAAATAAAGAATTGAAGAGAAACCAGAATGATAAAGATTCACTAGTTCCTAGATGAGGATTGTGAAGAGGGGCTTAACCTTATCAAGATGCTTCTTGGAAATGCATTAATAAAACAGATATCCCTCCCTCCCAAACAAGCCCAGGGCGGCAAACACTTATATGACCAAAACTGCAGTTAAAAATAAAACAAAAAAGGATTTAAAACATTTTAAAACTGAAAAAAAACACACAGCTGAAAACGTTAAAATGCTCAAAGCAAAAGACCAGATGTAATCAAATGGCGTGTCTGGATGGGCTCAACTGAAACAGAAATGTTTTCATCAGGTGTCGAAGAGGAGGCAGCGACGGCACCTGAGGAGAAAGCCCTATGGCGAGCCATGCTGAACGTGCTCAGAGGCTGCAGTGTCTTACGGCCTGCTCTTGGGATGTATGAGCCCTTGCAAATATTAAGCCCCGGCTGACTGATGAGGGGAAAGAGCTGTCTGTTGCAGGATAGCTCGGTAAAAGTAAAGGACCCCTGGACGGTTAAGTCCACTCAAAGGTGACTATGGGGTGCAGCACTCATCTCGCTTTCAGGTCAAGGGAGCTGGTGTTTGTCCACAGACAGCTTTCAGGGTCGTGTGGCCAGCATGGCTAAACCGCTTCTGGCGCAATGGAACACCATGACGGAAACCAGAGCGCACAGAAACACCGTTTACCTTCCCGCCACAGCAGTACCTATTTATCTACTTGCACTGGCGTGTTTTTGAACAGCTAGGTTGGCAGTGGCTGGGACAGAGCAGCGGGAGCTCACCATTGTCTTGGGGATTTGAACCGCGAACCTTCCAATCGGCAAGCGCAAGAGGCTCAGTGGTTTAGACCACAGCACCACCCGCGTCCCTTTATAGTTGCAGGATGACGTCATATGGCACCTATCACTGTTAAGTGGATTGTTTCTACCCATTAATGGGATGCGTTGCAAATGGTTGCAAAGTTGACATAGTCTCTTGGATATAAACCTTGGATCTTGTAGCTTGTTTCACTGTTTCAACAGGCAAAAGGATGAGTTGGAGAGATTGCAGACCAAGAGGTTGGGTGGCTCTCAAGCGGCAAAGGGAGCAGCTTAGTTTCTCTAGTAAGAAATAATTCCTCTTCTTTCTCTCTCTCCTTACACTTTGGGCTCTGCTCAGATAGGATCTGCCCAGGGGCTTGCAGTGGCGTCCACTCTAGTGTGGTGGGGGGGAGGCTGGTGGCCCGGGGCCAAGAATACTTGTTATCACCTGCTTCCTGCTGCGGATGGGATGGGACCCTGGCCACAGAGGTGGCTGGAAAAAAGAGGAGAGAAAGAAAAACAAAAACAGGGAGGGATGTGGAGCCTCTTCCCATTCTCCTTCCACCTCTCCCGATTAACCCCTTCTTTCTTGCCCTCGAGGCTTTGTGAAGACACAGGGGTCTATTGGCAAATTCAGAGGCTCAGGGTAGCTTCGTGAAAGTCACAGCCACGGCCCCTCACTGCCACGTCCCTTCTCAAATTATACAATCCTATAAGATAATATGGTAATCTTATAATACAGTAATAATAATCAGGGGTGTATTGCAGCTATCTGTATCCATGTGTGCCTTTCAGCTAGATCTATTTTCCATGCACATAGACGGGCAAATGATCTGGACTGCATCTTTCGTGGTTCATAGAATCGTGGAATTGTAGAGTTGGAAGGGACCCGAGGGTCATTTAGTCCAACTCCCTGCAATGCAAGACTCTCAACTAAAGCATCCATGATAGATGACCATTTGGTCTCTGCTTAAAAATCTCCAAGGAAGGAGAGTCCACCTCCTCCCAAAACAGTTCTTTCCACTGTCAAACAACTCTTACAATCAGACAGTTTCTCCTGATGTTTAGTCGCAATCTTGAGTAGTGTTTACCATAAAGTTCCATTGTACTTAACAGAACTTGCCCCCGTTTTTTTTGGTGTGTTTTTTTAAAACAGAAACACTGTGTGTTTTCAGTTTTGCTAAATGCCTCGCTTTAGAGGCCACAGTGGCTAAAAAGCTTCCCTTTTGCACTGATTGGGCAGTTCTAGGATGTGGAAGATAAGGACCTTTCTGTGGAAGGAGCAAGGCATCTTCGACCTACCCACAACCCCAGACCACTAAACCACTGACTATACCTTCAAGGCACATTTGAAGCACATTCTTTCCCTCACAAATTCTGGGCATTGTAGTTTACCCCCCCCCCCCGGTTACCATTCTCAGAAAACCCCTAACAGGGCCCATAATTCCTTAAGGCTGGAGGGGGAATGCATTTTCAATGTGCTTTAGTGGTATAGCATGCACACACCCCAAGAGAAAATGTGATTTGCAGATGAAATTAGGGGTGATTTTGCAACCCGGGATGTGATAAGTTTCTTTATGGATTTGTGTCAGACCAATCTTCTTTCCTTTTCGGCCTACGTGCTCCCTCAGTGGTCTGTCCTAGGACCTGTCTTTTTACCTCTCAATCCCATTTACTTAAACACATACCCCTGATTGCTCTGAACGTAAGACTATAAGAAGAGCTGTAAGTGTATGTTGAGGTTTCTTAATTGATGCTGCCATCATCCTTTGATCAGACCATGTCATCCCAGTTCCCTGCCTCGTTGTCCTGTCTTGTTTTTTACTTGCACTACCTTCTGGTATCTGTTTCTCAGTCTATTGCCTACTCCTCATCCTTCTTTCAGCCTCATTGCCTCTGAGCATCTTGTCCCTTCGACCCCAACTGACACTTTCCCCTTCCCTCATAGGAAATGTGGTGATTACCCCTCTTTTATTACCCTCATTGCAAATGCATGGTTTGCAGCTGGCCCTCTGCTGACACCTGGTGGCCAGAACTGAAAGTTTCTGCCTCAAAGAAAGCCTTTCCTACTACTTGGTAAGGGGCGATTGCATGCACACAAATGGCAGTGTACAGTATCTTAAATGCACTTCACGTGTCTGCTTCAAAAAACAACAACACACAACTAACTTCCAACGAGTAGTGTGTGAAAAACCAACAAGAAGGAAGCTTAGTGGCGCAAGTAGCATCTCCAAAAACGAATTGTGGTAGCAGAATGTCAAAAGACTCTGCACTTTCAACTGTGGGGAGGGCTGTAGTTTAGTGATAGAGCATCCGCTTTGCAGGCAGAAGATCCTGGGTTCAATCCCCAGGATCTCTAGGTAGGGCTGGGAATGCTGCCCCCCACCTCCCAAAAATTGGAAAGCTGCTGTCAGTCATGGTGGACAGGGTGGACAATATAAGAGCTTGCTGTGCATTGCTAGACCAGTACAGACTGCCTGAAAATAAAGTGGATTCATAAGTTTATAACACAATCATTTAGTCTTCCAGATGTTGTGGCCTGCAACTCCCAGCTAGTGTAGCTGATCCCGAGGAAGCCCTTGATTCAAATCTCATCCCAGTCACCACTTTTGCAGATTGCTTTGCACCTTTCAGGATGTTTATGAAAATCCAGGTCATAAGTTAATGTGTTTGTCCTTTAAAGTGCCCCTGAGCTCTTCTGCTCTTCTGCTGCCTTCTGGCAAGGCTGTGAAGGGCTTCTTGATCTCTTCTCCTTACTAATGGGATCAATCTGCTCAGCGTCCTTACAGCCAGATCCTATTAGCCGGGGTGAACAGTGTCAGCTCTGGTCCTCTATAACTTCATGAACCACCTCACCTTTTCCAAGGTGAACACAATCCTCATCCTGTCCCCTCTTTCTAGACAACCTCCACCCCACAGGCTTTTCATTCCTCTCCAGTGGTGAAGAACTCTGAAGTGGCAGCAGACTGAGCTGGCGAACAGGCCACCTGGTTGCAGTCTTCCCGGTGATGGCAAGAGTTGTATCGGACTGCCTTTCCAAGGGTGAGGAAGCTGTAGCCTTCTGTATGCCGTTGCCGCATGATAACCACCCTCATCCTTGATTGTGGTCTGTGCTGGCCAAGGCTGATGGAAGCTGGAGACCAGCAGCACCTAGCGGGGTGCCCAAACTTTTTCCAGAGAGGGCCAGGTTTGATGAAGTGAAAATGTGTGAGGGCCGACCAAAGTTGTTGAGCTTTATTTGTTTAGCTTTTTTTACAATTTTACCCCAAAGTTGTTGAGCTTTCTTAGAATTGATGTTTACCTCAAAGTTGTTTAGGTTTTTTTAGGATTTAATCCCCAATTCTTTTAGGATTTTACCCCAGGACATATACTGCCACAGGGGCCGGATTAAATCAACGGGCAGGCCGGATTAGGCCCCCGAAGCAGACTTTGGACATGCCTGATCTAGTGCCACAGCTCTACCACCCCTGACTTATTTACAGTAATTATTACAAAAAATTACATCTGTACATACTCACAGATCATTTAATGCAAATTTGTGTCCTCCTTTCTTGGCAATGCATAATCAGCCACGCTCCACCCTTACTCATCCCACTTTTCCTTTTTGCCTCATTCTAACTGTATTCGTTCCATCCAGCCCTTTTGCTTAGGCTCCTCTGCCTCGACCGGCCTCCCTCTTCCTCACCTGTCAAGCCACCTGTTGCTCTTAAAGGTCCACTTCGCCTCGAGCCATCACTGCTCTGCTCTTCCTTCTTTGCTCAATGCTCCACTTGGGGGCAGAATTCGCTTTAGGCAAATAGGTGCCATTGCAGAGGAAAGCTTCCATAGGATCCCAGGGTGGCAGTCAGTCAGTTTGTAATGTACAGTGAGGAGTTGTGTCAAGGAGCACTTACTCTCAGCAGGAGCCTAGCCAGGATGCTTTCGGGCCATTACCTATTTTGGGGTGGGATTCAGTCACATACTGGCAGATTCAGGTTGTGTTGTGCACCTACTTACGCATGATTTGGTGCTCTCCTGCAGCGAAATCTGCTTCCCTTGAGGAGATGCACTGGAAAGCAACAATTGCTTGATGCATTGGCTAACCTCCCTGCAAAGTGATCTGCATGCTGGTTAACTAGTTAGCTAACCTCCTTGCAAGCTTTGTGCAAACAACTCGGGATGAACGCTCAATTAAAAACTCAGCTGGCAGTGACCCAGTGTCTAGTATTTGGGGCTGGATGTGTGTAAAGCAGAGTAGGACGTCAGCGTTCTCAAGTGGACCTAATGCAATTCCCAGGGGGCTGGGACACAGAACTCAGGTTGTACTGGAGCAAAAATATTTATACCGTATTGGCCCGAATATAAGCCGCACCTTTTAAAATTCAAGGGCGGGGGGAGAGGGAAAAAAAGACAATACCCGAATATAAGCCACTCCCTTAAAATTCCACAGGCACTCACACCTGTCTGTCTGTTTCAGCAGTGATATCGTGTTGTCAGGGTGTTTCTTTCAACAGCACCTTTCCCTCCACAAACACCCTCGGTATTTGTTAGATGGGAGCAGATGTCTAACAACAACCTGGAGGGGTCCAGCTTCCCTAGCACACTTAATTTGTTGTTGTTGTCGTCATCTCTTTATATATTTTCTCCTTTCCCATCTTGCCAACATCTTTCCTGAATTGAGCTGAACTGCACACAGCATTCCAGATGTGGCCGTACCAGGGCTAGAACAAGGCTTTTGGTGGATGCAAAAATTGTGTTGTGGGCTCACATCAAGTTTAGTCCAGTGTTCTGTTTTTACAGATTCTTCTGAAAGTTCGTAAGCAAGGCCTGAAGCTTTCCACACCCCATACTTAATTGCCCCTGGCAGCTGTCATTCAGATATACACTGGTTCAGTGTATGGAGCTTCTACTGAACAACCATAATTAATTTGACAGCCTTAGCTAACCCCCACCTTTTTTATTATAAAAAAGGCCATTTAAGCATTGGCTGAGCATTACTTAATTGACTTTCAGAAAACAGCTACCTGTTTAAATAAATAAGCAAAATAATTCGGTTTCTTTCTCACACACTTACCACTGCCCCCCAACCAAATGCAGAAATTTTGGGAGGATTTAAGCTCACAGGTATCTTTTTTTTTATCTGAAATAACAGCTTTATATACATATCTGAGAGGTGTGCAGTACATGTCCTTTGAACTGAGGAAGGAGCACTGGGGTGTGTGTTTTCTTGCTTCAACCTTCACCCCAATTTTGTTTATGTTTGTAGATTCAAAGACACAAAAATCAATAATTATTTTGTGTGTGGGCCCTTCTCCGATCCCGCATCCAAATCCCTCATTCTTACCCCAGTACATGGAGCCGGTCACATTTTTCTTTCCTCTTAAGTGTGGTGGTGATTTGTGTTTTGAATCTATAGATAAATTGGGAGTTTTCCTTGCCGTTCGTCTTAAACTTCTTGGCCAGGATCCAAAGCAGCTTGGAACTAGTTCTACAAACCCCAAAGGTCTGAGGGCTGCCATTCTGTACCCGGTGACCTGGGTTCAAGTCCAGCTCAACCCAGTAGGACTTAATTCTAAGCAGCAGGTCATCTGTTCTTTTAGATAGCTGTCCTATACACATCTACTCAGAAATAAGTGTGACTGAGCCCAATGGGGCTCGATTCCAGGTATCTAGAACAACAGCCTTACAGTACAATGCTGTGTCTACTAAAAGTAAATCCCACTGAGTCCAATGGGAGCTAACCCTGGGCATAGCAGGGCAGAATTAGCGCTGCTCTTCTTGAAAAGCAGCCCAACATCTACCCTGCCTTTACGCAGATGTGATGGCAAGTGGTTTGTGATACAGCACAAGGGTAAAAGCAGGTTTAAAAGTAGAGGGAAAAGGACCCGCACTTTTCACTGGGATTGTGTAAGGCTCTAGAATTGGCTCTTTAAAAGTCCCGACTGGCTTTTATCCCTCCTGCCCTTAAAAAAAAGGGGGGGGGATGGGCGGTGCAGGCAAAAAAAAAGAAAGAACAAAGTGAAAAGAGCCCAAGGAACTGAGAGCTATTTCCCCTCACAAAACGCTTTGTGACCATTCTTATAAAAGGGAGTCTTAATATTTAAGGGGGGGTTATTGTTGGGGTGGTTCTTTTCGGTTAGTGAAAACGTGAAACAGTGCACAATGCTGTGTTTGGGGTTTTTTGACACCCGAGGGCTTTTGCTCAAAAGAACTTCTATCACAGCATTCATAACCCAGTCTTGTTCTCCCTCCAGAAACCTTTTCAGTGCCTTCTTGAAGACACGTTCTGTCCATTGATAGAAGAAGCCCATAGCCAAACAACACAAACCCAGCCAAAGTTAAGTACCTTTTATCTCACACTGATTTTAAACGTGCTCAACTGTGGCTAGATAATACGGGTTAGCGTTTTAAAAGAAAATTGTGACCCAGCTGTAGGAGAATCTGTGTCCCACCACCCTGATTTTCTCCTCGCCACACCCTCCTCCTAGAAATCCTCCAAATTCCAAACTTTTACAAAGTTTTCTTTTAAAATGTATTTATATATATATTTATATATTTTTATATATATAATATTTCTTCTTTCTTAAATGAATGAATCCTTCTCTCCCTCCTCCTTTCTATGTGTAGAAGAAAAACCCTGAAGAACTAATTTTACTTCTCTCTCTCTTTCTTTTTTAATTATTTGCTGGTGTCGGATTTTTTTTTTTTTTTAGGCATGTGGAGGGTGGGGTGGACAAGGAGTGGGGAAAGGCAGGGTAAAGAGAGAAAGGTTAACTTTGGGTGGTCAAGTCGAGGATGGAAACGGAGCAATAAAATAAAAAAACAGGAAACAGAAACCAAGAAAACATTACACCCTTTCCCCTGAAACATCTGAAATGCAAACTCAACCGGGAAGAAAAGAAAAAACACCACTTCATTTTCACTGCAACAAGAAGCAGGCAACTCCTTAGTGAAGGTGTATAATGTGTGCACGACAAGGGTGAGAGTGTGTGTGTCGAGGGGGGAGGGGATGCGTGCCACATAGGAGGTGAATTTTTCTGTAATCAGTTGGGTTTTCTTTTAATATATATATATATAGATATATATATGTATGTAAAGTCTCGCTCCTAGATTTTGAGCTTCTGTCCTTCAGATTGGCTCGTTGATCTTTATCCGCAGAGTCCAGAACTTCCTGGATCAGATGATCTGTGCCTCTCCAAGGGGGGGGGGGGTGTCCCGCAAATAGGGGGGGGTCTTCATTGCAAAAGTGGAACCCTGTTTTGCTGGAACCGTTGAACGAAGGGTAGCGTGCTGGCATGGAACAGTACGTGTAAGCCCACCCCCCTCGGGCCCAACTGCAGCCCACGCAGTGCCGTGGAGGGGGAGGGAGGAGAGACCACTTGCAGCGGCCTGCTGTCCCACGGCTCCCCCCTCCCTTGCCCCAACCCTGCTCCTCAGACGTTTGTCCAGGCAGGCCCCAGGGAGCAAAAAGACCAAAGTGTGCAGCAGGCGGCCGGGAGGGTGGGGGTCAAGCAGCTTGTCCCGGTGGCCGGTTCGGTCACGGCGAATGCGTGGCAGGACTGCTTCTGTTGGAACTGGGGGAGAGGCTGGGGCTGCAGCTTCCCGGAGGGGGGGCGAGGCTTCCTATGCGCGACGGGGCTCCCGCCGAGGCCCCCAAAGTGTCCATGCCTTCCGAGTTCTCCAGCATCTCCTGGATCAGCGGCGGCATCGATCCAGGGATCTCCATCTTCAGCGTGATCACTCTTTCGGCACCTGCAGGGGGGAGCGAGGCAGACGGGCGACTTAATGCCAGAGGTAGGTGCCAAGTCAGTAATAACTCACAAGGCGCCAGCGAAGTTAACTCTTTATTCAAAGAGCAGCTCGGCAGATTAGGCCAAGTGAGCACATAAACTCTTTTCTGTAGGTCTTGCCCCAGGAAGGCAGTTGCGAGGACTGAAGGTCCCCGTCTTCCCACAGCTCTCTAAAACTCCTCCCCGCCCCGGGTCCTTCCCAAGCAATCTGAGATTCTGACACCTTGTCTGTCTTTGTTCTGCTCTCTTCATACCTTTTCTGGTTCAGGAGGAGGGGAGGTGGGTACTTGCAGGAGGGGAAGATGCCCTGGCTTCTTCAGCAGCCTGCCTCCAACCGGCTCTCTGCCACAGCCTCTTCCTGCTCACTAAACCCTGTTGCCTCTTCTGCTTCCAACATCTCCTTCTCCCACAGTCTGACCCCTCTTCTCCCTCTGGCTACTCATAGTCACCCCACCCCCAATTCCCTGGTTTTGAGCCTCCTTCCTCTGGGGATTCACCTTAGGGGTTCCCGAGCTGGTGCCTCCCCATTCCTGCACTCCTCTGCATCCAGCCAGTCCATGACTAGGTGGGTGGAGAACATAACTCACATCACCTCTTTGCTGAGCCTCCCCTCCTCGCCCTGCACTGGACAGCCCATGGCAACAACTCCAAGCTTTGCCCCCACACTCTGTCAGGGAGCTGCAAGGAATCTCAAGCAGATGCTTTTGAATACCTGTCTGCTGCATTCACGCTTGGGAGTTTTAAGGCATTTTAGGCACGTTTCAAGTCTCCAGTGCGCATCTCAAAATGAAGAGAGAGACTCCCTTTGCAGAACCCGGAGCCCCGCCCTCACCCTTTGCGCTGATGCTTCTCAGGTCCGTGATCTTCATCAGCATCTTGGGGAACATGTGGGGCTTGCTTGGCCTCCTCTTCCTCACGTAGATTTTCAGGGCTTCCAGCAGTGGCTCCTGCAACTTGTCCACGCGGTCCGGCTGCTCCAGGTCTTGCCGATCTGGGCAGAGGGAGGGGAGGGGAGGCACTTAGAAAAACAACAGGCACAAAATACATCTGCACAACACTCAGAATACAAAAAATAAGAGAGAAATGCGCCTAGTAAGAGCCATTGTCTATGACCCTAACAGGGATTTTGCGTTGTATTTACAGTATTGATGCATGCATCACAATACATGGATACAAACATGCAAACAAACACACACACACACACACACACACACACACACACACGGCTAAAGTCACTTCTGAGACTATGAGAGGCATTATTCCCCTCCCTCCCTCCAAATTGCTTTGCATTTTTAAATGATGCACAACAGGCAGAAGTTGCACAGCTGCAGTTTCTTCTTTCACACCTGTGGAAAAGAAGCACGCACACCATGATCACAAGATCCTTTGTGAGCAGGTGGGAACCACCGTGTTCCAGACAAGCCTAGAAAATTTCTAGCGGATGGAATCATGCAAATGCAGAATTCACACAAGCTGCTGCGTTTCGAGACCCCAGTTTTCCTTTGTTTTCAATGTCCTTCTCTTGTTCTGAGCCCCAGGCTCCACAAATGAATTTGCCTTCATTTAGGGTATGGGTTACATCTCACACTTGAGGGCCACAATGGGGTTTCCTACACCCAAATCACTTCTTTAAAAATCGCACAACCACCCACAAAAAAACCACCACACATGTTGCTTGCTGCATGTGATGATAGCACCATAGGTCTGTTTTGCAAAAGGTGCATCTGCTAGTGAAAGTTGTGACTTTCCAGTGCCTGCACACAGCAAGATTGCCATGGTGTGCAACTGGCGCATGCTTAAAAGCTACAGATCGCAACTGCGCATGTGGTTTTCGCACTCTTCCCTACACAGTAAAAGTCAGTGCATGTGGGTTCCATGACAACATTGTCACCAATGTCACCAATGTGGGGAACAAGCTTCCTCTAAACTTTCAGTCATTAGTATTGGTGTTTGAAAATATCAAAAGCTTTATTTAAAAAAGGGCATCATTTCATGCTGTCAGGGGTTCAGGGAGAGAGGGACAGGGTAGGCAGGAGATGGAGAGCGATGGGGAGGAATTCCAAGCCAGCGAGGAAGAGGATGACAATGACTCAAGAGATTCCATGAGTCTTTCCAGCGAATCAGAGGATTCCCAGAAGGGGGCGCCGGTGGTTAAGGCCAGGGGAGCCCCAGGGGGGACGTGTCAGGAGCAGGGGGCCAGCGGAGGATCCCAAAGTGGCAGCTGGGCGTCAGGACCAGCCTCCCCACCAGAGTGCAGCGAAGGGGGTGGAGTTTCCAGTGTGTCAGAGGAAGCAGCTCCGGGAGCAGAGAAAGGAGGGAGGTCAGAGCAAGCCGCCCTTCCGGAAGGGGAGGGGGCAGTGAAGGGAGTAGTGTAACTGTCAAAAGGAAAGTTAGAGGTTTGGCGCGCGCGCCTAGTTCAAATGTAGAGGCGCGCGGAAGTACAGGGAGCCCGGAGGAGGGGCCAGGTCCCAAAGCCCGCAGGAAGGGGGAAGAGCAGTCTGGGGATTCAGCGTCAGAGGAATCCAGAAGGGGCGCAACCCCAGCGGGCAGAAGGACCCTGCGGAAAAGGAAGGAGAGAAAGAGGTGGAGCAGCGCAAGTCTCTTAAATTGGTGCAGGGGAGGGACTGACTCAGAGGGGACTTCAGCGGTCTAGCGTAAGAGACGTAAGGCTGCGCGCCTAGGATGTCAAGCAAACCATGAACTGCAATAAACACCTTTGTATATAAGAAGACATAGGCGTTGGTCTTTTGTGAGCTGAGACTTGAGGCAGCCTTGACACATGCCTCCCACCAAAATAACTTCTTGCCACCAGATGGTGCTGTTGGACAGGGATGTCCCCTATTGAAAAGGCCCTGGCAAATATAAGCCGTGCAAGGGTTTGCGATAATTCGCAGATCGTAGTCAACAAAAAGGTTTCTAAAGTAATAATATCGGGTGAAGAAAAGCTCAAGAACTATCTCACCGCAACAAGTGATCCTGTTATGGCCCTTACCCCTCCCCTTGCTTCAGAGGAACCTTGGAAACAGTATTTTTGGTGCAAAGACACAGGGGGTCTCAATTCTCAGCACCTTCAGAAAGTAACAATGGTTCGGACTGACTGGGGAGAAGGCAGGTCAATCCAACAAGTGGTTCAGGTTTCCAGAGCAGACATGATTGGGTTTCTTTTGGGGGGGGTTGCACCCAAATACTTTGCTCTAAAATAAATATAACATCATTCATAGATCCCCTGTGGAAGAGGCTTACAACCATCCTTGTTCATGTGAAAATAACTTTGGCTCGGGAGACTCAAAGCCCCATGGCTGAGTCTCAAGTTTAAGAGTTTTAACATTCAGGAGCTGCAAGTGGCAAATGATTTCCTGGTCTTTTAACACTACTTCAGGCTGCAATATGATGAGGGAGTTACATACTTGAGTGCTCTCTTGGCAAAATAAAATTCAACAAAAATCCCTGCACATGAATAAATAGCTTATCAGGGAGAGAACGAGACCAAACTCTTGACACGTTTGGTCTATGTACCAAGGAGTTACTTTGTTTTGCTTTAAAGGAAGATGGGAGATAAAGTCACAGAAATTTAGATGGAATGGTTCAGGGAAATGTTTGAAACAGGATTCCAATGGCCGTTATAAACTGGCTTTTTTATTAGGTCTTCCTTAAGCGATTCTCATTTCAAGCAAACACTTTTGGACTGCTTCCATCACTACAAATATTAACTTCTGGGAACACTCGCCCAAGGGAAACAACAAAAACCAACTTAAGAAACCAACACTGGGGAACTGGACTTAACACTTCTGAGTGCAAGGAGAATCCTAGAATCTGAATTCTAGGAGAATCTGGCCCGTTCCCTCCCCAGGGCCCCATCAGCACTCAATGTTTAAAGCAACATCATGCCACTTTAAGGAAATGTAGTTTGTTAAGGCTGCTGAGACCATTATTTCCCTCGTAGAGCTACAAATCTCATGAGTGGTTTAATAATCCATGTGTCTTCTGAGGGAACTCGGGGGGGGGGGCAGGTGAAGAAGCTGTGGTTTTGCAAAACTTTAGTTTTGTCTGATTTATTAGGGTTTGAGGGACAATACGCACACATACATACACAGCGCAGAGCTATGACTATATGCATCCACTGGCCAAACCCTGAGAATGGAGGACATCGGTCCTGCTCTCAGTCCCAGTAATGGTGCTTACCCCCGCATATGAGGCAGATAGCGCTGAGGAGCCCTGTCTCGGCGTCATCCATCTCGAGTGGCAGCAGCTGGTTGGCGAAGGCGAAGACCAGGTCTGTGAGGGGCCCAAAGCCTGCGTTGTGCATCTGAGTGCGGTTGAGCGTCAGGCCGTCCGAGAACGTCATGGTGTCCTGCTCCGGGGTGTAGCGCGTGCATATCCGTAGGATCTAGGAAGGAGCATGCGGGAGAGAGGCGTGCATCACACAGAGGCTCCCAATGCCTTCCGCAATCCGCAATGCTATTACAGTGGTACCTCTGGTTACGTACTTAATTAGTTCCGGAGGTCCGTTCTTAAACTGAAGCACCACTTTAGATAATGGGGCCTCCTGCTGCTGCCGCGCCGCCAGAGCATGATTTCTGTTCTCATCCTGAAGCAAAGTTCTTAACCCGGGGTACTATTTCTGGGTTAGTGGAGTCTGTAACCTGAAGCGTATGTAACCTGAAGCATATGTAACCCGAGGTACCACTGTAATAGGTTACTATGAGGTGGTGGATACGGGTTCATTTGTGTGCTTTTTTTAAGAGATGAGAACCAGAGTATGGAGCAAGCTTGTTTTCTGCTCCTCCAGAGGGTAGGAGGAACCAAACCAATCAATTCAAACTACAGTGGTACCTCAGGTTACAGACGCTTCAGGTTACAGACTCCACTAACCCAGAAGTAGTACCTCGGGTTAAGAACTTTGCTTCAGGATGAGAACAGAAATTGCATGGCAGCGGCATGGTGGCAGCAGGAGACCCCATTAGCTAAAGTGGTACCTCAGGTTAAGAACAGTTTCAGGTTAAGATCGGACCTCCAGAACAAATTAAGTTCTTAAAGTGAGGTACCACTGTACAATCGTATCTCAGAAGTCGAATGGAATCCGTTCCAGAAGTCCATTTGACTTTCAAAATGTTCAGAAACCAAAGCGCGGCTTCCGATTGGCTGCAGGAAGCTTTTTGATGGTGAGAACTGTTCAAAGAGTGGAATGGATTGTGGACTCTCCTTACAGAGGGGTTTTTAAGCAGTGGTTGATACTTCACCTGTGATTCCTACATTGCAGCAGTTGGACTAAATGACCCTTTGAAAGTCCTTCCAACTCTACAATTCTCATGTGAGTACATGGCTCCCCTATCCCCTATAGCATAGATGCTTCGACTAGTCCAGGGTTTCCCTAACTTGGGTCTCCAGCTGTTTTTGGACTGCAATTCCCATCATCCCTGACCACTGGTCCTGCTAAGCTAGGGGTGATGGGAGCTGTAGTCCAGCAACAGCTGGAGACCCAAGTTTGGGAGACGTTGCACTAATGCATTGGGGACCCACCACTGGACCATGGATTGATCTAGGGTGGATAGCAATGGCAGTATGGCCACCCTAATGATAAAAAGAAAAGGGTTCCCCGACTTGCCCCTGTCTGAAGGAGGGGCGGGACTCACCAGGATGTCTAGACAGGCAGCTTTCAGGAGCGTGATCTGGTCGGCGATGGTGAGTGTGGTGAAGCCCGGCAACTGCTTGGCGAATTCGACTGTCTTGATGATACACTTTGTGGACAACTCACTGAACTTGTCCCACAGGTCGATGTCGAGAGAGACCCGCTGATCCGAACTGTTGTTCTGTGGAGCAGGGAGGAGAAGAGACCAGAAAGTCAGCATGAAAAGATGGAGAGGAAAAGAAAAGAGAGCTGAATGCATTTGAGATGGGGGCAAAAAAAGGTGGGGTTGGATTCCAGCCCCCCCTCCCACTTGAATAGGAAGATTAAGAAGAAATTGATTCTCCGGCTACACTGTCTGGACACCTTGCCTTCCTGTGAAGTACATGGCTTGATCACGTTTTAAATTTTTTTTCTTTAAAAACCTTTTTATTTTAAGAAACAAGTAATATTCCAATATAACATATACAGAATAAACACCTCTAAACAGTGAAGGACTATACAACAATGCATGAAAACATAAAATCCAGGTGCAGGTGAGGAGAAGAATTTATTATATTTTTGTTTTTCTCTGTCATTTTGGGGACTATCTTTAAAAGTAACATCTTCCAACTACGGACAGCTGTTACAAATGCGAATGAACATTTCATGAGTGCCACATCTGCACATATCGGGCTGGGACTTGTGTCTCGCCATCTTTCTGAACTGCTGGCCTGACTAAGCAGCTCCTCTTGAGAGACTCAGCTTTTACCTGAGCAGTCCTGGAAGCTGCCTTGCGTAGACACTGTACTAAAAGACAGGATGTATTTATAAAACAACACATGCAGGTTCCTTGCCCTTGTGGCTGGATAGAGGAGCCTAAGTAATGTGGCAAGGGCCGAGGGGAAGCTCAGAAGCAAGGAGAGTGGGGCTGCATAGTCCAGCTAGCAGAAGACAGAATGGGCCATTGCAAATATCTCAGATTCCATCCCTGGTTAAAAGGACCATGAAGGAAGTGATGTGGAAAGACCTTTTCTCTGCCTCAGATCCTGAAGAGCTGCTCCATGTGGACTGAACAGACAATTAGCCTGGACACAGCAAAAGGCAGTTTCAGAGGGAAAGCAATGGAAAAGCAAACCGGCAAGGACCAAGGTGCTCAACTAGCAAAACTGATCAAGGTTGCAGAGTTATGGCTTGCTTTGTTTTTGTAGCGGAATTTCAGGGAGTTGTCCAGCTCAATCAGTAGAGCACAAGACTCTTAATCTCAGCATCATGGGTTTGAGCTCCACACTGGGCGGGTCCATCCTGCAGCGGGTTGGACTACATGAGACCCTCGTGGTCCATTTCCAACGCTGCAATTCTAAGCGCAGAACTCTCATAGCCCCAGCTGGGGTTCCCCACCCCAGCTAACATGGATCCCACCTTCCCGCCAACTGCACCACTTCCAGCTCACACTTCCTCCTTCCCTCCCACTGCCTCCCTCGGGCTGCCACTCACCGTGGTATACTTGCCCAGCTGGCAGAGGGCAGGGAAGGTCTCCTGGTGGGCTTTGCGCACTTTCTCTATGAGGTCCTCCACCTCAGGCGTGATGATGTAGCTCTCCGAACATTCCTGCTTGGGGGCGTCTTTCTTCTTCTTGTTTCTGTCATTCCGGACGGCTGGAGAGGAAGGCAAACAAAGAAGAGAGGATCGCAAAGTGAGGACCGGCGCTTTCCAAGAGAGTGAGAAATCAAGAAAAGCCCTAAAGGGAGAACCAACCCACCCTTCCTCATCTTTGGCCATGGCCATTATTTGTGATTCATCATATAACAACAACAACAACGATAAATGGAAAAACTAAAAGAAATGCACTTAAATGGAAACCAAGGGAGATGCCTGATACTGAGTCACACCACTGGTCCATCAAGCTCAGTTACTGTCAACACAACCTCAAGGATTTAAGGCAGGCAGGGGGTATTCCCAGCCCTACCTGCAGGTGCCAGGGATTGAATCAAAGAGTTGGAAGGGACCCCCGACCCATGGCAATGCAGGAATCTCAACTAAAGCATCTAAGACAGATGGGCATTGAACCCGGGGCCTTCTACAAATGAAGGGTGCTCCCACCACCTCCGCAAGGGAGGCATCCAAGAAACAAAGCCACACAAATACAACAAAAACGCCTCGGCTGGTTGTAGTCTCTCAGCATCCTTCTACTGGCTGTCCACCCTGCCCTAACTCCACTGACAGATCAGCCTTCCCAATCCAGGCCACTGTGTGTTACACTGGAGAGCAAGTGTGCAAACTGAAAGCGGGCCTGCAGATCTGAAGTCTCAAGAAAGTGATCACAACAGCGTTCGGAATTTGCCAGGTGCATTTGGCACCTGGCCATCGGCCACTTGCTGCGACCAAGTGAAGGTGCCTGGCTGCCAGGAGGGTGCCTGACGCCTCCACTATCTGGAGGTGCATGCCTGGGGATCCTTGGATTTTGACTGTTTTAACACACTAGCTGAACACATCCTGTAGAATTCTACCCATGATCTTTTATCTGCACAATCAGAATGGGATTTCAGGAACCAAAAAGTTGTATTGAAAAATACGACTTTCGAGCTGTCTGGACCACAAAAAGGCAACTAGACATTATGTTTTGGTGACTGTAACCCTGGTTTAAAGAGGCATTCGGCACATAGCTTATATAGCTGAGTTTCTAACACTGGTTCGCAACTAGATGTTGCAGGAGAGGAGGGAGACACCTCCCCTACCTGCCCCTATAGTAAACTGGATCTGTTCCCAATCCTACCTTAGTCAATCCTGGAATGCAAACAGAATGTATTCATTCACCAAATCATTTACTTGGTGCCACAACATGCCACAAGGCATCTTGTTCACTATGTGGCAGCTTTTCATGCCCCTGGGAAGCTAGGAAAACACAACATGGCTTCATGATGGATGTGCAATATGTGCAAAGGAGCATGTGTGTGGGCCCACATACCCACATGCATGTGTGTCCTTTCCAGAGCTCAGTGACTGGCAGCCAAAGCAACAGAAACCATGCATTTATCCAGCTAAGTGCGGTTTTCTTTGCTCCCAGAAATATTTAACCATTATATTCTTACTTCCAATCTTAGTCTGTTTGTTTAGTTCAGCACTTCTATACCTTTTCCCCCTTGGTGCCAAAAAAAGCAGCACCTGAGATCACATTCAATCATCCCAGTTTTTATAAGTCATTTCCAAAAAAAATCACAGAGATGCTTAGAAATAGTTATCAAAGAACAAAGTGAAAAGAGAGAGAGAGAGATGTGCTTAGTGTGTCGGTATAAAAATGACCAACCACCATTAAGAAAGAGCCTTCTTCATGAAACTTTAACCAGCAGCTGAAACAGTTTGAGGTGCCTGCTCTGGAGGCACATATTCCAGAGCTTGAGAATCACCACTGAGAAGGCCCTGCACATGTGTACACATGTGCACACAAAAATCTATCTACCCAACTGAAAAGAAGGGTCCAGGTGAACATGAGATTGCAAGCATTTTCCTTCAGGGGGAGTGCAACTCCATCAAGGGAAGGGAGAACAGGCAACCCTCCAGACCTAAGCAAGCCTGCCATCCTAACCTGTGCCTTGTTTGACCTGCTCCACTTTCAGCCATTAGTTCCTGAAATGTCTTCCTCCCCTACATTAGTGCTCCCGAAGACCTACCAGGCGCGTTGTCCTCATGAGGACCATCCACTCAGCAAACTGAGAGTGGAATTCTCTTCCACTGGAAACTTGCCAACACCCAAATCTCTTAAGGAAGTGTTCAAAGCCTTCTCTGCACAAGCTGTTTATTGGGCAGGGGAGAAAGCTAGCAAAGGGAGCGGAGCTCTAAACGTTTGCTGGGTTCTGCCAAGGTATCTGAAATGGGTTGTTTCCTACATGTCTTCCCGTGAGCAGCTCTCTCTCTCTCTAACCTGCCAGGAACCCTAAACATGAGAAGGGGCTAGAAATTCAAGCAGACAAAAGAAAGTCAAACCAGAGCCTCTTAACTAATTTAATTAACCTACATAGAACAAAAAACTGTTCGCAAATTACAGAACTAAGACCCAGGGGCTGCTAAACAAGACGTGGCCACATGCATCAGATTTGTGGCGTTGCCTCTGCGTGGAAGGGATTTATCGAGGCAAGCACAAAGCTTTGTGTATGTTTTTTTTCCTCTCTCTCTCTTGTGGTATTATATCCTTGCACAGGACTCCAAAGTAGGATAATTCCTGGAGGAAGTCATGTGAGAATGCATGGTTGGTGTGTGCCCTTTTGGGGTATTATTTTTTCCTTAAAAACACACTCACACACTTATATCTATATATTAATAAAATAAATACAAATCGTGAGGCGGTGGCAACGCCAGATGAGTCTTTCGCTCACAGTGGGCTGGTACATTTCACCGCCCTGCCTGAGGGAGGAGGTGGGGGCGGGAGGGAGGGGGATAATTCGGAAATCAGTCATGTCTGCTTGGCAAATTCAATAAAGCGCAGTCCAGACAAGCAGTTGGGGCGGGGGGGAAATACTGCATCCATCATCACATAGGGGCTGGGGGGAGAAAAAGCAGCTGGCACAAGGAGAAGTGTGTGTGTGTGTGTGTGTGTGTGTGTGTGTGTGTGTGTTGTTGGCGCATCTTAAAAGCAGATTTGGGAAAGGTGCCCCCACGGTCCTCATTTTCTGCGCCCGCTCCCTAACAAACAGTTTGGTTTGTACTTGAATTCCCTCCCTCCCTGGAAAAAAGAGTGGCTCTACATCTCAGGAAGACATCGGTTCCTGCCCTGCCTTAGCTCTGTACCTGAATTCAACGAGAGTCGTCTTCCCGCTAGCTATTATTTGGTCAGCAAAGTCATCTTTCTCTCCCTTAGAACATCTTCAGGGCCGAC